AGTGAAATAAAGGCTGCATCCATCATCTGGACTGATTCTGTGTTGCAGTTTTTGTACTACAGCGATTTCAGTGTCACCAGCTAGATCCAAAATTTCGTGAAAATTGTAAGGAGCTTAATTGGAAAATACTTGTTTCTTTACAAGAAATTAAAAACATTTTTTTGAGTATCGTGTTGTTCAAAGAATACTAGTATATTAAGGACAAATGGCAAAATATAAACCCCGCCCACCCACCCCATCTCAATTGTGATGTTTTTTTTATTCTTAGAAACTTAGAACACGTTTAAAATTTGCAAACCGATTATTTCGAGAATCTTGCTACGGAATCATAAACATGCAGAATTTTCGAATTGGCTCTCCGAGATGTAATTCCAGGTTTTTTTGGTTTTTAGGACAATTTTTACGAAAGTTCAATTTTTCAATATTGTGAAAATTTTGACTCTTTTTCGACCATCTTCAAAAATTACCGAAAGACTTTTTTTTATAGATTTTGGCCTCTGAATTCATTTTTTCTTCGAAAACCACTATTTTTCCAGAATCGCCAATATAGAACACGGAAATTTTTGGAATTTCCAAAAATTTGATTTTTTAATCGATTATTTCGAAAATTTTGCTCAGGAATCATGAGTACGAGATCTATATTTCACAATATTTTGTTTTTTTAGACAATTTTTGCTAAAGTTGAATTTTCAATATCGTAAAAAAATTTGAACTTGTTTAGACCACCTTCATTTCTTAGAAAATTTCTATAATTTTTCCAGAATCAGTTAATGAAATATGGCGGTTTTTGGTATTAAAAAATTACTTTCTATGCTCTTGACCACAAACGTGTTATATTTTTTGATTTTTTTTTTTTTTGGATTTTTTACAGTTTTTCCGAATGCTCGATTTTTCGATATTATCAAAATTTCGAAATTTGAAAATGATGTAGACATATTTTTTTTGTAGATTTCGACCTTTAAAAGTTAATTTCGCACTCATTTTTCCAGAATCGCGTAATAAAATATGACAAGTTTTAGCACGGAAAACATATATTTTTTTTCAAATCTTATTTTTTTATGAAAATTTTGACACTTTTTTTGACGACGTTCTAAAATTAACCAAAGAAATTATTTTGTAGATTTCGCCCCTAGAAGTGACTTTTGGTTTAATTTTTTTTTAAATTTCTACCATTTTTCCAGAATCGTGCAATGAAATATGGCAATTTTTAGGATTTCTCAAAAATTTTATTTTCAAACCAATTATTTGGAAAATCTTGCTTGGGAATCATAAACACGCCATATTTTTCAAATCAGCTGGTGGAGATCTAATTTCAAATTTTTTTGTGTTTTTTTTTTAGATAATTTTCCGGTAAGTTTAATTTTTCAATATTATGAAACATTTTTTGCAGATTTCGATTTCTGGAAGTTATTTTAGAACACATTTTTTTTCGAAAATACAATTTTTCCAAAATCGCCAATATAAAATATGACCAATTTTTCAAATTTGTGAACATTTCGACCTTTTTTCGACCACCGTCAAAAATTACCGAAAGTCATTTCTTTATAGATTTCGACTCTGAAAGTTATTTTCGGACCCATTTTTTCCTCGAGAAGTACTATTTTTCCAGAATCGCCAATATAATGTGGCAATTTTTATGATTTTTCAAAAATTTGATTTTAAAACCGATTATTTCGAAAATTGCTTCGGAATCATTAACACGCTATATTTTTCGAATCATTTCGTTGAGATCTATATTTCCGATTTTTTTTTTTTTTGAGGCAACTTTTCCGAAAGTTCAAGTTTTCAATATCGTGAAAATTTTGACCTTTTTTTTCGGCCACCTTTAAAAATGACCTAAAAATGTACATTTTCACTTCTTAAAAGTTATTTTCGAACTCATTTCTTCGAAAACTCCTACAATTTTTCCAGAATCGCATAATGAGATTTAGGGGTTTTTAGTATTAAAAAAATTACTTTCTAAAATCTTGCTTTTGACCACAAATGTGTTATATTTTTCGAATTTTTTTGTGGATTCTTAGATAATTTGTCCAAACGCTCAATTTCTCAATAGATATTATGAAAATTTCTATTTTCGAAAATTATCTAAAGACATATTTTTTTGTAGATTCCGACCCCTAAAAATTAATTTCCAACCCATTTTTCCATAATCGCCTTATTTTTAGAATTGAAAAAATATCTTTTTTCAAATCTTATAATAAGACGACAATCATACTACATTTTTCAAATCAGTACATCCAGATCTACTTATGTCTGAGAATTTTTGGGGATTTTTAGACAACTTTTTCAAAAACTGAATTTTTCAATGTTTTCTTATGAAAATTTGGACTTTTTTTGACGACCATCTAAAATTACCCAAAGAAATTATTTTGTATATTTGGCCTCCAGAATTGATTTTCAGCTTCGTTTTATTTTAAGTTGTACCATTTTTTCAGAATCGTCCAACAAAATATGGCAATTTTTAGGATTTCTCAAAAATTTTATTTTCAAACCACTTGGTTGGAAACTCTTGCTTCGGAATCATAAACACACAATATTTTTCGAATTAGCACGTCGAGATCCAATTCCAGAATTTTTTGTGTTTTTTTAGACAACTGTTCTGCAAGTTCCATTTTTCAAAATTGTGAAAATTTCGGCTATTTTTGATTTTCAGGCGTATTGCTTCAAAAATCTTGTCCGGAATCATAAACACAGTATATTTTTCATCAGCTTATCGAAACCTATTCAAACATTTTTGGTGGTTTTTAGAGGCAACTTTTTCAAAAATAACGGGAATTTTTAGTAGATTTTTTCAGAATATGGAAATTTTTAAGATGTGTCAAAAATTTCATTTCCAAACCGAATTTTTTCGACAACCTCAAATTAAAACAGACAGGATTTTTTTTTCACTTTTAAGATAAGTTTTATATCAAATTTAATAAATCATCTAAAGATCTATATCGGATTAGAAATAAGTAGTGGTGAAATAAGTAAGTTGTTGCTTCACGGAAATTGATTATCAAGGGAATTATTTTAACGATTATTATCACAAAATAACTTAGTATAATAATACTTGAAAGATTTTTTTTTTAATTAAGAAATAAAGATTAACAACAACTACTTTTTATTACTCGTATTATGGTAATAATCGTTGATTAAATTTAGCGAATGTAACAAAAAAGAACATACAGAGAAAGTTATTCCGAAATGTCGCCGAAAATTTTTTGATTCAAAGTTGGCTCTAATTAACATATGATATTTGGTTTCGTTGAGGGAGTTTACAAAATAATATGATGAGTATGTTTTTTAAATGAGCATTTTTTGTATTTCAAATGAAAAGGGGTAAGTTGTTTAAGCCATTTTTGTATCAAAATGTTTTAAAATAATTTTGAAACATTATATATATATATTTTAATGTTTTAAAGCATTTTTTCATTTAGGAAAAAATATATATTCAGAATTTCCGGTTATTTTAATTCTGCAGTATCGTCACATTTATCACATTTAGGCCACTGAAAAAATAAAAATTGTTCGGTTTAGTTACTAAGCGCGCGTCCTTGATATCTCAGTATTATTGAGACACAGCACACGACTTAGGTTTTTTAAAAACAACACCCTATATATTTTTATATAGTTTCATTGGCTTCTTCCTAACCTCTAAAGCCATAATTTATTTTTGAAATTCCGGTGCGACGTTGCCACGTTATTTAGATTTTTTTATTTTTTTTAAATGCAGTGGTTTACAAAAAACGCAGTAAAGTTATTTTTAAAATCTCTGTTACAATATTTTCCCTTTAACCAAACAAAGAGAACAAAAATAGTGTAAGATGCGGTAATAAAATACAGAATGTTGTATTTGAAAAAATCTGAAGTATTTTTTGTTTGAAAATTCTGGTGAATTAGATTTTATAGACACTCGGTATATTAAAATACGATTTTAAGTTCAGTTGTTTTATAGTTAGAAAAACTTAAATACCAGATTATAATTATCGTATAGTTAGAACATTATTATAGAAAATTTTACGATGGCATTATAAGGGGTGATAGTAAATTTTAGTGTACACAAAATAACGTTCTGAATATAGATTAATAAAACGGGAATACGTACTTCATGTTTGTGTTATCGGCAACCTGTACAGTATTGTTGCCACACAAAACTGCGAAACTCAACACTTCATTTATTTTGTTATCAACGTTTAACATTGAAAACTCGGTTAGTTAAAACGCGAATTGTGCGATGTTGTACATATATGTGCTAATTAGGTTATTCATTGAGCTAGCAAGGTTGAAAGAATTAAGCGGTTTCAGATTTTCTGGCTTTTCGCCAAGCTAAACATCAACAATAAACAGATTCCAGCTATAAAATTTAAACAGTCCGGAATTTTCCATTTTTTTTTTTTTAGTTCGAAAAAACTGCAAACATAAAAATAGAAACAAACAACAATAGTAAAACGAATTCTGACGGTGTTTACACTCGAATAAAAGTGCAGTTATCTTTCAACATTTAAATATGTAACTATCGGATTTGGCAGCATAGCGTAATATTATTTTCGCTTTTTATTATTTGCAAACTTTATTATCTCCTTGTGTGTAATTAACTACCTCGCGAAAAAAAATATTACTGCGTAACACAAATAATTCGAATAGCACGAATTTTTGAAAGCTGACTTACAAAAATCCATTTCTCGAAAACGTTTCCACTGCGACTGCAACACGAGCATTCTTGCGCTAATTCAAACCGAAACTTTTTGACCTATCAATTGATTGTGCTACAGAAATTATGAATTAATTTCAGCGCAACAAAGACACCACACCCGGTGTGTGGCATTGTCAAGTCGGCGAAAAGTCGCCACAGTTTCGGGTTGGAATGGCCCGAGGATGCCAACGCGTTCACTACCTACTCACACTCACCCCTTTATCCACGTAAGTGCACTATTTTTGCAAACAAAAACCCGAAAAGTCACACTTCATTGTGACGTTTTTGAATTTGTTGCGAAGTTGTCACTTGCGTAGTCTGGATTTCGATTGCAGCCGGGACCCCTGTAGTTATCAGACTGAGATAAGATTCGGCACTTCCTAACCGAACATAGTATTACAAGTGACGCTTCAGTGCAGATGGTTTTTTATTTTTAGTGTATCACCACGTTTATCTACACCAGGTTCTTTTACCTTTCATTTTATTTCTTGCGTGAATCACTGTTAGTTACGACATTCGTGCTAACACCACCAATTACGCCGGTTTCTAATTGCGACAGAAATAACTCCGTGGAACAATCAGAATTACCATATTTCGAAAATTTTTTAAAAATCGTGGTTGTTTTCGTGACGCAATAGTGCGTGAGCCACATCACTACACAGTAGTACAGAGATAGCCTCTGACTTGTTACTTAATCGCGTCATTTTGCAGCGGAATGACGGGGAGTTTGTCCGAAATCCAGGCCAAAGTCGAGGAATGGCTGCAATGGGACCGGGACAAGCAAACCGCACTTACCATCAAGCGCTTAGCCCACGAAGAAAAATACGATGAGCTGTCCAAATTGTTGCTTGATCGGTTATCGTTCGGGACGGCGGGATTACGGGGGAAAATGGGGGCAGGGTACGCCGCCATGAACGATCTAGTGATCATTCAAACAGCGCAAGGGTTACTTAACTATTTAGAGCAACATGAGGGGGATTTGTTGAAAGAAAATGGGATCGTGATTGGGTACGACGGGCGACATAACAGCAAAAGGTATAGTGGTACAGTGTTATAGTGTTATAGTCAGACACACAAGTTAGTTTCAATGTTTTAGGTGGGCCGAGCTCACAGCTAGTATTTTTTTACATAGAGATTACATCGTTAGACTGTTTAGTGCGGTGGTACCAACACCCTTCGTCCCATTTACCGTCGCCAAGTACGAATGTGCCATAGGTGTTATGGTAACGGCGTCCCATAACCCCAAAGAAGACAACGGTTACAAAGTAACTATAACTAAGTGTGTGGTACCACCACTGACTTCACTTGCAGGTGTATGGGTCAAACGGCGCACAAATCGTCTCACCCGTAGACCACGAAATCCAAGAAAATATTCTAAACAATTTAAAACCTTTAGAAACATCATGGGACACGTCGGTACTTAGTACCAGCCCACTTTTAAGTGACCCTTTAGAGGCAACTTTAAACGACTATCTGCACACAATCGAAGAGACAATTTTACCAAAACACAAAGAAATCAATGAGACGGCTCAAGTACTCTTCACTTATACCGCGATGCACGGAGTGGGGTACCGCTACGTCGCAAAAGTTTTTGACTTAATTAAAGTCAGAATGGTACCGGTGGAGGAGCAAAAAGACCCGCACTCGGATTTCCCCACCGTCAAGTATAAACCCACAATTTGCTAACTCCACCTAATGCGATCTTCCAGATTCCCCAATCCCGAAGAAGGCAAAAGCAGCTTGGACCTCTCATTTAGTACCGCCGACGCAAATGGAAGTCGCGTGATAATCGCCAATGATCCAGACGCGGATCGAATGGGAGTTGCCGAAAAAAACGAAGGGTACTCACCTACTGTGTAAAAGTACGACTTTAACTAATTGTGTTGTTACAGAAGCGGCGAATGGAGGGTTTTTACGGGTAACGAACTCGGCGCTTTGTTAGGGTGGTGGTGTTTGTACTGTTTCAAACTCAAGTACCCCGACGAGCCCCTAGAAAACACCTACATGCTCTCTAGTACCGTAAGTTCGATGATTCTCCGCTCCATGTCGTACAAAGAAGGGTTCAACTACATCGATACTCTCACTGGTTTCAAATGGATGGGTAATCGAACCTACGACTTGTTGAAAGAGGGCAAGAAGGTCATTTTCGCGTTTGAAGAGGCCATCGGCTTTTGTTGCGGTACTGCTGTTTTGGATAAAGATGGCGTGTCGGCGGCGTTTCAGCTAGCGACTCTTACGTCATATTTGTACAATGATAAAAAAACTCTAGGGGATAAGCTAGGAGAGATTTATGACGAATACGGTTATCATGTGTCTCGCAATTCGTACTTTATCTGTTATGAAGCCGACAAGATTACGAGTATTTTTAAAAGGTTGCGAGACTATAAAGGAACGGAAAGGGTGTTAGTTTCATCGGTGACGATTTAAAAAATAAAAGTCGGTTTTTAGTACCCCACGGGAATTCTGGAGGAGAAGTACGAAATTAGTACCGTTAGGGATTTGACGATGGGATTTGATAACAGTCAAGCTGATGAGAAGGCCGTTTTACCGGTATCCGAGAGTAATCAAATGATTACTTTTAATTTTAGTAATGGGTTAGTTTGTACGCTGAGGACGAGTGGTACCGAGCCCAAAATTAAATACTATACCGAAATGTGTGCCACTCCTGGAGAATCGTAAGTGATTTATTTAGTGATAAATCAACCAATTTTAATTGTATCTATTTAGGAATCAGGAGGCTATTTTAGACACGTTAATGGAAATGGTTGAAGGGATAATCGCAGAGTTTTTAGAACCAGAAAAAAACGAGTTGATAGCAAAGCATGACTAATTTTGTACAACTTTAGATAGTGTATTAGACGCTTTTTACTTGTTTAGTTAATTCGTTACAATAAAGAAAATACCACCTCGTGTTAATCACAAAATACAGCTACAAAAGCATTTCTTGGAGCTTAAATTTCTGAATTTTCCCCGATGCGGTTCGAGGAAAATTTTCGAAAATCTCCATTTTCGTGGGTATTTTGAAATAGGCCAACTTTCCTTTGCAGAAAGTGGCGAGTTCTTCCAGTGTTAAGTGTGACTGGGGTTTGATTCTCACACAGACACACACTTCTTCCCCTAGTCTTTTGTGTGGTGTACCTATTACCTGAAAATAGTGACGGTTGGTTTAGTGTTTTTGTTTATATAAATTATAGTTTACTTGTACTTCCACAACTAGTGGATGGGTGACCACCAACTCTTCGATTTCTTTGGGAAAAATATTTTCTCCGCCTCGTAAAATCATGTCTTTTAGTCTTCCGACCGCTTTTCCGCTACCGTCTTCCTCAAGAATGAATTGATCCCTAGTCAGACGTGTTTAAATTATGCTAAAATAAGTAAAGACTGAACAAACCCGGTTTTGAGCCACCCGTCTTTGCTTAACATTTCGTTTGTTTTTTCTTCGTCTTCCCAGTAACCTTGCATGTTACAATACCCTCTTATGCACAGTTCACCGGGAGTACCAAAAGGTACCATTTCACCTTTGTCGTTTATTACTTTAGCCTCGACATGTTCTTGTAGGTAGTACACAAGAAATGGAGAATTTTCAATTGGTACTGACTGGAATACCGACGCTGTACACTCTGTTAGTCCATAGACAGACTAACACATAAAATCTAAATAAATCATGTAGACAAGCAACGAATTAACTTACATTAACTTTGGACATATTTAAGGTTTTTAATATTTGTTCTAACAAATGTGGTGCACTTGGAGCACCACCTAAGAGAGCCTTTTCTACAGATACAGGTTCTTTCCGTTTTTCTTGAGTCTCTATCAAGTCTAGAAACATCGTAGGCGTTCCAGTGATCACAGTGCACTTCTGGTTTTGGACTGCGTCCAGACTTTTCTCGGGTTGGTAACCGTCTGTTGGTAAAACTATAGTACTGGCGAAATTTAAAGCTGCCATGATAATTCCGACGGTACCAAACACATGAAAAAGTGGTACCTGCACACAAATTGTGTGATGTTTGCCAGCCAATTCCATTCTTTTTCCAATCAAGAATCCGTTATTAATCATTTTGAAATGGGTGGCCAAAGCGGCTTTGGGTTTTCCTGTGGTTTCCTGAAGTACCGTGACTAAGTATTGATGGGTTAAAATGAAAACGATTCTCACTGAAGTGAAATGGAGGCTGCAGCCGTCATCAGGACTAATAGTGAGTTGCAATTTTTGTATAATTCCGATTTCGGTACTAGTCGCCATGTCCAAAATTTGGTCAAAAGTGTAAGTACCTCTACAGAAAACCACAGTAGTAGTACAAAATTCAGAATATTTCGTTATTATACTTAATACCGTTTAAAGTCGTCGCTGATACGAATGACGGTTTTAAGCGATGGTACTTTTTTACTTTGAAGTTTCCCAGGGTCGCACTTTTGCAGTTCTGGAGCTATATTCAACATAGTCTCGTAATAATCGCGGTGTTTAAATTTATCACCACACACCAACGCTTTCATTTGGGTTTTGTTAATACAGTACTTTATTTCCGGAGCTTCATAAACCGGATTTAAACATACCTAAAATTTTTTAAAAAAATTTGTTAAATAAAATATGATTGTTGCCAACTGCAATTAAACCAGCTCTCGCACATGCCATCATCGTTATGCACCATTCCAGTAAATTTGGGGCCCAAATTCCCAAGCGGTCATTTTTTTCCAAATTTAATAGTTTGAAACTTGCAGCCACTTTGTCAGTTTTGTCTAACAGTTCAGAGAATGTCAGAAATTTGTCCTGATGGACTGAAATGATGGCTTTTCTGTCGCCGAAATTTTTGGCCACTTCCTCTAAAAGTTGTCCAATTGTGACGTATTTTAAAGGCTGTTCGCCAACTTTGTGTACGTAACTTGGCTTGGTAGAATACATTGTATGTGGATTTTCTGAAAGAAAATGTTGTGTTAACAGTTCCGACATCTTCCAAAGTATCGCTTTCTGTAAACAACACGTAAGTGCGTTGTTAGTAGATTTTGATTTTTTATAATTACTTGTAAGTGGAGATAAATAATACTTAACTTACCTGATGCATATGGGTTTAGTATTCGTAAATGGAGAATTATTGTTGCAAACTGATAAGGCGACTGTTCAAAATAACAATTTCAAATTACTGTCGTCAAGTACCTATCCTTGACTTGTTAAACGTGAAGTCGTTTTAGAAATAAATTAGTTCATAGCGAAAGAATTTCAGTAATTCCTGGCATTTTATTCCAATATAATTATTTATTTTTTCTTTCTGAGCGTAGCGTTTCCGTGTCTGTCCGTCTGCCTTTCTGTCTCTCTGTCTGTCTCTGACTGTGTTGAATTTTCACCCTAGACATCCAGAATTTTTGGAAAAAATTCAAAACTGAATAACAATATTTTGCAATATAACTGTGAAACTGCAAAACCGATTACCCTGAAATATTGTAAATATTTTAAGGTGATCGTACTCATGGTGGGTAAATCGTTAAGCAAAATTTAGTCGTTTATCCCCTTCCAAAAAATTGATGACGTCATCTCAAAATTTTGCCGAATAAATCCTATCCAAAATGTTATGTGATTTAAATAATATGATATAATGGTTGTAATAAAATTCGCAAAATCAAATCTTATTTTTCGAAAAATCCCGATTTATTTTTATCTTTAACCAATTTTTGAGATGTTTCTTCATGTTCTTTCATTTTTCAATTTTTCCATTTTTCGAAGTTTCGGTTTCATAATTTTTCGTTTTTGCACCTTTAGTCCGGTTTATGGAAAGCGAATTAAAAGTTAATCGCGATTAATTTGAATTGAGTATTTTGTTTCCTCAATTTTCAGGTTCTTTATTTTTATTTTCCATTTTCAGGATTTTTTAATTTTCTTGATTTTATTCACAATTTTTCGATTAATTTCCTTTTTTTTCAATGTTTCTTCCGATTTTACAATTTTTCGTTTGTTTATTTCATTCTTCAAATTTTTCAATTTTCAATTTCTCGATTTTCCAATTTTCAGATTTTTCAATTCTGCAATTTTTGGATTTCTCAATTATCCGATTTTCCGATTTTTTGATTTCCAGTATTTCGAATTTACAATATTTCGTTTTAGACTTTGTAGTTATTCGATTTGTAATGTCCGTAAATTTTTGTAGAGAAATATGTATTTTGCAATGAGACTCCGCCCCTCGCTCTAACAACGAATGAAAAATTCATCACAATTAGGACCGGGCGGGTGGGTGGGGTTTAATCTTTGTCTTTTTTTTTTAGTATATAGAGTTTTCTTTCAACTACAGAATAGTTAACATGTTTTCGGTTGCTTGTTGGGAAAAAAGGCTTGATATATTAAGGAAAAATGGACAAAATATAAGCCCCGCCCACCCACCCTTTCTCATTTGTGATGAATTTTTTATTCATCGTGAGCTGAAAAGTGGAGCTTAATTACAAAATTCTCATTTCTCTACAAAAAATTACCACATGAACTATGTTTTTAAAAGGGTAGAATTTTCTAGAGAAATTTTGATGTTATAATTAAACTCTTCCCCTCTGTTTGACTAGGAATGAAAAATCCATCACAATTGAGATCCGGGCGGGTGGGTGGGGTTTAATCGATTTTTGTTTTTTTTTTTAATATAAGTATAGAATTTTTTTAAAAACAAGAGAGTTAACATGTTTTCAGTTCCTTGTTCGTAAAAAAGACTTCGTATATTAAGGAAAAATGGACAAATTATAAACCCCACCCACCCACCCTTTCTCAATTGTGATGAATTTTTTATTCATGGTGTGGAGCTTAGTTATAAAATTCTCACTTCTCTACAAGAAGTTACCATATGAAATATGTTTTTAAAAGGGTAAAATTTTCTAGAGAAATTTTGATGTTACCATTAAACTCCTCCCCTCGGTCTGACTAGGAATGAAAAACCAATCACAATTTAATCATTTTTTTGTTTTTTTTTTAATATATAGTTTTTTTTAACAACAGGATGGTTAACATGTTCAAGTTCTTGTAGGGAAAACGACTTTGTATATTAAGCAAAAAATGGATAAAAGATAAGCCCCGCCCACCCACCCTTTCTCAATTGTGATGAATGTTTTATTCATCGTGTGCTGAAGGGTGGACCTTCGTAACAAAATCGTTATTTCTCTACAAGAAATTACCAAATGAAATATGTTTTTGAAAGGGTGGGATTTTCTAGAGAAATTTTGATATTACAATTAAACTTCCCTCGGTCTGATTGGGAATGAAATTATCATTACAACTGAGTTCGGAGCGGGTGGGTGGGGTTTAATCATTTTTTTTAATACATATATAGGTTTTTTTTAACAACAGGATGGTTAACATGTTTTCAGTTCCTTGTTGGGAAAAAGACTTCGTATATTAAGAAAAAAAAAATGGACAAAATATAAGCCCCGCCCACCCACCGATTCTCAATAATTGTGATGAATTGTTTATTCATCGTGAACTGAAGGGTGGAGCTTAGTTACAAAATCGTCATTTCTCTAAAAGAAATTACCACACGAAATATGTTTTTAAAAGGGTAGAATTTTCTAGAGAAATTTTGATGTTACAATTAAACTCCGCCCCTCGGTCTGATTAGGAATGAAAAACTCATCACAATCGAGATCTGGGCGGGTGGGTGGGGTTTAATCTTTTGTTTGTTTTTTTTTAATGTAAGTATAGAGTTTTTTTAACAGAATAGTTAATATGTTTTCAGTTTCTTGTTGGGAAAAAGGACTTCGTATAATAAGAAAAAACGGACAAATTATAATAACCATATAAAATATGTTTGCAAAAGTGTAGAATATTGTAGAGAAATTTTGATGTTACAATTAAACTCCGCCCCTCGGTGTGATTAGGAATGAAAAACTCATCACAATCGAGATCCGGGTGGGCGGGTGGGGCTTAATCTTTGTTTTTTCTGTATGTACGTAGTTTTCTTTCAACATTTTTTTGGCACAAAGAATAAGAGATATTATAATAAAAAAAATAATTTTGGATTGTACTGTACAAAACTCGTCTGAAATTTCAAATCGAAAAACTTCAAAATCTAAAAATTGAAACGTCCGAAAGTTGGAAAATCAGAAAACTGGAAAATTTAGAAATGAAAACTCGAAGAGATCGCAGAATTGTAGAAAACAAAAATGAAAGATTGAAAAATTGCAAATGGAAAAATTAAAAATTGAAAACTCGAGAAACTCAATTCGTAAAATTGCAAAATCAATAAACTGAAAAATTCAAAAGTTGAAAAATCCAACACAAAAATGAAAGATTGAGGAACTGGAAAATTAAAGTCAAAAAAGCCGTGGAACCGTTATTTACGCCACTGGATTTTACTTTATAGAGGTTATCAGGAAGCAAAAATTGCAAAAAAAATCGAGCAAGTGGATTTATTTTTTTATTTGTTGAAATAACCTTCGCACAATTTTTTGCCTGTCAACTCATATTAATAACAAAATACCATTACAAATTTTCTTTAAACATTTCTTTCAGACAGCATTTCCTGAAGCTTAAGTTTCTGGATTTTCCCTCCAGCTGTTCGAGGAAAACTGTCGAAAATTTCCATCCTCGTGGGAATTTTGAAGTATGCCAACTTTCCTTTACAGAAAGTTACGATGTCTTCAAGGGTTAAATTTGATTGTGGTTTAATTCTCGCACACGCACAAACTTCTTCCCCTAGCCTTTTATGTGGTGTACCAACCACCTAAAAAGAATAATAGTTAATTTAGTTATTATTATATTACATTTACACATTATAACTTACATACACTTCCAAAATATCTGGATGTGTGATCAAAAATTGTTCGATTTCTTTTGGAAACACATTTTCTCCTCCTCGTATAATCAGATCTTTTATTCGTCCGACCACTTGTCCACTTCCATCTTCTTCAAGAGTGAACTGGTCTCTAATAGAAAATTTACATTACAGTGAAATTAGATACGAAACGAAACAAACCCTGTTCTAAGCCAACCGTCTTGTCCTATCAGATCGTTCGTTTTCTCTTCGTCTTTCCAGTAACCTGACATGATACTATAACCTCGTACGCACAGTTCTCCAGGAGTACCAAAAGGTACCGTTTGGTCATGTTCATCTATTACTTTAACCTCCATATGTTCTTGTACGTACTTCACAAACTTTGGAGATTCTTCTTTAATTCCTGTCGGTACTGATTGAAACACTGATCCAGTACATTCTGTTAGTCCATAGATCAACTGAAACACGAAACTGAGTATGGAGAAAAGCAAACAGTTAACTTACACGGATTTTAGGTATATTCAAGGTTTTTATAATCTGTTCTAACAGATGATCTGAGGCTGGAGAAGCACCTATGAGAGCTATCTCTGCAGATATAGGTTCTGTGCGTTTTTCTTGACTTTCAATTAGATCTATATACATCGTAGGAGTTCCAATAAGTACCGTGCACCTGAATTTTCAATATTACAAAAATATTTGATTTATGGTAGTGACATACTTTTCGTTTTTGATTACGTCCAAAGCTTTACTGGGTTGGTAACCGTTCGTAGGTAAAACTATGGTACTACCGTGATGTAACGATGCCACGATTCCAGAGAGAGTACCATAAATATGAAAAGGTGGTAGTTGCACACAAATTTTATGATACTTGTTGGATAGTTCTATTTTTTTTCCCAACAAGAACCCATTATTGACCATTTTGAAGTGGGTGGTTAAAGCCGCTTTTGGTTGTCCTGTACTTCCCTGAAACGTCGTGGAATAAGTATTTATAGTACAAAATAAAAAATAAATTAACTGAAGTGAAATAAAGGCTGCAACCATCATCTGGACTGATACTGTGCTGCAGTTTTTGTACTGCTGCGATTTCAGTGTCAACAGCTAGATCCAAAATTTCGTGAAAATTATAAGTACCTCTAGAAACAATAGTACTGTTAGTTAAAACTTTAAAGTGACTCGTTAGCTAGTACCTTTTAGTGTCGTTGCTGATGCGAATGACTGTTCTAAGAGATGGCACTTTTTTACTTTGAAGTCTACCAGGGTTGCACTCTTCCAGTTCAGGAGCCACAGTTAACAAAGTCTCGTAGTAATCATGGTGCTTAAATTTATTAGCACACACCAAAGCCTTTATTTCAGTTTTGTTGATACAAAATTCTATTTCCGAGGCTTCAAAAACAGGATTAACGCATACCTAAAGAAAAAAATTTGTTTCAAGTGATAAATATGGCTGTTTTGCTCACCGAAATCAGACCAGCTCGTGCACATGCCATCTTGGTGACGTACCATTCTATCAAATTTGGAGCCCATATTCCTAAGCGATCACTTTTTTCTAAATTTAATAATCTGAAACTTGCGGCTAGTTTATCCGCCTTCTGTAAAAGTTCAGAAAACGTCACTGATTGGTTTTGGTGTGTTGAAATGATGGCTTTTCTGTCGCCAAACTTGTCGGCTGCGTTTTCTAAAAGTCGTCCGATTGTGATATATTGTAAAGGTTGTTCACCGATGTGATGTATATAACTGGGTTTTCTGATAGACTTTCTGAAAGTATTTGGTTGTTAAAAATGTTAATTTCAGTTTCAAGTTGGTTACTTAGTTGTTTGTAAACTTTTCGAAATGCCTTTTGAAAACATGTTTACTCAAGTTTCGGTCTTTTCTCTATACTTGCAATATCGTAAGTGGACACAAATAATGGATATGACTTGTAGATACTTAGTTTGTCGTCAAGCAAGATGCACTTGTCCTGTTCGTAAATTGACAATGAGTGTTGCGTATTTACTATTGAAAACAACATTAAAATTTCTAAGAATTTGTAGTTAGATAACTATTCTAATGTGTCCTTCAATGTGTCTTTCAATCCACTGATTAGTTACCTTTGGACAACTTAAACATATGTTTTTCATTGATTTGATAAACTGGAAGAGTGTTTTTATCATATTGAGTTAGTTTAAAAATCAAAAAATGATAATACAGCGTATAGCGTTTAAATTTCAAGAGAGCTTTGTTTGAAGTTATGTTATTTATATCCATTTAGAACTAGCAAACTGTTCGATTTGATGTCGTAGGAGTGAGGAAAATACCATAGTCTGCGTAGGAATTTAGTTGAGAGGGAAGACAAGAATTTGATAAGTTTATTTGGAACTAAATTACATGCACAATAAAGTACAAAAAGTGAAAGGAAAAAATATGAAGTCATTGAATCATAAAATATGTTTTTCTGGATGCATTCCTCTTTAAAGAAACCGTTCAGACAGCATTTTTACAAGTTCAAGCTTCTGAATTTTTCCTGCAAGTGGTCGAGGAAAACTATCGAAAATTTCTATCTTCGTGGGAATTTTGAAATACGCCAACTTTCCTTTACAGAAAGTTGCGATGTCTTCAAGTGTTAAATTTGATTGTGGTTTAAGTCTGACACACGCACACACTTCTTCGCCTAGTCTTTGATGGGGTGTACCTACCACCTAAAAAGAATAACAGTTAATTTATTTATTATATTTATATTTATACTTACATATACTTCCAAAATATTCGGATGTGTGATCAGAAATGCTTCTATTTCTTTTGGAAACACATTTTCCCCTCCTCGTATAATTAGATCTTTTATTCGTCCGACCACTTGTCCACTTCCGTCTTCTTCAAGAGTGAATTGGTCTCTAAAAAACATTTAAATTAGAATGAAGTTAGATAGGGGACAAACCAACCCAGTTCTAAGCCAACCGTCTTGTCCTAACATATCATTAGTTTTCTTTTCGTCATTCCAGTAACCCAACATGTTACTATAACTTCGTACGCATAGTTCTCCAGGAGTACCAAACGGTACCACAACACCATTTTCATCAATTACTTTAGCCTCCATATGTTCTTGTATATAGTTGACAAGTACTGGATACTTTTTTGTAGATTTTGTTGGTACTGATTGAAACACTGATCCAACACATTCTGTTAGACCATAAACCGACTGAAACACTAAGTTAAAACATATAAAACAACAAACACTTCACTTACGTGAAATTTAGGTATATTTAAGATTTCTATAATCTGTTGTAACAGATGTGGTGAGCTTGGGGCACCACCTAGGAGAGCCTTTTCTACAGATACAGGTTCTTTCCGTTTTTCTTGAGTCTCTATCAAGTCTAGAAACGTCGTAGGTGTTCCAGTGATCACAGTGCTCTTCTGGTTTTTGATTGCGTCCAGACTTTTCTCGGCTTGGTAACCGTCTGTTGGTAAAACAGCCATGATAATTTCGACGGTACCCAACACATGAAAAAGTGGTACCTGCACACAAATTGTGTGATGTTTGCCAGCTAATTCCATTCTTTTTCCAATCAAGAATCCGTTATTAATCATTTTGAAATGGGTGGCCAAAGCCGCTTTGGGTTTTCCCGTGGTTCCCTGAAGTACCGTTGAATAAGTATTGGTGGGTTAAAATGAACATGATTCTCACTGAAGTGAAATGGAGGCTGCTGCCGTCATCGGGACTAATAGTGAGCTGCAATTGTTGTATAATTTCGATTTCGGTACTACTCGCCATGTCCAAAGTTTGGTCAAAAGTGTAAGTACCACTACAGAAAACCACAGAATTAGTGCAAAATTCAGTTATTTCGTTATTAAGTACCGTTTAAAATCGTCGCTGATACGAATGACGGTTTTAAGCGATGGTACTTTTTTACTTTGAAGTTTCCCAGGGTCGTACTTTTCCAGTTGTGGAGCTATACTCAACAGAGTCTCGTAATAATCGCGGTGTTTAAATTTATCACCACACACTAAAACTTTAATTTGGGTTTTATTATTACAGTACTCTATTTCCGGAGCTTCGTAAACCGGGTTTAAACATACCTAAAAATTGTTTAAAAAATATGTTAAATAAAATGTGTTGTTGCCAACCGCAATTAACCCAGCTCTTGCACATGCCATCATCGTTATGTACCATTCCAGTAAATTTGGGGCCCAAATCCCAAGCGGTCATTTTTTTCCAAGTTTAATAGTTTGAAACTTGCAGCCACTTTGTCAGTTTTGTCTAACAGTTCAGAGAATGTCAGAAATTTGTCCTGATGGACTGAAATGATGGCTTTTCTGTCGCCGAAATTTTTGGCCACTTTTTCTAAAAGTTGTCCAATTGTGACATATTTTAAAGGCTGTTCGCCAACTTTGTGTACGTAACTTGGTTTAGTAGAATACATTGTATATGGATTTTCTGAAAGCCAATGTTGTGTTAATAGTTTCGACATCTTCCAAAGTATCGCTTTCTGTAAACAACACGTAAATGCGTTGTTAGTAGATTTTGATTTTTTATAATTACTTGTAACGTCGTAAGTGGAGATAAATAATACTTAACTTACGTGATGCATATAGGTTTAGTATTCGTAAATGGAGAATTATTGTTACAAACTGATAAGACGACTGTTCAAAATAACAATTTCAAATTACTGTCGTCAAGTACCTATCCTTGACTTGTTAAACGTGAAGTCGTTTTAGAAATAAATTAGTTCATAGCGAAAGAATTTCACTAATTCCTCGCATTTTATTCCAACATAATTATTTATTTTTTCTTTTTGAGCGTAGCGTTTCCGTGTCTGTCCGTTTGCCTTTCTGGCTCTCTGTCTGTCTCTGACTGTGTCGAATTTTCACCCTAGACATCCAGAATTTTTGGAAAAAATTCAAAACTGAATAACAATATTTTGCAATATAACTTTGAAATTGCAAAGCCGATTACTCTGTAAATATTTTAAGGTGATCGTAATCATGGTAGGTATATCGTTAAGCAAAATTTAGTCGTTTATCCCCTTCCAAAAAATTGATGACGTCATCTCAAAATTTTGCCGAATAAATCCTATCCAAAGTGTCATGTGATTTAAATAATATGATATAATGGTTGTAATAAAATTCGCAAAATCAAATCTTATTTTTCGAAAAATCCCGCTTTATATTTATCTTTAACCAATTTTTGAGATGTTTTTCATGTTCTTTCATTTTTCAGTTTTTCCATTTTTGGAAGTTTCGGTTTCATAGTTTTTGGTTTTTGCAACCTTAGTCCGGTTTATGGAAAGCGAATTAAAAGTTAATCGCGATTAATTTTAATTGAGTATTTTGTTTCCTCAAATTTCAGGTTCTTTATGTTTATTTTCCATTTTTAGGATTTTTAAATTTTCTTAATTTTATTCACAATTTTTCGATTCATTTCCTTTTTTTCAATGTTTCTTCCGATTTTACAATTTTTCGTTGGTGTATTTTATTCTTCAAATTTTTCATTTTTCAATTCCTCGATTTTCCAAATTTCAAATTTTTCAATTCTGCAATTTTTGGATTTCTCAATTATCCGATTTTCCGATTTTTTGATTTCCAGTATTTCGAATTTACAATATTTCGTTTTCGAGTTTGTAGTTTTTCGATTTGTAATGCCCGTTTGTACTATACTTTTAATCACCTGAAAATGGTAAATTTTTGCAGAGAAATATGTATTTTGCAATGAGACTCCGCCCCTCGCGCTAGCAACGAATGAAAAATTCATCACAATCGGGACCGGGGCGGGTGGGTGGGGTTTAATCCTTGTCTTTTTTTTTAATATACAGAGTTTTCTTTCAACAACAGGATAGTTAACATGTTTTCGGTTGCTTGTTCGGAAAAAAGGCTTGGTATATTAAGGAAAAATGGACAAAGTATAATTTGTGATGAATTTTTTATTCATCGTGAGCTGAAAAGTGGAGCTTAATTATAAAATTCTCATTTCTCTACAAAAAATGACCTTATGAACTATGTTTTTAAATGGGTAGAATTTTCTAGAGAAATTTTGATGTTACAATTAAACTCCTCCCCTCGGTCTGACTAGGAATGAAAAACCAATCACAATTTAATCATTTTTTTGTTTTTTCTTTAATATATAGTTTTTTTTTTTAACAACAAAATGGTTAACATGTTCAGTTTCTTGTTGGGAAAAAGGACTTCGTTTATTAAGGAAAAATGGACAAATTATAAGCCCCACCCACCCACCCTGTCTCAATTTTGATTATTTTGTTATTCGTCGTTAAGCGGAGGGGCGGAGCTTAATTGTAAAATCTTTATTTTCTTACGAGAAATTACCATCTGAAATATGTTCTTAAGTAATCGTGTTATACAACGAAAACTAAGTGTATTAATTAAAAAAGAAAACGAAAAGAGAAGCTCCACCCATCCGTCTCGATACCAATCGAGATGAATTTTTTATTCTTTGTCAGACCGATGGGTGGAGCGTAATTGCAAAATCGAGCACCCATCCGTCCTATCGCAATTGTGATGATTTTTTCTCATTTTAAACGTGTTTTAAGTTTGTAAGAATAAAAAATCACCATAATTGAGATGGGGTGGGTGGGCGGGGTTTATATTTTCCCTTTTTTTTCTTAATATACATAGTATTCTTTGAACAGCACGATACTCAAAACAATTGTCAAATTGTTAAGAAATAAGTATTTTGCACTTAAGCTCCGCCCCCTTGATTCACGGCGAATAAAAAAACATCATCACAATTGAGATAGGGTGGGTGGGTGGGCTTACATTTGCCTTTTTCTTTTAATATGTGTAACTTCTTTTCGCAACATGACACTTAAAACATGTATAAAATGGGAAATTCGTATGAGGATGAATTTTTTATTCAGTGGGAATTAAAAAAGAAAATTCTCATTTCTCTACATGAAATTTCCACATGAAATATGTTTGTAAGATTGAAAAATTGCAAATGGAAGAATTAAAAATTGAAAACTCGAGAAACTCAATTCGAAAAATTGCAAAATCAATAAATTGAAAAATTCAAAAGTTGAAAAGTGCAACAAAAAAATGAAAGATTGAAGAACTGGAAAATTAAAGTCAAAAAAGCTGTGGGACCTTTATTTACGCCAGTGGATTTTACTTAATAGAGGTTATCAGAAAACAAAAATTGCAAAAAATCGAAAAAATGGATTTATTTTTTTATTTGTTGAAATAACCTTCGCCCAATTTTTATTATATTAATAACAAAATACCATTACAAATTTTCTTTAAAAATTTCGTTCATACAGCATTTCTTGAAGTTTAAGTTTCTGGATTTTCCCTCCAGCTGTTCGAGGAAAACTGTCGAAAATTTCCATCCTCGTGGGAATTTTGAAATACGCCAACTTTCCTTTACAGAAAGTTACGATGTCTTCAAGGGTTAAATTTGATTGTGGTTTAATTCTCGCACACGCACACACTTCTTCCCCTAGCCTTTTATGTGGTGTACCAACCACCTAAAAAGAATAATAGTTAATTTAGTTATTATTATACTCATTATATTTATACATTATAACTTACATGCACTTCCAAAATATTTGGATGTGTGATCAGAAATTCTTCGATTTCTTTTGGAAACACATTTTCTCCTCCTCGTATAATCACATCTTTTATTCGTCCGACCACTTGTCCACTTCCATCTTCTTCAAGAGTGAATTGGTCTCTAAAAAACATTATTAGAATGAAGTTAGATATGGGACAAAACAAACCCAGTTCTAAGCCAACCGTCTAGCCCTAACATATCATTAGTTTTCTTTTCGTCATTCCAGTAACCCAACATGTTACTATAACTTCGTACGCATAGTTCTCCAGGAGTACCAAAAGGTACCACACTACCATTTTCATCAATGACTTTAGCCTCCATATGTTCTTGTAAATAGTTCACAAGTATTGGACACTTTTCTGTAGATTTTGTTGGCACTGATTGAAACACTGATCCAACACATTCTGTTAGACCATAGACCGACTGAAACACAAAGTTCAAACATATTGAAAAACAAATAATTCACTTACATGAATTTTAGGAATATTTAAGATTTCTATAATCTGTTGTAGCAGATGTGGTGAGCTTGGGGCACCACCTAAGACAGCTATCTCTGCAGATATAGATTCTTTTCGTTTTTGTCGAGTTTCAGTTAGATCTACAAACATTGTAGGAGTTCCAACAATCACCGTGCACTTCTCGTTTTTGATTGCGTCGAAAGTTTTATCGGATTGGTACCCATCTGTTGGTAAAACTATGGTACTACCGTGATGTAACGACGCCACGATTCCAGCGAGGGTACCATAAATATGAAAAGGTGGTAGCTGTACACAAATTGTGTGAGGCTTGCTGGCTAGTTCTAGTCTTTTTCCTAATAGAAACCCATTATTCACCATTTTGAAGTGGGTTGCTAAAGCCGCTTTTGGTTGTCCAGTGGTTCCCTGAAACGTCGTCGTATTAATTTATCGTTCAAACTAAACAAGTTACTCAACTGAAGTCAAATAAAGGCTGCAGCCATCATCTGGACTGATTCTGTGTTGCAGTTTTTGTACTGCAGCGATTTCAGTGTCAGCAACTAGATCCAAAATTTCGTGAAAATTGTAAGTACCTCTAGAAACAATAGTACTGTTAGTTAAAACTTTAAAGTGACTCGTTAGCTAGTACCTTTTAGTTTCCTTGCTGATGCGAATAACTGTTCTAAGAGATGGCACTTTTTTACTTTGAAGTTTGCCAGGGTCGCACTGGTCCAGTTCTGGGGCCACAGTTAACAAAGTCTCGTAGTAATCATGGTGCTTAAATTTATCAGCACACACCAAAGCCTTCATTTCAGTTTTGTTGATACAATATTGGATTTCCGAGGCTTCAAAAACAGGATTTACGCATACCTAAAGAAAAAAAGTTGTTTCAAGTGATAAATATGGCTGTTTTGCTGACCGAAATCAGACCAGCTCGTGCGCACGCCATCTTGGTGACGTACCATTCCATCAAATTCGGAGCCCATATTCCCAAACGGTCATTTTTCTCCAAATTTAGTATTTTCAAACTTGCTGCCAATTTATCAGCCTTCTGTAAAAGATCAGAGAACGTCAAAAATTTATTCTGATGGACTGAAATGATGGCCTTTCGTTGGCCGAATTTGTTGGCTGCTTCTGCCAAAAGTCGCCCGATTGTGATATATTTTAGAGGTTGTTCACCTATGTGGTGTATATAACTAGGTTTTCTGAAAATATTGTGTTTATGAAAATGTGAATTTCGGTTTTTAATTTCTCACTTAGATGCTTCTAAACTTTTCGAAACGTCTCCTTTTGAAAACATTTTCACTGATTTAGTGTTGTTAGTTAAGTGGACACATATAACAGAAATGACTTGGGTGTAACTAGCTTGTCGTATATTTATCAGTATATTCATATTTAGTGTGCGTAAATTTGTTTATCATTCAAAATAGCAATATTTCTTTTTCAAAAAACCTGTAATAAAACAAATATTCTGAAGTGTCCTTGATGTCTTTCAGTCCACTTATCAGTTACTGCTACTAAATATGCATGAAGTACGCGTTAAAACTAAAAACTACCAGTACCAACATTTTATTAACGAATATTTTAATAACAAAGGTGGGTTTACAATTTAAAATCAACCATCTTCAAAGATTTTTCTCTGAAAGCGTTTCCTTAAGCTTAAATTTCTGAATCTTCCCTGACATTGTTCGAGGAAAATAATCAAAAATTTGCATTTTCGTCGGAATTTTAAAATACGCCAACTTTCCTTTACAGAAAGTTGCGATGTCTTCAAGGGTTAAATTTGCCTGTGGTTTAACTCTCACACACGCACAGACTTCTTCACCGAGCCTTTTGTGTGGTGTACCTATTACCTAAAAACAAAGATAATTAATTAGATTTCTCTTGTACGGTACTACTTACCTGTACTTCGAGAATTTCGGGATGTGTAACCAGAAATTCTTCGATTTCTTTGGGAAAAATATTTTCTCCTCCTCGTATGATCATATCTTTTAACCTCCCGACTACGCGTCCGCTTCCATCTTCCTCGAGAATGAACTGGTCTCTGATAAAAGCAACCTTGATAATAATTATAATACGAATAAGGAGTGAAAAAACAGACCCAGTTTTGAGCCAGCCGTCTTTTCCTAGCATTTCGTTCGTTTTCTCTTCGTCTTCCCAATAACCCAACATGTTACCATAACCCCGTACGCATAGTTCACCAGCGGTACCAAAAGGTACTGCACCACCACTTTCATTAATTACTTTAACCTCGAAATGTTCTTGTACGTACTCCACAAGCTCTGACGCTTTTTTAGTGTCAGTTAGTACTGACTGGAACACTATTCCAGTACATTCTGATAGCCCATAGAGCAGCTGCGATACAAAAACTAAGCTTCTAGAACAACAAGGGTTTAACTTACTTCAACTTTACACCCATTTCTTGAAATCTGTTCAATCAGATATGGTGTAACTGGAGCCCCAGCTATCACAGCTATCTCTGCAGATATACGTTCTTTGCGTTTTTCTTGAGTTTCAATTAAGTCAGTATACATCGTAGGAGTACCATAAACCACCGTACACCTAAATTTTCAAAAATTACAACCGTACTCTGTGTTTGATTGATAGTGAGGTACTTTTCGTTTTTGATTGCGTCCAAAGTTTTACTCGGGTGGTACCCGTCTGTTGGCAAAACTACAGTGCTAGCGTGATTTAAAGCCACCATGATTGCAATATCGGTACCAAAAATATGAAATAGTGGTACCTGGACACAAAGTGTGTGGTGTTTGCGGGACAAATCCATTCCTTTACCTATAAAGAAACCATTATTTACCATTTTGTAGTGGCTGGTTAAAGCCGCTTTTGGTTTTCCTGTGGTTCCCTGAAACGATTTGTGGGGTAAAAATTAAATATTTACACTTTAGGAAAGTGTTACTGAAGTGAAGTGGAGACTGCAGCCATCATCTGGACTAATACACTGTTGGAATTTCTGTACATTAGCGACTTCACTATCATTCGCTAGGTCCAAAATTTGGCGAAAATTGTAAGTACCGCTGGAAAAATTGACAATTAGTTGAAAATAGCGCACCGTTAAAAGTACCGTTTATTTGTTTCGCTGATACGAATCACGGTTTTCAGGGATGGTACTTTTTCGCTTTGAAGATTCCCACGGGCGCAGTTTACCAACTCTGGGGCTATAGTTAATAAAAACTCGTAGTAATCGCGCTGTTTAAATTTATCAGCGCACACTAAAGCTTTGATTTGGGTTTTGTTAATACAGTACACCATCTCTGGGGCTTCAAAAACCGGATTTAGGTACACCTAAAGAAAAACGAATTTTTTGATCTAGCAAATGTGGTTTTTTGGCTAACCGCAATCAAACCGGCTCTTGCACACCCCATCATCGTTATGTACCATTCCAATAAATTCGGAGCCCATATTCCCAAACGGTCATTTTTCTCCAAATTTAGTAATTTGAAAGCTGCAGCTAGTTTATCCGCCTTTTGTAAAAGCTCAAAGAACGTCAAAAATTCGTTCTGGTGTACTGAAACGACCGCTTTTCGTTCGCCGAACTTGTCGGCCGTTTCTTGCAGAAGTTGTCCAATCGTGGTGTATTTCAAAGGCTGTTCACCGATTTTGTGTATATAACTGGGCTTTGTGGAGTGCATGATCGAGTTTCTGAAACTTTTTTGTGCATAAAAGTGTTATTTCTGTTTAATGTAGGTCACTTTGTCGTTTTAAAATTTTTCGAAATGTCGCTGTTTTTAAACATTTTATTTACTTGTTGTTCGTTAGGTTTTGTTTGCGCACAATATCGTAAGCTGGCACAAGTAATTGATTACTAGCTTCACGTTCATGTTATCTGGTACACATACGAATAAATGGAAAATTAATGTTACGAGACAACCAACTAACAATTCAAAATAACGTCATAAATTTTCAAAAAAAACTGCCGCTAATTAGCTGCCTTTCAGTTCGCTTATTTTATCGGTTATTTGTTATTAAACTAGATTTGTATTACTGTTTGATTAATGTTCTGTATTGAGGTTAAACTGCATTAACAGGGTTGAAGATTACAAAATTGCTAATTAAGAGGTCTGAACACTCATATATTGAAGTAGTAATATACAATTGAATATGTAATATAATTAAAGGAAACGAATGACAGTACAATTAATAGTTATACGATAAACATAGCGTCCTCTAGTTACTCCGTAGTTAGGCGACCGAGCCTCGCACTTCTGGACTAGAGATGGCGCCGTTCCAATACTTCCCCACGTGGCAAGAGCTCATTAGCGAACAACATTAAGTCCGCATGACTTCACACACCACACGTGTTTGGGCTTCGACAGTCCTTTAGTTAAAAAGTCGGCGATTTGACTGTCAGTTTTAAGTTAGCCGTCTAGCTGGTGGCAGGGGATAAACCCTATTTATTGTGTAAAATATTTTGCCGTTTTATTTTATTGTCTTGTTTTCGCGGGCGCTCACCACCTGAATTCCGTGTCTCCGGCTTGAGAGCAACCCCGGCGCTCTTTTCCCCGGAGAGGGAAAAGAGGCGCCACCCCAACTATATTGTTTGGACACACGAGATTCCGTCTACTCGCGCTCTGGGCACATAACCTGTCAGCGTCACAATTAGAAACGGAATCTGAACAATCATGTATTGAAGTAGAAAGAAACAATTGAATCGGTAATACAATATATTGTTGACACCCACAACAGTTGGGGTTTCCCAATGTCACCACGTGTTAATAAACACATACCCTACAAACTTTTTTCTAAAATATTATTACATTTTGTTAATAAATGGAATCACTAAATTCTGAACTAAATTTTAAAGTTTTCTTTCACACAGCATTTCTATAAGCTTAAATTTCAAAACAAGTAATATCAATAAAATATCAAATCGTTTTTATTATTCTATGACTAATTTCATAATAGGGTCAAATATTTCGCTAATCGCTAACTAACTGCTCTTATACAAATTACACTTGCTGAAACGGACAGTGGTTTCGAATGCGATTCATTTTCCCCTTTGGTGAAATTACAAACAAACATTCTCCCAAGTGCACTAAAACATGGATGATTGCCTCCGTTACGTTATTTTTTTCAATTTCAAATGCGTTGTGTTGTTTAGTAAGGTACGTTTATCGGACGCATTTACATTAATTCCTAAGTGGAAAATTATGTCCCAATTTGATAAGTTAACTGTTGTTCAAAATACCAACATTACAATTTCAAAAAAACCTGCAAAAAACGACTATTCTGAAGTGTCCTTGATGTATTTTTGTCCACTTATCAGTTAACTTAGCGTTGCTTAAACATGCATGAAATACTATTAAGACAATTGCTAGCGAGGCTATAATAATACAATTCGTAGTTATAAACTATTGAGTTTTGTTTGTGTGTAATTTAAGACTTGTTCCTTATCTACAAGAAGCTTTGTGGAACTTGTTTGATAGCAGGTAATTATAATACATTATTGACGTCAGTATTGTACTGAAAGAAACCCGTACCCCGCCTCGGTACGGCGCCTATGGGTTCTAGTATGTATAGCGAGGATGACTCATCGTGCGGCGTCGGGATGGCTGGAAGCGGAAGTCTCCATGGATTCCAGAAAGACCTCGATCACGAGACTCTTTTTTGGGATTTCAGCTCATGGGGATGTTAATGTTAATGTTAATAACAGTGTACCTCACAAACTTTTTTATAAAATATTATTACATTTTGTTAACAAAGCAAAACCACTGAAGTCCTCATTTTCCAAACTTGCTCCGTTTTGAACTAAATCTTTGTGGTTTCATCCATCTTCAAAAGTTTTTTTCAGATAGCATTTCTGTAAGCTTAAATTTCTGAATTTTCCCTGAAGTTGTTCGAGGAAAACTATCGAAAATTTCCATCCTCGTGGGAATTTTGAAATACGCCAACTCTCCTTTACAGAAAGTTACGATGTCTTCAAGTGTTAAATTTGATTGTGGTTTAATTCTCATGCACGCACAGACTTCTTCCCCCAGTCTTTTATGTGGTGTACCGATTACCTAAAAACAATAATAGTTAATTCAGTGTCCTCCTTTCATATTAGTATATCATCATAACTTACTTGTACTTCCAAAATATTAGGATGTGTGATCAGAATTTCTTCGATTTCTTTTGGATAAACGTTTTCTCCTCCTCGTATTATCATATCTTTTAATCTCCCGATCAGTTTTCCACTTCCATCTTCTCCAAGAATGCACTGGTCTCTAACAAAACATTTAAATTATAAAAAAAATCAGGCAACGACAAAACGAACCCAGTCCTGAGCCATCCGTCCTTTCCTAAAATTTCGTTTGTTTTTTCTTCGTCGTCCCAGTATTTTAACATATTGCTGTAACATCGTACGCACAATTCACCAGGAGTACCAAAGGGTACCAAATCACCATTTTCGTTTATTACCTTAACTTCAATATGTTCTTGTACGTAATCCACAATTATTGGAGACTTGGCATTAGTTTCTGTTGGTACTGCTTGAAACACTGTCGTGGTACATTCTGTTAGGCCGTAAGCCGACTGAAACACACAAACTAAAACATAACGAAAAGGAAATAGTTAACTTACATGCAGTTTCGATATATTCAAGATTTTCAAAATTTGTTCTAGCAGATGTGGTGTGCTTGGGGCACCACTTATGACCGCTAAGTCTGCAGAAATAGGTTCGTTACGCCTTTCTTGAGTTTGAATGAGGTCTGCATACATCGTAGGAGTTCCATAAATCACCGTGCATCTAAATTTTCAACATTACCAGACTTATATTCAACATATAATAGTGACATACTTTTCGTTTTTAATTGCATCCAAAGTTTTATCGGGTTGGTAGCCGTCTGTTGGTAAAACTATAGTACTGGCGTGGTTCAGTGCTGTCATGATACCAACGATAGTACCAAAAACATGAAAAAGCGGTACCGGCATACAAATTGTGTGATGTTTGCGAGACAGTTGCATTCTTTTTCCTATCAAGAATCCACTATTTACCATTTTGAAATGGGTTGCTAAAGCGGCTTTTGGTTTTCCTGTTGTTCCCTGAAATAACGTGGAATAAGTGCTTATGTTTTAAAATAAACAAATCTTCACCGAAGTGAAATGGAGGCAGCAACCATCATCTGGACTGATTTTGTGTTGCATTTTTTGTAGGTTAGCAATGTTGCTACTACTTGCTAGGTCCAAAACTTGATTAAAATTGTAAGTACCTCTAGAATAAACGGAATGTTAGTTTTAGTTATTTGGAGGTATGTCGTACCGTTTAACGTCCTCGCTGATGCGAATAACCGTTTTAAGAGACCGTATTTTCGTACTTTTAAGTTTTCCTGGGTCGCAGTTTTCCAGTTCTGGAGCTATACTCAACAGAGTTTCGTAATAATCGTGGTGTTTAAATTTATTGGCACACACCAAAGCTGCAATTCCAGATTTATTAATACAGTACTCTATTTCCGAGGCTTCAAACACAGGATTTAAGTAAACCTAAAAATTATAAATAAACAGTAACAGATTAGAAATATGTTTTTTGCTAACCGCAATTAAACCAGCTCTTGCACATGCCATTTTCGTTATATACCACTCCAGTAAATTTGGAGCCCATATCCCCAAGCGGTCATTTTTTTCCAAATTCAATATTTTGAAAGCTGCAGCCAGTTTGTCGGCCCTCTGTAAAAGCTCAGAGAACGTCAGAAATGTATTCTGGTGTACTGAAATGACGGCTTTCCGTTCGCCGAACTTGTTGGCCGTTTCTTCCAAAAGTTGTCCAATCGTGATATATTTTAAAGGTTGTTCGCCAACTTTGTGTATGTAACTGGGTTTTGTGATAGATTTTCTGAAAATGTTTGTGCATAAAAACGTAAATTTCGGTTTAATATGGCGCACTTTGAGGTTTTTAAAGTTTTCGAAATGTCGCATTTGCTAAACATTTTTGTTTACTTGGTGTTGGTAGTTAGATTTTAATGTTTTGTGTTTGCTTACAATATCGTAGGGGTACACTAATAGTGAGTGTGACTTCTTTCTTTTGTTGTTAGATAGTCGTTAAATGCACTTTTATCTGGTACATATACACTTAGTATGCTTAAATGGAAAACTGACGTTATGAGACGATAGTTTGACTATCACAATTTTTAAAAAATCCCAGAGCGAAATAGCTGCGTTTCAATTCACTTATTTTAGAGGTGGTCAAAGAAATGAGTAATATTTCGCTAATCGCTAATTAACTAGTCTTACACTAATTACACTTGTTCAGGACAGTGGGTTCGAATGCGATTCATTTTTGTTTAAGCAATAAACATAGATGATTGCCTATGTTATATCAACAGATATATTTTTGTGTTAATTGTATCCATTTAGAAATCAGGATTTTAATTTTTATTTCTGTTAGTTTTTGTTTATTTGTCTTTCGCCTCGTGATTTTTTTTTTTAATTAAATATTAATACGTATTATAAACCCGCTGTTGCCGTCTTTGTCACACAAACTGCCGTGGTTGTAAATACAGCTTGTCGTTTAGTACGGTACGTTTATCGGACGCATTTACATTTATTCCTAAATGGAGAATTAATGTTGCAACTCGATAAGTTGACTGCTATTCAAAATACCAACATTACAATTTCAAAAAGCCTGCAAAAAACGACTATTCCGAAGTGTCCTTGATGTATTTTTGTACAGTTATCAGTTAGTTTTGCGTTGCTTAAACATGTATGAAATATTTATTAAGGCGTTTGCTAGCGAGGCTATAATAATAATAAAAATTGGTCTAAAGAGTTTAGACAGTACTTCCCTCGCTGTCGGAAACTTGACGACTGCATGTCTATTGTGTTTTTTTTCTCATTACATTTTTGTAGTGGGAATTTAAAAAAAATTGCGATGACGTTATCAACATTTTTGCAAGGACACGTATATTAGTTGGGATAGATGTAGTGTAATACTAAGAATAAAATTATTGTGTTCCCAAATTTTCGGGAAAATGAATTGGGTCGTTTTGAATATTGATTTGTTATAATCAATAAAATAACGAAACAATTTACTCACGTATACGGCGCCGGCGTGTAATATGAGAGGGAACTGAAAATCGTGTATGTATAAGCATTCTTAATTTAAGATGACAAGCATAACAGCATACGTGAGAGTCAAACAGAGAAACTGTAAACAAAACGACCATCGGTTTTATTGCTTCGACTTCCGCTTATTATATAAAACATTGAGTTTTATTTCAATTTTCGACGGTGGAATTCACAATTGGTTGATTATAAACATGTCTATACCACATTCGCGGAACCTTGTCAGCGCACAAAACAAATGCACGTCTGTAATGTTAAAGATTATGTAAATAAGCGTGTTACCCTTATGTTTCAACCGAGTTTTTACTTTACTTTAAAAATTTTGTGTCTACCAAATTGGGTTGGTCCAATGTAATACAAATAATAAGTGTTGCTTTTAATTTAATCAACAAAATAAATTGACTTCATTAATTTTTTTGAGCCACCTCTTAAGAAAATCTAAAAAATATGAATGGAATGATAAATCACAAGTACAAACTCATCATCTTTTTTGCATTTTACATAGAATTTATTCAGCAAAATTTAAGGCTGACGTCATCAATTTTTTAGGAGGGATGAACAAATACATTTTGATAAAAAATTTACCATGCTTATGATAACTTTAAAAAATCTCCAAGATTTCAAAGCATTCGGTTCTGTAATTCCTGATTAAATCAATAAAATCAATTGACGCATTCATTATTTTTTTTCAGTCACCCTATATATGCAAATCGAAAAAATATGAATGGAATGATAAATCACAAGTACAGACTCATCATATTTTGTACATTTTAGATAGGATTTATTCGGCAAACTTTTGAGCTGACGTCATCAAGTTTTTGGAGGGGATAACCAAATATATTTTGACTAAAGATTTATGATGCCCTTTAGAGCCTTAAAACATCTGCAACATTTCAAAGCATTCTGGTTAGCAGATTAAAAATTAAATTTCAAAATGTTGTTTTATAATTTTGATTTTTTTTCCAAAAATCTGGACCTTTCGGGTAAAAACTCAATTCGGAGTCGTAAACTACATGTTTAGGACTATATTATTTTATACAATTTAAAACCCATTTACTATGTACAATTTTGAAGTGACGTCATCACATTAGTGGTGGGGATGATTAGACAAATTTTGGTTAGCGTTTTACCATCTACATTATATTCCTAATATAAATACAAAATTTCACAACAATCGGTCCAGTACTTTCGGAGATTTTCTGTCTTATAAAAATCCGGGACGGCAGACAGACGGACAGACGGACAGACGGACGGACAGACAGACGGACAGACGGACGGACAGACAGACGGAAATGGGAGACCTATTTCTTCGTATTCTAGGGGTCATGAAAGATCGAGAAAACGTAAAAGTAGAGAGTCGGCCGACGGACTCGATTACAATACTTCCTTTGCTTACGCTAGGGAAGTAATAATACTAAAATGGTTTACTCCGTCGACCGACTCTCTACTTCTACGTTTTATCGACGTTTCATGGCCCCTAGAGTACGAAGAAATAGATCTCCCGTTCCGTGTGGCTGTCTGTCTGCCGTCCCGGATTTTTATTAGACAGATAATGTTGTCAATTTTTGTGTACCGCTGTGATCGTTGTGCTGTTATTTTTCATTAATGAATAAACCAAAAAACATTTAATAAGACATGTATAAATTGTAAACAAAAACAAAACCAACGAAAGAAAAATCCATTAAAGCACAACAGACTAAACACTAGAGAAGATGTTCAAAATTCCTGCCTTGTGCTTTAATGCTATAATGTTTCCAAATTTTGATCATTTTTTGTAAAAGTTAGTCATTAGTACATGCTAAGATAAAACTGATTTTGGCAATGACATACCCTCTAAGAAAAGAGAGAGTGGGTGGGTGGGCGGGGTTACTAGCTGTCAAGATAAGACTGATTTTGGCAAATGACACATCCTCCAAGAAAAGAAAGGGTGGGTGGGCGGGGCTAGTACCTACTAGGATAAGACTGATTTTGGCAAATGGGATCCTTCTTATCTTAGCAGGTACTAACCCCGCCCACCCACCCTCTTTTTTCTTAGAGACTATGTCATTTGCCAAAATCGCTCTTACCTTAGCAGGTACTAACTCCGCCCACCCACCTTCTCTTTTCTTAGAGGGTATGTGATTTGCCAAAATAATTTTTATCTTAGTAGCCACTAGCCCCACCCATCCACCCTCTCTTTTCTTAGAGAGTATATCATTTGCCAAAATCGATCTTATCTTAGCAGGTACTAACCCCGCCCACCCACCCTCTCTTTTCTTAGAGGGTATGTCATTTGCAAAATTAATTTTGTCTTAGCAGCCACTAGCCCCACCCACACTCTTTTTTCTTAGAGTATGTCATTTGCCAAAATCGCTCTTATCTTAGCAGGTACTAACCCCGCCCACCCACCCTCTCTTTTCTTAGAGAATATGTCATCTGCCAAAATCAGTTTTATCTTAGTAGCCACTAGCCCCACCCACCCACTCTCTCTTTTCTTAGAGAGTATGTCATTTGCCAAAATCGCTCTTATCTTAGTAGGTACTAAGCCCGCCCACCCACTCTCTCTTTTCTTAGAGGGCATATGATTTGCCAAAATCAGTTTTATTTTAGTAGCCACTAGCCCCACCCACCCACCCTCTCTTCTATTAAAGAGTATGTCATTTGCCAAAATCGTTCTTATCTTAGCAGGTACTAACCCCGCCCACCCACCCTCTCTTTTCTTAGAGGATATGTCATTTGCCAAAATCAGTTTTATCTTAGTAGCCACTAGGCACACCCACCCACCCTCTCTTTTATTAGAGAGTATGTCATTTGCCAAAATCGGTCTTATCTTAGCAAGTACTAGGCCCGCCCACTGACCCTTTCTTTTTTTTTAGAGAGTATGTCATTTGCCAAAATCGATCTTATCTTGACAGGTACTAACCCCGCCCACCCACCCTCTCTTTTCTTAGAGGATATGTCATTTACCAAAATTACTCTTATCTTAGCAGGAACTAGCCCCACCCACCCACCCTCTCTTTTCTTAGAGAGTATGTCATTTGCCAAAATCGATCTTATCTTAGCAGGTACTAACCCCGCCCACCCATCCTCTCTTCTCTTAGAGGGTATGTGATTTGCCAAAGTAACCTCTTAGTAACCACTAGCCCCAACCACCCACCCACCCACCCACTCTTTTATTAAATATTATGTCATTTGCCAAAATCGATTTTATCTTAGCAGGTACTAACCCCGTCCTCTTTTTCATTAGAGAGATCTCATCAGCCAAAATCAGTCTTATCTTAGCAGCCACTAGCTACCATAAGACTGATTTTGGCAAATGACGTACTCTTTATGAAAAGAGAGGGTGGGTGGGCGGGGCTAATACTTGTTGTCAAAAGGAAATTTATCAAATTTTTGCATAAACAACACAACGCTATCTTTGTACATTAGTGAAATTAGTGAAATGGTAATTAAACATGGACATGGGCTAGAGAAATATTAACTACAAGTTTTATTACTAGTGATTATAACTCCACGAAAATGTGAGAAGGAATTTTTTTACTATTTTTCCCATACTCACCAGTTGATTGTTAAGAGCGCAGCGGAGAGTTAATGCGCCATTATCCAGACACCCGGGATAATAATGATAAAATACGAATTACAATATTCAGAAAATTTTGTTTATTTGTAGTTTAATTAATAGTTTTAGTCCTGTGTTTTGAGAAGACAAACTCATTCAAATTAAATTAATTTCTACGTGACATTTTTTCGATGCATAAACATAAATAAACACTTGAGCATCAGATTGCTGTTACCTAGTGTTGAAAGACAAGGGTTGTTTGAGATGGATTATTTTAAGTTCAACGTGGTGAGTCATCCGAATCTGACGACGGACTGTCAGTCAGTAGCGTAGCATGCACACTTCAGAAGGGGGTGGTTTTTAAATTAGTTTTTTTTAATCGCAAATAATAACACTCTTTTTTGGGACTTGAATGATAGGGATGATAAGCATTACAATATATTTCTCCCAATTTATTTTTCGTATTAATAACAATGCACCACACAATTTTTTTGAATATTAATATATTTCGTTAACAAAACTAAATCACAGAAGTTCTGATTTTCCGAAACCTGAAATGGAATTGCCACGTTTTGGACTAAATTTTTGTCGCTGCATTTATCTTCAAAAGTTTCTTTCACACACCATTTCTATAAGCTTAAATTTCTGAATTTTCCCCGAAGTTGTTCGAGGAAAATTATCGAAAATTTCCATTCTCGTAGGAATTTTGAAATACGCCAATTTTCCCTTACAAAAAGTTATCAGGTCTTCAAGTGTTAAATTTGATTGTGGTTGAATTCTCACACACGCACAGACTTCTTCTCCTAGTCTTTTATGTGGTGTACCTACTACCTAAAAACAACAATAGCTAATTCAGTGTCCTCTGTTTTATACATCATAACTGACCTGTACTTCCAAAATATCAGGATATGTGATCAGAACTTCTTCGATTTCTTTTGGAAAAATATTTTCTCCTCCTCGTAAAATCATGTCTTTTAATCTCCCGACCACTTTTCCACTTCCATCTTCTTCAAGAATGAACTGGTCCCTAATAAAACAGATTTAGACTATGACAAAATTGGGAAAGGACAAACAAACCCAGTTTTGAGCCAACCATCTTTTCCTAAAATTTCGTTTGTTCTTTCTTCGTCGTCCCAGTAGCCTACCATGTTAGCATAACCTCGTACGCACAACTCACCCGGAGTACCAAAAGGTACCATACCACCATTTCCATTTATTACTTTAGCTTCCATATGTTCTTGGAGAAAATTCACAAGAATTGGAAACTTTTCTTTAGATTTTATTGAAACTGACTGGAACACTGATCCAGTACATTCTGTTAGTCCATAGACCGACTGAAACACCAAAAGTACATCGTAGAAAAAATCAAGGACTTAACTTACATGAAGCTTCGAAACATTTAAGGTTTTTAAAATCTGTTCTAGTAGATGTGGTGAGCTTGGGGCACCACCTAAGAACGCTATGTTGGCAGAAATAGGTTCTTTACGCTTTTCTTGAATTTGAATGAGATCTAAATACATCGTAGGAGTTCCATAGATGACCGTGCACCTGAATTGTCAAACATTACCTATAGTCTATATAATGTTAGTATAGTTAAATACTTCTCGTTTTTGATTGCATCGAAATTTTTACCTGGTTGATAACCGTCTGTAGGTAAAACTATAGTACTAGCGTGATTCAACGATGCCATAATACCAAGGACAGTACCAAAAACATGAAAAAATGGTACCTGAAGGCAAATCTTGTGGTAGTTGTGCGAAAAATCTAGTCTTTTTCCAACCATGAATCCACTATTTACCATTTTGAAGTGGGTGGCTACAGCCGCTTTTGGTTTTCCGGTACTTCCCTGAAAAGATTTGTGGAACAAATATTTTCAGATCACAATAGAAAAGAATCTTTACTGAGGTGAAATGGAGGCTGCAGCCATCATCTGGACTGATACTGTGTTGCAATTTCTGTATATTAGCCACTTCACTAGTACTCGCTAGGTCCAAAATTTCGCAAAAGTTGTAAATACCGCTACAAAAAATAGTTAGTACCTAAACTTTTGAGTACTCTTTAGCAAGTACCATTTATTTTCCTCACCGATGCGGATCACGGTCTTTAGTGATGGTACTTTCTTACTTGTCATTTTTCCAATTTCGCAGTTTTCCAGTTCCGGGGCTATAGTTAACAGAGACTCGTAATGATCGTGGTATTTAAATTTATCAGCACACACCAAAGCTTTTATTTGAGTTTTATTGATACAGTATTCTATCTCCGGGGCTTCAAAAACCGGGTTTAAGTATACCTAAAAAGCAAAAATCGTTTGAAGGAACACACATTCGTTTGGCTAACCGCAATCAACCCAGCTCTAGCACATGCCATCATCGTTATATACCATTCCAATAAATTCGGGGCCCATATTCCCAAGCGGTCGTTTTTCTCCAAATTTAATATTTTAAAAGCTGCAGCCAGTTTATCAGCCTTCTGTAAAAGTTCTGAGAATGTCAGGGATTCATTTTGATGTACTGAAATGATGGCTTTTCGGTCGCCGAACTTGTTCGCCGTTTCTTCCAAAAGCTGTCCAATCGTGACGTATTTTAGAGGCTGTTCGCCAATTTTGTGTACGTAACTCGGATCCGCGATAGATTTTCTGAAATTTTTTTTTGGAAAAAGGAAATTTCGGTTTGATTTAACGCACCTAGCTGCCTTTAAACTTTTCGAAGTGTCGCTGTTTCTAAGCATTTTTTTAACTTACTGTTGTTAGTTAACTTTTGATCTTTTGTATTTGTTCAGTGTCGTACCTGGGTACAACATAATGGATGTGACTTGTTTGCTGCCAGTAGTCTGACATCAAGTCGGCTTATCTGATACATATTCAATTAGTATGACTAAATGGAAAATTGACGTTACGAAACGATAAATTGGCTGTTCAAAATAACGACATTACAATGTTTCAGCGAAATAGTCGCCATTCTCTAAGTGTCTTACTTCGTTCACAACCATTTCCCATTTATTTACAATGTATTTAGATTTTTTGTTGATGTGGCATGAACAATGACAATGAGAAAAAACACCTACATTTGGGTTTTTTGGAGTTTATGTTGTAAGTTAATGTGGCCAAATTTTAGCATACACTTTTTGGGGAATTTACTTTACAGGTATGAAAAGATTTAAATTTATTTGTCTCATTTTATTTTCTGTCATCACGTGTTAATAGCAGAGTACCCTACAAACTTTTTTATAAAATATTAATACATTTTGTAAGCAAAGCTAAAGTGTCGATGTTGCCGAAACCAGAAGTGGAATCACTATGTTTTGAATTAAATGTTCGTGGTTGCCTTCATCTTCAAATTTTTCTTTCAGACAGTATTTCTATAAGCTTAAATTTCTGAATTTTCCCTGAAGTTGTTCGAGGAAAATTATAGAAAATTTCCATCCTCGTGGGAATTTTGAAAAATGCCAACTTTCCTTTACAAAAAGTTACCAGGTCTTCAAGGGTTAAATTGGATTGTGGTTTAAATCTCACACACGCACAGACTTCTTCTCCCAGTCTTTTATGTGGTGTACCGACTACCTAAAAACAATAATAGTTAATTTAGTGTCCTGCCTTCTGTACATTATACAGCCTGTTATTGAAAGGTACGTACAAAATAAAATCGGCAATTTGTCTCGAAGTACGGGTGCTAAAAGTTAAAAAAAAAAATAGGTAAAAGTGTTTTCCTTTTAGAGATAAAAATTATTCAAATTTATGTCCAAATTCGTTGTACGCCTCTGATAAAAAGATCATCTTTCGTTTCTATAGCAACATTTAGTCTTGACAATAGTTTTATTGCTAGGTTGCTAGGATTTACTGAAATAAATTAATTTTACCTATTTATCCTTCAGTAGTGTCTAAAAAGGTTGGATAAGGGTTAATTTTCCCCTTATAATTTTGATAACACAAAATACGTTTTTTTCGACTTTTTAGACTTCGCAAAGAACTGTCCATTTTGTTGTACGTACCTTTCAATAACACCCTGTATAATCATAATTTACCTGTACTTCCAAAATATTAGGATGTGAAATCAGAACTTCTTCGATTTCTTTTGGAAAAATATTTTCTCCACCTCGTAAAATCATATCTTTTAGTCTCCCGACCACTTCTAAACTTCCATCTTCTTGAAGAATGAACTGGTCTCTAACAAAAGGTTTCAATTATAAAATAAAAATGGATAAGGACAGAACAAACCTAGTTCTCAGCCAGCCGTCTTTTCCTAAAATTTCGTTTGTTTTTTCTTCGTCTTCCCAATACCCTAACATGTTGCTGTAACCTCGTACGCACAGTTCACCAGGAGTACCAAAAGGTACCAAATCACCATTTTCATTTATTACTTTAACCTCAATATGTTCTTGTACATAGTCTACAATTATTGGAGACTTTCCTTGAGAGTCTGTTGGTATCGTTTGGTACACTAATCCACTACATTCTGTTAGCCCATAAGACGACTTAAACACAAAAAGTAAAGTATAGAGAAAACTAAGAAGCTAACTTATTACATAAAGCTTCGAAATATTTAAGGTTTCTAAAATCTGTTCTCGTAGATATGGTGAGCTTGGGGCAGCACCTAAGAAAGCTATGTCTGCAGATACAGGTTCTTTACGTCTTTTTTGACGTTCAACGAGGTCGATGTACATCGTAGGAGTTCCATAAATGACCGTGCACCTAAATTTTCAACCAATATAAGCGTACTTTATATATTACAACGATATACTTCTCCTTTTTCATTGCATCCAAAGTTTTATCGGGTTGATAACCGTCTGTTGGTAAAACTATAGTACTAGCGTAATACAGTGACGTCATGATAACAACGATGGTGCCAAAAACATGAAAAAATGGTACTTGCGGACAAACTGTGTGATGTTTGCGAGAAAATTCCATTCTTTTTCCAGCCAAGAATCCGTTGTTTACCATTTTGAAATGGGTGGTTAAAGCCGCTTTTGGTTTTCCTGTGGTTCCCTGAAGTTAAGTAGAATAAGTACTTATGATTCAAAATCAAAAACAAGTCTAACTGAAGTGAAATGGAGGCTGCAGGCGTCATCTGGACTGATACTGTGTTGCAATTTTTGTATATTAGCAATTTCGCTACTAGTTGCCAGGTCCAAAATTTGACGAAAATTGTAAGTACCTCTAGAATAAACCGGAATGTCAGTTTTAGTTATTTAGAGGTGTCTCATACCGTTTAACATCTTCGCTAATGCGAATGACTGTTTTAAGGGATGGCATTTTTTTACTTTTGAGTTTTCCAGGTTCGCAGTTTTCCAGTTCTGGAGTTATAGCTAACAAACTCTCGTAATAATCGAGATGCTTAAATTTATCACCACACACCACTACTTTTATTTGAGTTTTATTAATACTGTACTCTATCTCCGGAGCTTCAAAAAGCGGGTTCAAATATACCTAAAAACAGAAATTGCTTGAAGTACCAGATTTGGTTTTTTGGCTAACCCCAATCAAACCAGCTCTCGCACATGCCATCATGGTTATATACCATTCCGATAAATTCGGAGCCCAGATTCCCAATCGGTCACTTTTCTCCAAATTTAAGATTTTCAAAGCTGCAGCCAGTTTGTCGGCTCTCTGTAAAAGCTCTGAGAATGTCAGAGATTCATTCTGGTGTAGCGAAATTATGGCTTTCCGTTCGCCGAACTTGTTGGCCGTTTCTTCCAAAAGTTGTCCAATCGTGATATATTTTAAAGGTTGTTCGCCAACTTTGTGTATGTAACTGGGTTTTCTGAAAATGATTGTGCATAAAAACGTAAATTTCGGTTTAATATAGCGCACTTAGCGGTTTTTAAAGTTTTCGGAATGTCGCAGTTTCTAAACATTGTTGAGCTTGGTCTTGTTAGTTAGATTTTAATGTTTTGTGTTTGTTTACGATTTCGTAAGTGGACACTAGTAGTGAGTGTGACTTCTTTTGTTATTAGGTAGTCGTTAAATGCACTTTTATCTGGTACATATACACTTAGTATGCTTAAATGGAAAATTGACGTTACGAGGCGATAATTTGACCATTTAAAGCAAGAATATAACAATTTGTAAAAAATTCTACACTTTCAATTCACTTATTTTAGAGGTCACTTTCGATTATCTTAAACATTCAACATTTTTGATGTGGCAGAATGTTTTTTTTTTCAAGAAGATAAGAAACTAAGGAAATACAAGGAATTATAACAGTCAAAGAAAGATAGTTAAGTAAATATGTCGCAGGAAAAAAAGGGATTTTTTAAAAAGACAAAAAAAAAAATATAGAGGAAGCTACCAGAAGAAAGAGATAAAAAAAGAACTTTAAGTAGTGAAAGTATAGCAATGCCAACAAGTAAAGAGATAGAGGAGATCATAAATCAGATGAGGAATAACAAAAGTCCAGGGAGAAATAGAATTACAAAAGAAAACAAAAAATATGGAGGTCAAAAACTGAAAGACCATATTCAGCTGGTAATAAACCAAATTTGGGAAACGGAAACCGTGGGATTGCGTACTTAAACGTTACATACAAACTACTGGCATCGATAGTAAAAAGAAAACTGGAACTAAAGAATAACTGTGGAAGTAGAAACCAAAACAACCTACAAATAGACAGACAAGAAGGAATAAAAGTAGAATTTGAAGAAGTGGAAATATTTATGTACTTAGAGGTGTTGATGACCAACAAATGCCAAGAAGACAAAGAAATAGAACTGAGAATTGCTAAAAGTAATAACTGTGCAGGAGGATTAAGAAAAGTTATGAAAAGTAAAGAAATATTAAGGCAAACAAAACTAAGAATAGGTATATAAGCGAGACTTAGATTATGACAAATAAAATGGAATAAAGACTGGAAATTTGGGAAAGGAAGATACTTAGATGAATCTTTGGAGGGAAACAAACAGAACGAGGATGGGAAAGAAGAACTAATGAAGAAATATATAATTTATATACTGACACAATTGTAAACAATTTTATAAAAATAAAAAGAATGCAATGGTTAGGACACCTAGAAAGAATGACCCAAGAAAGAGAAGTTAAGAGAGTAGCGTGGAAAATTCTGGAGGACAAAAGGAAAAGAGGCATGCCAAGGAAGAAGCGATAGAGGAAGACCTAGCAGAAACACAAATACATCAGGAATGGAGAAGGAACACAAAAAACCGAAGGGAATGGAGACATTCCTTTATTTTTTCAATATTTCTTCCGATTTTACAATTTTTCGTTCGTTTATTTCACTCTTCAAATTTTTCATTTTTCAATTCCTCGATTTTCCAATTTTCAGATTTAATTTTAATCTTTTTTCTATAATATATAGAGTTTAATTTCAACAACAGGATAGTTAATATGTTTTCAGTTTCTTGTTGGGAAAAAAGACTTCGTATATTAAGAAATAATGAACCAAAGATAACATGTTGCAATTGGTAAATTTTTGTAGAGAAATATGTATTTTACATATTTCTCTACAACCCCTCGCTGTAACAACGAATGAAAAATTAATCACAATTGAGATCGGGGCGGGTGGGTGGGGTTTAATCTTTGTTTTTTTTTTTAATTTTTATATATAGAGTTTCCTTTCAACTACAGGATAGTTAACATATTTTCAGTCTCTTGTTGGGAAAAAAGGACCTCGTATGTTAAGAAAAATTTAACAAAATATAAGCCCCGCCCACCCACCCCTTCTCAATTGTGATGAATTTTTTCTGCATCGTGAGCTGAACGGTGGAGCTTAGCTGCAAAATCCTCATTTCTTAACAAAAAATTACCATATGAAACATGTTACAATTAAATTCCGGCCATCGATCTGATTAGGAATGAAAAACTCATCACAATCGAGATCCGGGCGGGTGGGTGGGGTTTTTGTTTTTTTTTTAATATAAGTATAGGTTTTTTTTAAAAACAGGATAGTTAACATGTTTTCAGTTTCTTGTTGGCAAAAAGACTTCGTATATTAAGGAAAAATGGACAAATTATAAACCCCACCCACCCACCCTTTCTCAATTGTGATGAATTTTTTATTCATGGTGTGCTGAAGGGGAGCTTAGTTATAAAATTTTCACTTCTCTACAAGAAATTACCATATGAAATATGAGTATGTTTTAAAAGGGTAGAATTTTCTAGAAAAATTTTGATGTTACAATTAAACTCCGCCCCTCGGTATGATTAGGAATGAAAAACTCATCACAATCGAGATCTGGGCGGGTGGGTGGGGCTTAATCTTTGTTTTTTCTCTATATGTACATAGTTTTCTTTCAACATTTGTTTGGCACAAAGAACAAGAGATATTATATAATAAAAAAATTAATTTTGGACTGTACTTCTAATTTAAGTCACATGGAATAACTTATACTTTCTCGTTTTTCTCGAAAAACTGAAGAAATGAAAAACTGAAAAATGTAAAAATTCAAAATTCAAAACTCGTGTGAAATTTCAAATCAAAAAACTGCAAAATCTAAAAATTGAAACGTCCGAAAGTTGGAAAATCGGAAAACTGGAAAATTTAGAAATGAAAACTCGAAGAGATCGCAGAATTGTAGAAAAGAGAAACAAGAGATCGAAAAATTGCTAATGGAAAAATTAAAAATTCAGAACTCGAGAAACTCAATTCGAAAAATTGCAAAATCAATAAATTGAAAAATTCAAAAGTTGAAAAACGCAACAAAGAATGAAAGATTGAAGAACTGGAAAATTTAAGTCAAAAAAGCTGTGGAACCATTATTTACGCCACTGGATTTTGCTTTATAGAGGTTATCAGAAAACAAAAATTGCAAAAAATCGAAAAAGTGGATTTATTTTTTTATTTGTTGAAATAACCTTCGCCCAATTTTTTGCTTGTCAACTCATACTAATAACAAAATACCATTACAAATTTTCTTTAAAAATTTCTTTCAGACAGCATTTCTTGAAGCTTAAGTTTCTAAATTTTCCCTCCAGCTGTTCGAGGAAAACTGTCGAAAATTTCCATCCTCGTGGGAATTTTGAAGTACGCCAACTTTCCTTTACAGAAAGTTACGATGTCTTCAAGGATTAAATTTGATTGTGGTTTAATTCTCGCACACGCACAAACTTCTTCCCCTAGCCTTTTGTGTTTTGTACCTACCACCTAAAAAGAAAAATACTTAGTAATTGTAGTTTGATCCCTTATGTTTATATTGACACATTATAACTTACACACACTTCCACAATGTTCGCAGGTGTGGTCAAAAATTCTTCGATTTCTTTTGGAAACATATTTTCTCCTTCTCGTATAATCAGATCCTTTAGTCTTCCGACCACTTGTCCACTTCCATCTTCTTCAAGAGTGAACTGATCTCTAATAAAACATTTAAGTTACAATTAAAGAGGTAACGATGGAACAAACCCAGTTCTAAGCGAACCGTCTTGTCCTAATATATCATTTGTTTTTTCTTCGTCGTTCCAGTAACCAAACATGTTACTATAACCTCTTCAGAAGTAGCAAACGGTACCAACGGGAAAAATTAAAAACTCATCACAATTGAAATCGGAGCGGGTGGATGGGGTTTAATCTTTTTTTGTTTTTTTTTAATATGTAGGTTTTTTTTAACAACAGGATGGTTAACATGTTTTAAGTTTCTTGTTGGGAAAAAAATACTTCGTATATTAAGAAATAATGGACAAAATATAAGCCCCGCCCACCCACCCCTTCTCAATTGTGATGCATTTTTTCTGCACCGTGAGCTGAACGGTGGAGCTTAGCTGCAAAATCCTCATTTCTCAACAAGAAATTACCATATAAAACATGTTACAATTAAATTCCGGCCCTCGGTGTGATTAGGAGTGAAAAACTCATCACAATTGAGGTGGGAGCGGGTGGGTGGGGGTCAATCTTTTTCTTTATGCAAATAGTTTTCTGCCAACAATTTTTGGCACAAAGAACAAGAGATATTATAGTAAAAAATATGGTGTCAATATACATATTATTCAACAATTTTGGACTGTACTTCTAACGTAAGCCAACTTGTACTTTCTCGTTTTTCTCGAAAAACCGAAGAAATGAAAAATCTAAAAATTGAAACGTTCGAAAGTTGGAAAATCGGTAAACTGGAAGACTTATAAATGAAAACTCGAAGAGATATCGTAGAATTGCAGAAAAGAAAAACGAAAAATTGAAAAAGTGTGATTTATTTGGCTGCACTTCAGAGGCGAGGGAAGTTCCGTTGAAATAACCTTCAACCAATTTTTTTATTATTATTATTATTTTGTAACTGGATTTGTTGTGTGTAATTTAGGACTTCTGCCTTATCTACATTAAGCCCTGCGAAACTTGTCTGATATCAGGTAATTATTTACTTATAATACATTATTTACGTCAGGGTGTTTACCCTAAGTTATTAATTTTGAACACAATTTTTACTGGGATTTTAATTCAGGGACGAATAGTATTAAAATATATTTATTTGAATTTATATCTCGTGTTAATGACAAACTTTTTTATAAAATATTAATACATTTACTTTTTCTACAGCGAGATAGCAAGTCTTTCAATTCACTTATTTTAGAGGTCATTTTTGATTATCAGAAATTTTATTAAGGGAAAACTCATTTGGAACGTACGCCCAATACGCTTCTGTATATTTACATACACATTTTTATTTTAACTTACAAGGGTTATCAAAAAAAAACAAAATTCGCAAAATCAAATCTTATAATTTTTCGAAAAATCTGGATTTATATTTACCGTTAATCAATGTTTGAGATGTTTTTCCATTTTCTTTCGTTTTTCAATTTTTCCATTTTTCAAAGTTTTGGTTTCATAATTTTTCGTTTTTGCAAATTTAAAATCCGGTTTATGGAAAGTGAATTAAATTAATTGAGGTCCGTTGCTATGCAACGTGCATGTTTTAACCAATCACGGGCTCTTATTCTACATTTTAATCCTATGTTAAATTAATCGAAGATTCCATATTTAATTCGCGTTCCATAAACCGACCATCGATTTTTCAGTTTCACGCTTGCAAATTTTTCAGTTTATGGTTTCTTGAATTTTTCGATATTATAATCTTTCATTTTTGGCGTCTTCATTTTCTCGACGTTTAATTTTTCGGTTTTTCAGTTTTTTGTGTCCTCAATTTTCAAGTTCTTTACTTTTATTTTTCGTTTTCCCGATTTTTTAGTTTTCATTTTCTTGATATTATTCACAATTTTTAGTTTCATTTCCTTTACTTTTTCAATGTTTCTTCCGATTCTACAATTTTTGTTCGTTTATTCCATTCTTCAAATTTTACATTTTCAATTACTCAATTTTCCAATTTTCAAATTTTTTAATTTTGCAATTTTTGAATTTCTCAATTATCCGATTTTCTGATTTTTTTTAATTTACAGTATTTCGGTTTTGTAGTTATTTTCGATTTGTAATGTCCGTTTGTACTATACTTCTAATCACCTGATTAACGTCATGCTCTGTTTAATTTGACAGATCTGTTTGTCTTTTTTATCATACGTGTAGCCTTGTTTTCACAACAAGAAACTTAAAATATGTTGAAAATGGTAACTTTTTGCAAAGAAATGTATTTTGCAATTACACTCCCCTCCTCGGTCTAACAACTAATGAAAGTTTCATCACAATTGATATCGGGGCGGGTGGGTGGTGTTTAATTTTTGTGTTTTTTTTTATATATATAGAGTTTTCTTTCAACAGCAGGAGAGTTAACATGTTTTCAGTTTCTTGTTGGCAAAAAAGACTTTGTAAATTTAGAAAAAATGTACAAAAAATAAGCCCCACCCACCCACCCCTTCTCAATTGTAATGAATTTTTAATATATAGAGTTTTCTTTCAACAACAAGATAGTTAACATGTTTTCAGTTTTTTTTTTGGCAAAAAAAACGTCGTATATTAAGAAAAAATGTACAAAATATAAACCCCGCCCACCCACCCCTTCTCAATTGTGATGAATTTTTTATTCATCTTGAGTTGAAGGGTGAAGGCTAGTTGCAAATTTCGTATTTCTCTACAAGAAATTACCACATGTAACATGTTTTTAAAAGGGTAGAATTTTCTAGAGAAATTTCGATGTTACAATTAAACTCCGCCCCTCGGTCTAATCAGGAATGAAAAACTCATCACAATTGAGATCTTAATTTTCATTTTTTTTTCCTTATGTATATAGTTTTCTTTCAACAATTTTTTGGCACAAAGATTAAGAGATATAATAAAACATATAGTGTCAATATATTATTCAATAATTTTGGACTGTACTTCTAATGTAAGCCACGTTTTTCTCGAAAAACCGAAAAAATGAAAAATTGAAAAAAGTAAAAATTAAAAAAAAAATTCAAAATTCGTGCAATTTCAGATCGAAAAATTAGAAAATCTAAAAATTGACGTTCGAAAGTAGGAAAATCGGTAAACTGGAAGACTTATAAATGAAAATTCGAAGAGATATCGCAGAATTGTAGAAAAGAAAAAGAAAAAGAAAAATTAAAAATTTGTAAATGAAAAATTTGAGGGAACCAAAAATTGAAAAAGTGGGATTTATCAGGCTGCACTTCAGAGGCGAGGGAAGTTCTGTTGAAATAACTTTCAACCAATTATTTTATTATTATTATCCTATTATCATTCTTGTCTAATATCAGGTAATTATTTACTTATAATACATTATTTACGTCTGGGTGTTTACCCTAAGTTATTAACTTTGAACACAATCTTTTCTGGGACTTTAATTCATACGGACTAAATGTATTAAAACATATTTCTTTGAATTTATTTCTCGTGTTAATGACAATGTACCCCACAAACTCTTTTATAAATTATTATATTAATATATTTTGTTAATAAAGCTAAACCACAAAAACCATATCTGTGGATGCATCCATATTCAAAGGTTTCTTTCAGTCAGCATTTCTATAAGCTTAAATTTCTGAACTTTCCCTGAAGCTGTTCGAGGAAAATCGTCGAAAATTTCCATTCTCGTGGGAATTTTGAAATACGCGAACTTTCCTTTACAGAAAGTTACTACGTCTTGAAGTGTTAAATTTGATTGTGGTTTAATTCTCACACACGCGCAGACTTCTTCTCCCAGTCTTTGATGTGGTGTACCGACTACCTAAAAACAATAACAATTAATCGAGTGTCCTTCTTTCTATTATATTATCATAATTTACTTGTACTTCCAAAATATTAGGATGGGTGATCAAAACTTCTTCGATTTCTTTGGGAAAAATACTTTCTCCTCCTCGTAAAATCATATCTTTTAGTCTACCAACAACTTTTCCACTTCCATCTTCTTCAAGAATGAACTGGTCTTTAACAAAGATTTACATTATCAAGAAAACAAGGTAATATCAGAACAAACCCAGTTTTGAGCCATCCGTCCTTTCCTAAAATTTCGTTCGTTTTTTCTTCGTCTGCCCAGTAACCTAGCATGTTGCTATAACATCGTACGCACAGTTCACCAGAAGTACCAAAAGGTACCATATCACCATTTGCGTTTATTACTTTAGCCTCAACGTGTTCTTGTATGTAATTCACCATTGTTGGAGAGTTTCCATTAAATTCTGTTGGTACTGTTTGAAACACTGATGCAGTACATTCTGTCAGCCCATAAGCCGACTGAAACACATAAACTGAGGCACTACGAAAATACAATCAGTTAACTTACATGAAACTTATATATATGTAAGGTTTTTAAAATCTGTTCTAGCAGATATGGTGAGCTGGAGGCAGCACCTATGAACGCTATGTCTGCAAATATGACTTCTTTACGTCTTTCTTGAGTTTCAATGAGGTCGAAGTACATCGTAGGAGTACCATAAATCACCGTACACCTGAATTTTCAACATACAAAAGTACTCTATACTTATGACAGTGATATACTTCTCGTTCTTGAGAGCATCCAAAGTTTTATCGGGTTGGTAACCGTCTGTTGGTAAAACTATAGTACTTGCGTGGTTCACTGCCGTCATGATACTAACAATAGTACCAAAAACATGAAAAAGAGGTGCCTGCATGCAAATTGTGTGACGCTTTGCAGAAAATTCCATTCTTTTTCCTATCAAGAATCCATTATTTACCATTTTGAAATGGGTTGCTAAAGCCGCTTTGGGTTGTCCTGTGGTACCCTGAAGTGACGTGATATAAGTACTTGTAGTTTCAAATAAAACAAAAACCTCACTGAAGTGAAATGGAGGCTGCAACCATCATCTGGACTGATACTCAGTTGCATTTTTTGTATATTAGCGATTTCGGTACTACTCGCTAGGTTCAAAATTTCGTGAAAATTGTAAGTACCGCTAGAATAAACCGGACTGTCTTCGTTGATTTGAATGACGGTTTTAAGGGATGGTACTTTTTTACTTTCAAGTTTTCCAGGGTCGCACTTTTGCAGTTCTGGAGCTATAGCTAACAAAGTCTCGTAATAATTGTGGTGTTTAAATTTATCACCACACACCACAACTTTTATTTGGGTTTTATTGATACAGTATTCGATCTCCGGAGCTTCAAAAACCGGGTTTAAGTATACCTAAAAAACAAAAATTGCTTGAGGGAACAGATTTCTTTTTTGCCTAACCCCAATCAAACCAGCTCTTGCACATGCCATCATCGTTATATACCACTCCAATAAATTAGGAGCCCATATTCCCACACGGTCGTTTTTCTCCAAATTTAATATTTTGAAAGCTGCTGCCAGTTTGTCGGCTTTCTCTAAAAGTTCAGAGAATGTCAGAAATTTGTTCTGATGTACCGAAATGACCGCCTTTCTTTCACCAAATTTGTCCGCCGTGTCTTGCAAAAGTTGTCCGATCGTGATATATTTTAAAGGCTGTTCGCCAATTTTGTGTAAGTAACTGGGCTTAGTCGAATTTGTGCAAAATTTTCTGAAATGTTTTTTTCAAAAAAGTGTTACTTTCAGTTTCATGTAGCTCACTTAGGTGTTTCTAGACTTTGCGAAAAGTCGCTCTTTGAAAACATTTTAACTGATTTACTGTTGTGTTAATGTTTATAATATTCGAAACAATGAAACTATACTTTTAAGTTAACTGCTTAAGAATAACTATTAAAAAAAAAACATCTCAAGGAACATCTTGTTAGAACTTATCAGATTTACCTTGTACAATTCCCCATTAAGGATTACAAAAACACAAAACCATCGTTTATTTTATTTGTTTATGTTTATATTATCATTGTTTACTTATGTGTATGTGTCATGGAACAACAATTTAAAAACCGGAATTTGAAATAATCACTTGTAAATAACAAAAGACCACTATAAACCATCAACCACCAACATTATCTCTACGTTTTAAAATATTTTTTTGTGTTTGCATTCATCTTCAACGATTTTTTTCAGACAGCATTTCTCTAAGTTTGAATTTCTGTATTTTCCCTAAAGATGTTCGAGGAAAATTATCGAGCACTTCCAGTCTCGTGGGAATTTTGAAGTACGCCAACTTCCCTTTACATAAAGTGACCAGGTCTTCAAGAGTTAAATTAGATTGTGGTTTGATTCTTGCACATGCGCAGACTTCTTCACCTAGTCTTTTATGTGGTGTCCCTATCACCTAAAAACAATAAGTCAAATTAGTTTCCTTTTTTATACACGTATATGTAATCATAACATACATATATTTCCAAAATATTTGGATGTGTGATCAAAAGTTCTTCGATTTCTTTCGGAAAAACATTTTCTCCTCCTCTTATAATCATATCTTTTAACCTCCCGACGACTTGACCAGTTCCATCTTCTTCAAGAACGAACTGGTCTCTAATAAAGCAGATTATAAGACTATAGTAAAATTGGGAAAAGATAAACAAACCCAGTTTTCAGCCAACCATCTTTTCCTAACATTTCGTTTGTTTTTTCTTTGTCTTCCCAGTATCCCACCATGTTAGCATAACCACGTACGCACAGTTCACCAGGAGTACCAAAAGGTACCACATCACCATGTTCGTCTACTACTTTGGCCTCAAAATCTTCCTGCACGTAATTCACAAGCACTGGATTTTTTTCTTTAGTTTTGGTTGGTAGCGATTGCAGCACCGATCCACAACATTCCGTTAGACCATAGACCGACTAAGACAAAAAAATTGAATCATGTGGACGAGAAAGTACTGAACTTACAAAAAGTTTAGATATATTTAAAGTTGAAATAATCTGTTGTAGCAGATGTGGTGTGCTTGGGGCTGAACCTAACAGGGCTATCTCTAAACATATAGGTTCTTTACGTTTTTCTTGAACTTCAATTAAGTCTATGTACATCGTCGGAGTTCCCATAATCATCGTACACCTAAATTGTCAACATTAGAAAAGTACTGTGTGTACCATGGTGATATACTTTTCGTTTTTGAGTGCGTCCAAAGTTTTATCGGGTTGATAACCGTCTGTCGGTAAAACCATAGTACTGCCGTAAGTTAGCGATGCTATGATACCAGAAACAGAACCAAAAATATGGAAAAGTGGTACTTGTACACAAAGTGTGTGATGTTTGCTCCATAATTCCATTCTTTTTCCTGTCACGAATCCATTGTTCACCATTTTGAAGTGAGTGGTTAAGGCGGCTTTTGGTTTTCCGGTAGTACCCTGAAATGTCGTTGCATAAGTACTTGTCGTTCAAAATATAAAAGAAACCTGACTGAAGTCATGTAGAGACTGCAGCCATCATCTGGACTGATACTGTGTTGCAATTTTTGTATATTAGCGACTTTACTAGGATTCGCTAGGTTTAAAAGTTCGTGAAAATTGTAAGTACCTCTAGAAGCAATAGTACTGTTAGTGAAAAATTTTAAGTATCTCGTGTATCTCGTTACTAAGTACCTTTTTACATCCTTACTGATGCGAATGACGATTTTAAGAGATGGTACTTTTTTGCTTTCAAGTTTTCCAAGCTCGCAACTTTCCAATTCTGGAACTAGAGCTAACAAAGTTTCGTAATAATCGTGGTGTTTAAACTTATCAGCACACACCAAAGCTTTTATTCCAGTTTTGTTAACACAGTACTCTATTTCCGGAGCTTCATAAACCGGATTTAAGCACACCTAAAAAATAAAATTTTTTGAAGTACCAAATACGTTTTTTTTACTAACCGCAATTAAACCAGCTCTTGCACATGCGATATATGTGATGTACCATTCCAGTAAATTTGGAGCCCATATTCCCAAGCGATCATTCTTTTCCAAATTTAATATTTTGAAACCCGCTGCCAGCTTATCGGCCTTTTGTAAAAGCTCAGAGAACGTCAAAAATCCATTCTGGTGTACTGAAATGACGGTTTTTCGTGCCCCAAATTTCTTAGACGCTTCTTCTAGTAGTTGTCCAATTGTGATATATCGTAAGGGCTGTTCACCAATTTTGTGTATATAACTGGGCTTTGTACAAAATTTTCTGAAAATGTTTTGTTGGTGAAAATGTAGCTTTCAATGTCATAAGCTCACTTTGTTGATTCAAAGCTCTTGGAAAAGTCGCCTTTCGAAAACATTTTTGCTGATTTGCTGTAATTAGTTACGTTTTGATCTTTTTCATTGACTTGCAATGTCGTAAGTGGACGCAAAGTGTGGGTGTAAAAAGCTTGTCGTCACGCAAGCTACACTTGTGGGATGCATTTACCATAAATCAATTTGTAAATGGAAAATCAGTGTATTGCTACAATAAAAATAATTCGCAAATGGAGTTGTAATGTTGAAAGACGATATGTTGAAAATTCAAAACAACAACACTATATTTTCAAAAAAAAACTGCAAAAAATATATTTTTTTAAGTATCATTGACGTATTTCAATCCACTTATCACTCATGAGTTACGTTTTTAAGTATGCGGCTTTGACATGCGTGTAACATTTGTTAAGATATTTGCAAGCAAGTCAATGTTATGGCTACTTATTAGTAATAATTGCCCAATTATTAATTTTTTTGAGTCATTCTGTATAAGTAATTCTAAATAAGGTGTCACTCACGTCAACCATACATCGAAAAATCAAAGAATAGAGTGGTTTGTTAACGGCTGCTCCGCTAAATTTTGCATTGATACAAACTCATTTTTCCAAGAAACCATAAACTCAGAACTGTTAGATAGCCGTAAAGACTCTAGATGCAAACCCACTGCCCACTAAGTCCACGTTTCGTGTTTATATCCGTTTAGAAACTTGGAAGCTAATTTAATTACATTACAGGAAATGAATTATTTATTTGCAAAACACCAATATAAACTATCAATCAAATATATTGTCTTACAAAGATAAGCCACTGATAGTCGAATGTTGCCGAAACCACAAACAGAGTCCCCATGTTTTAAATACTTTTTTGAGGGTGATTTAATCTTCAAAGATTTTTTTCATATAGCAATTCTTTAAGTTTGAATTTTTGTATTTTCCCTAAAGATGTTCGAGGAAAATTATCGAGCACTTCCAGTCTCGTGGGAATTTTGAAATACGCCAACCTTCCTTTACATAAAGTGACCAGGTCTTCAAGAGTTAAATTTGATTGTGGTTTGATTCTTGCACATGCGCAGACTTCTTCACCTAGTCTTTTATGTGGTGTCCCTATCACCTAAAAACAATAAGTCAAATTAGTTTCCTTTTTTATATACGTATATGTAATCATAACATACATATATTTCCAAAATATTTGGATGTGTGATCAAAAGTTCTTCGATTTCTTTCGGAAAAACATTTTCTCCTCCTCGTATAATCATATCTTTTAACCTCCCGACCACTTGACCAGTTCCATCTTCTTCAAGAACGAACTGGTCTCTAATAAAGCAGATTATAAGACTATAGTAAAATTGGGAAAAGATAAACAAACCCAGTTTTCAGCCAACCATCTTTTCCTAACATTTCGTTTGTTTTTTCTTTGTCTTCCCAGTATCCCACCATGTTAGCATAACCACGTACGCACAGTTCACCAGGAGTACCAAAAGGTACCACATCACCATGTTCGTCTACTACTTTAGCCTCAAAATCTTCCTGCACGTAATTCACAAGCACTGGATTTTTTTCTTTAGTTTTCGTTGGTAGCGATTGCAGCACAGATCCACAACATTCCGTTAGTCCATAGACCGACTAAGACAAAAAAATTGAATCATGTGGACGGGAAAGTACTGAACTTACAAAAAGTTTAGATATATTTAAAGTTGTTATAATCTGTTGTAGCAGATGTGGTGTGCTTGGGGCTGAACCTAACAGGCCTATCTCTAGACATATAGGCTCTTTACGTTTTTCTTGAACTTCAATTAAGTCTATATACATCGTCGGAGTACCCATAATCATCGTACACCTAAATTGTCTACATTAAAACCGTACTGGATGTATGATGATGATATACTTTTGGTTTTTGAGTGCGTCCAAAGTTTTATCGGGTTGATAACCGTCCGTTGGTAAAACCATAGTACTGCCGTAAGTTAACGATGCTATGATTCCAGAAACAGAACCAAAAATATGGAAAAGTGGTACTTGTACACAAAGTGTGTGATGTTTGCTCGATAATTCCATTCTTTTTCCTGTCACGAAACCATTGTTCACCATTTTGAAGTGAGTGGTTAAGGCGGCTTTTGGTTTTCCGGTAGTACCCTGAAATGTCGTTGCATAAGTACTTGTCGTTCAAAATATAAAAGAAACCTGACTGAAGTCATGTAGAGACTGCAGCCATCATCTGGACTGATACTGTGTTGCAATTTTTGTATATTAGCGACTTCACTAGGATCCGCTAGGTTTAAAAGTTCGTGAAAATTGTAAGTACCTCTAGAAACAATAGTACTGTTAGTGAAATTTTTGAGGTATCTCGTGTATCTCGTTACTAAGTACCTTTTTACATCCTCACTGATGCGAATGACGATTTTAAGAGATGGTACTTTTTTACTTTCAAGTTTTCCAGGATCGCAATGTTGCAATTCTGGCGCTATAGCTAACAGAGTTTCGTAATAATCGTGGTGTTTAAACTTATCGGCACACACCAAAGCTTTTATTCCAGTTTTGTTAACACAGTACTCCATTTCCGGAGCTTCATAAACCGGATTTAAGCACACCTAAAAAATAAAATTGTTTGAAGTACCAGACGTGTTTTTTGTGCTAACCGCAATTAAACCAGCTCTTGCACATGCGGTATATGTGATGTACCACTCCAGTAAATTTGGAGCCCATATTCCCAAGCGATCATTTTTTTCCAAATTTAATATTTTGAAACCCGCTGCCAGCTTATCGCCTTTTGTAAAAGCTCGGAGAACGTCAAAAATCTATTCTGGTGTACCGAAATCACGATTTTTCTTGCCCCGAATTTGTTAGACGCTTCTTCTAGTAGTTGTCTAATTAGTAATATATTTTGTGTATGTAACTGGGATTTGTGGAAGGCATGGTAGAGTTTGCAAAATTTTAGTTTCAAAGTGTCACATAGTAAGTAGGCAGAGGTAGATAATGGAAATGACTTGATTGTCAACGGCCTGACATTAAATATGAAATACTTAGTTATCAGGGGCATTTACATGTCACGTGTTTATTAATATAGACATTAAGATGTCGCAAGTAGGTAAGTTGACTATTTCAGTTTATAATAACATCCTTGACGCTGTTGGTTACCTTTACATATTTTAAATTTACATGAAATAGTGATTAAGACGTTGGGAACGAAACAATATTATGGCGTTGCTCATTAGAAAGCTTATTTAGTTATAATAATTAGTTTAATTCTTGTTGATTATACTGAAAAAAGTATTGTTACGTTGATCGGTGAATAAAATCGGCGTGGGAAAAACTCAACAATTTATTTCTCAATAAGTCAAATTTACACGACTCCTCTCGATGGATCGATGATGGATGTAATTTGTTTTGTCTTCGAAATGGCTAGACAATGTTTTAAATAATTACCCAAAGCAAAAAGCCGCACTGATAGTGGAAACAAAATATTTATCATCTCGTAAATTATGTTCCTTCGGCGAATCGAGTGTCACGCAATAATTTATATTATGTTACGTAACAAACAAGTAGTAAACAACACACGATAACAATATTATCATTTAAATGAAACCTCAAACAGACACATGTTGTAAAGGATTTTCATGTTTTCTGTTCTGCCTAATCGCTACTATTTATCATGAACCTTTGGTTTTTTGTTCTCTTTTTTTTTGTTGGAAGTTACAATCCCCACCAACAATTGATGACGTTTTTTCAAAATTTTGCATAGTCGTCAGTTCCATTGCCTTTTTTACAATCTATTAATGATTATTATGGTAACAAAATTAAATAAACCAAAAGTGTAAAGTTTATTTATTTTACTAATCAATCTTCACAGCTTTTTTCTGCTAGCATTTCTCGGAGCTTAAATTTCTGAATTTTCCCTGAAAGCGTCCGCGGAAAATTATCGAAAATTTCCATCCTCGTGGGAATTTTAAAATACGCCAACTTTGCTTTACAGAAAGTTGCGATGTCGTCAAGTGTTAAATTCGACTGAGGTTTGAGTCTCACACATGCACAAACTTCTTCTCCCAGCCTTTGGTGTGGTGTACCGATTATCTAAAAACAAAGACTGTTAATTCGTTTACCTTTTACAAAAACACCATAACTGACCTGTACTTCTACCACACTTGGATGGGTGACCAAAAATTCTTCGATTTCTTTCGGAGAAATATTCTCTCCTCCTCGTATGATCATATCTTTTATTCTCCCTGCTACTTTCCCACTTCCGTCTTCCTCGAGAATGAACAGGTCTCTGATAATTAAAATAAAATAAATAGTAATAAATAAGTAGTAAACAACAAACCCAGTTTTTAGCCAACCGTCTGTTCCTATCATTTCTTTCGTTTTTTCTTCGTCGTTCCAATAACCCAACATGTTGCTGTAACTTCGTACGCACAACTCACCAGGAGTACCAAAAGGTACCACACAACCACTTTCATCTACTACTTTAACCTCAATATGTTCATGTACGTGTTTCAGATGCGATGTTGGTACTGACTCGAACATTATTCCACTACATTCTGTTAACCCATAGGCCGACTAAGACACAAAGTTAAAGCTTGTAGAGAAGCAAAGAAGTAACTTACATGGACCCTCGATACATTCAAAGTTTTTGAAATCTGTTCCATCAGATATGGTGCGATTGGGGCACCACCTATCAAAACTGCCTCTGCAGATATAGCATCTTTACGTTTTTCTTGAGTTTCGATTAAGTCGGTAAACATCGTGGGAGTACCATAAATCACCGTGCACCTGAATTTTCAAAAACTATAAACACGATCTATTGGTGTGGTAGTTAAATACTTTTCGTTTTTGATTGCGTCCAAAGTTTTGCTGGGTTGGTACGCGTTTGAGGGTAAAACTATAGTACTGGCGTGGTTTAATGCAACCATGAAACCAACGATGGTACCAAAGATGTGAAATAGTGGAACTTGCACACAAAGCGTGTGGTGTTTGTGTGATAAGTCTAGTCGTTTTCCGGTTATGAAGCCAGTATTTACCATTTTGAAGTGGTTGGTTAAAGCCGCTTTTGGTTTTCCTGTGGTTCCCTGAAATTATTTTTGGGTGAATATTTACACTTGAGGAGGTCTTACTGAAGTGAAATGGAGGCTGCAGCCGTCATCTGGACTAATATAGTCTTGCAATTTTTGTACATTAGCCACGTCATTACTAGTCGCTAGGTCCAAAATTTCGTGAAAATTGTAAGTACCACTAGGAAAAATTGATTATTAAAACGACTATTTCTTGTTGAATAGTACCATTTATTTTTGTCGCCCATAATAATGACGGTTTTTAGAGAAGGCACTTGAGTACTTTTAATTTTCCCAGGGTCGCACTTTTCCATTTCTGGTACTATAGTCAACAGAGACTCGTAATAGTCATAGTGTTTGAATTTATCAGCACACACTAAGGCTTTTATTCCGGTTTTATTAACACAATATTGTATTTCCGGAGCTTCAGAAACGGGATTCAAGCATACCTACAAACCAGAAATGATTGAAGTTGCAGATTTGATTTATTTTCTAACCCCAATCAAACCAGCTCTTGCACATGCCATTTTCGTGACGTACCATTCCACTAAATTCGGAGCCCAGATTCCCAGGCGGTCATTTTTTTCCAAATTTAATAGTCTGAAACTCGCTGCCAACTTATCAGCTTTGTGTAACAGTTCAGAGAACGTCAAAAATTGGTTCTGGTGGACTGAAACGACGGCTTTTCGTTCACCGAATTTCTGAGCCGTTTGTTCCAAAAGTCGCCCGATTGTGATATATTTTAACGGCTGGTCACCAATTTTGTGTATGTAGCTAGGTTTCGTGGAATATGGGGTATTATATTTTCTAAAAATGTAAAAACTGTTGATGAAAATCTAAAGTGCGGTTTCAACGAACTCACTTCGCTGTGTGAAGTGTTTTCAGAATGACTCTTTTTGAAAACATGTTTAATTGTGTGCTGATTTCAACTGTGAATATAAGTTTTATTAATGTTGGTAGCTTACGGTGAGGGTAGATAATGAATGTTATGACCCGTTTAACAAGTACGACACAACAAGCTAATCAGTGGCGGCTCGTGGAAATTTTCGCTGAGGACTCAGTAAAATTAAAATTTTAAGTGAAACAAAAAATAACATTTTGGTTATTTAAAGCCTCATTAAAATGGAATACAAAGCCACTTTATATGTAGATTAATTCCAACGACGAAATGGTCTATAACATTCCTATAAAATTTTGAAAATGGCTGCGATAAACACGAGGAAAAAACAAGGCCATTATTTATTTTTGGAGATATTATATGTGCAATGACTGTACTGACACTAAAAAAACGACCCACTATGCCCACCTCGACGGACCGCCACTGATAACAATACTGCCATAAAACAAAGCCTTCGCATGTTGTTGCTGCACTTATCTAATGGATAAAAGTGATTTTGGACCTTTGAACCCGTTGACATTGCGAGCATCTAAAACTAATTATTGCGATATTCAATCGAGGTTCCTATTTAGACTTTCCGTCGTATGATATGGGAAATCAGAAAAAAATTATCACAATTTTTACATTTTTATTAACGAATATTTTGCTAACAGAAAATTTAACAAAACCAAAAGTGTCTATCTTCAAAGATTTTTTTCTGATAGGATTTCTTTAAGCTTGAATTTCTGAATTTTCCCTGAAACCGTTTTAGGAAAATTATCGAAGATTTCCATTCTTGAGGGAATTTTAAAATACGCCAGTTTTCCTTTACAGAAAGTTGCGATGTCTTCTAGTGTTAAATGTGACTGGGGTTTAATTGTTATACAGGCACAAACTTCCTCCCCCAGCCTTGTATGTGGTGTACCTATTACCTAAAAAAATTGATAATTTAACTATCTAGTGTCTCCTTTATGAATAAGTACACCCACTTGTACATCTAGAATATTCGGATGTGTGACCAAAAATTCTTCGATTTCTTTGGGAAAAATATTTTGTCCTCCACGAATGATCACATCTTTTAATCTCCCTACAACTCTCCCGCTTCCATCTTCCTCCAGAATGAACTGGTCTCTAATAAAGCAAACTTTAATTACAATACAATTGAGAAACGAAACAGACCCAGTTTTGAGCCAACCATCTCTCCCTAATATTTCGTTGGTTTTTTCTTCGTCTTCCCAATAACCTACCATGGTACTGTAACTTTTCACGCACAGTTCACCAGCAGTACCGAAAGGTACCACACCACCACTTTCATTAATTACTTTAACTTCGAAATGGTCTTCTACGTATTCCACAGGTGCGTGATTCGTTTCAGACTCAGTTGGTACTGATTCGAACACTGCTCCACTACATTCTGTTATCCCATACATCGGCTGAGACACAAAAACTAACCCACATAGAAGAGTAAAGAATTAACTTACATGAACTTTAGTCACATTTAAAGTTTCTGAGATCTGTTGAATCAAATATGGTGTGACTGGAGCACCACCTATCACAGCTATCTCTGCAGCTATAGGATCTGTACGTTTTTCTTGAATTTGAATTAAGTCAGTATACATCGTGGGGGTTCCATAGATCACCGTACACCTGAATTTTCAAAAATTATAAGGTACTCCACAGTGTGAGAGTGAGTACTTTTCGTTTTTGATTGCGTCCAAAGTTTTACTGGGTTGGTACCCGTTTGTTGGCAAAACTATAGTACTAGCGTGATTTAACGCAGCCATAATGCCAACGACAGTACCATAAATATGGAAAAGTGGTACCTGTGCACATAGTTTATGGTGTTTGGACGATAATTGTAGCCGCTTTCCTGTGAAGAATGCACTGTTTACCAGTTTGAAGTGGGTGGTTAAAGCAACTTTGGGTTTTCCGGTAGTACCCTGAAATGATTCGTGGAACAAATATTTAACAGAATGACTAGGAAATAGTACTGAAGTGAAATAGAGGCTGCAGCCATCATCTGGACTAATCATGTGTTGCAATTTCGCTATATTGGCAACTTCACTACTATTCGCACGGTCCAAAATTTCGCCAAAATTGTAAGTACCGCTAGAAAATCGATTGTTAACTAGTTAAATTACAATTCTCGTAGTCGTTACAAGGTACCGTTTATTTTCCTCGCCAATGCGAATCACGGTTTTAAGTGACGGTACTTTCGTGCTTTTAAGCTTTCCAGGGTCACAATTTTCCAATTCTGGGGCTATACTCAACAGAGATTCGTAATAATCGTGGTGCTTAAATTCATCAGCACACACTAAAGCCTTTATTCCCGTTTTATTAACACAGTACTCTATTTCCGGAGCTTCAAGAACAGGGTTTAAGCACACCTAAAAAAGCGTGGTTTGAAGTTGCAACAGATGGTTATTTTGCTAACCGTAATCAAACCAGCCCTTGCACTTGCCATTTTCGTGACGTACCATTCAACCAAATTAGGAACCCAGAGTCCCAAGCGATCACCTTTTTCTAAATTTAAATTTTTTAAAGTCGCTGCCAATTTATCAGCTTTTTGTAGAAGCTCAGAAAACGTGAGAAATTCGTTCTGATGTACTGAAATAACGGCTTTTCGGTCGCCAAATTTGGAAGCTGTTTCTTGTAAAAGTTGCCCGATTGTGATATATTTCAAAGGTTGGTCACCAAGTTTGTGAATATAACTGGGCTTTGTGGAATATAGGGCACATTTTCTAAAAATGTTACAAGTACGATCACAAAAATGAAAGTGGTTTCAAAAAACTCACATTGTTGTTTTAATTGTTTTCAGAGTGGTACTTTTGGCAAACATTTTGACTTGTGCACTGATGTCAATTGTATATATATCGTCCTAAAGGTTTTTAGGAAAGGGTAGATAATGAATGTTATAACCTGCTTAACAAATGACCACAATATCGCAACAATGTTATCATTTCAAGGCAAACCATTTGCATATTTTTACTACAAATAATAGGTAAATATTATTCGTGGTTCTATTTTTTCATTTACTAGATATGGATTTCAAAGTACAAAACTGAATATAAACAATAAAAAAGTCTCTTAGGAATGGCTATAATTGTTCGTCATGAGGAATCAAGGACAGTCTGCAGCAGCTTAAACTTCTGGATTTTCCCCGACGTCGTCTTCGGAAACTGCTCCAAGATTTTGATCTTCGATGGTACCTTGAAGTGCGACAATTTTCCTCTGCAAAATTCTTTCACGTCCTCTTGAGTTAAAGTCGTGCCTGGTTTGACTCGAATGCAAGCGCACACCTCTTCACCCAGTCTTTCGTGGGGTAGACCGATCACTTGTGTTTCCAAAACGTGCGGATGCGAATTTAAGAACTCTTCAATCTCTTTCGGGAAGATATTTTCCCCGCCTCGGATGATCATCTCTTTGAGCCTTCCAACGACTCTCCCGTAGCCGTTTTCTTCTAAAATAAACTGATCACTGGAAACACGAACTTAGACGAACGTTTTTACAAAAATTAATATAAGTAGTACCCCGTTTTCAACCACATGTCGTCCCCTATCATTTCTTTGGTTTTGTCTACATCGTCCCAATAGCCTAACATCGTGCAATAACCTCTAACACACAACTCGCCAGCCGTACCACACGGTACCACATTGTTGTCTTTGTCGACGATTTTGACCTCAAGGTGTTCGCCGACGTGTCCCACCGTCGACACGGCTTTTACTTCAGATTCGCCCCACAACGAATGGAATACAACAGCAGTCGTTTCTGTGAGACCATAAACTGACTAGAATTTGAAACTGAAAAGTTGAAACACAGTTTTGACTTCATACTTTGACTTTTTTCACGTTCAGTACTGTTAACATTTTTTTGAATAAGTGGGGTGCGCACAACGCCCCTCCTGATAACGCGATTTCAGGGGAGATGTCTTCTTTGCGCTCTTCTTGTCTGTGGACTAGATCTACGTACATGGTTGGAGTACCGTGGATGATGGTACATCTAGAACATTTATAGTGGCCAAGGGTAAAAAAGTTTGAAGCGATTACTTCTCTTCTTTGATGGCGTCCAGACTTTTATCGGGGTTGTAGCCCGCGGTTGGTAGTACTAAAGTGCTGCCGTGGTTTAGTGCTGCCATGACTGTGATAATAGTGCCATAGGCGTGGAACAGTGGTACTTGGACACAAATAGTGTGGTGCTTACGACCCAATTCGTTCCGTTTTCCAACGTAGTAACCATTATTGACGTACATAAAGTGAGAGGTTAGGGCGGCTTTGGGTTTCCCGGTGGTACCCTAAATGGAAACAACAATATCATCTGCTTTGTGACAATTTAGACACTCACTGAAGTAAATTGTAAGTTACACGGATCATCAGGACTGATACAACTCTGATACTTCTTAATATTGGCAACACCATCGTTAGTACCAAAGTCTTGTACCTCGTTGAAGTTGTACGTACCTCTGAAATTAAACTCTAACTTTTGTACGATTTACTATACAATAGTTACTTTTTCGTGTCTTCGCTCGTCGTAATTACCGTTTGGAGCGACGGAATTCTACTATTTCTCAGCTTTCCGGGTTCAGTCTTCGGTAACTCGGGCGCCAAAGTCACCAAATGCTCGTAAAAGTCTTGTTTTCTAAATTTGTCTGCACACACTAGCGCTTTTATTTTTACTTTGTTGATGCAATACTCCATCTCGGTTGGTTGGTAGGCGGGATTTAGACCCACCATGATTAGGCCTGCTCTCGCACAAGCCATTTTCGTGACGTACCATTCTACCAAATTTGGCGCCCAAATCCCCACACGGTCATTTTTTTCCAGGCCGAGGGATTTCAAACCAGCTGCTAACTTATCAGCTTCGACTAAGACTTGGCTGAAAGTCAAAGATTTTTTTTGGTCTCGCGATATGACAGCGTTTCGGTCGCCGAATTTCGATTCTGACTCTTCCAATAGTGTTCCGATTGTGATGTGACGCAGAGGTTCTTCACCTAGGTGGTGTTTGTAGCTGAGTTTAGTCGAAAAGGAGCTACATTTTCTGAAATTGATACTTGATTTGGGGTTAGAATGACACTGTTGTAACAGTACTTACATTTTTTTGACGAAGAATTTTGACGGAGGGTTTCGGACACTGATCCCGTGAAGCATGGTTAGGAATGAATGGAGTGAAAATGCGGGTTATAAAAAAGTAGAGAGAATTATATTAGACAGTTGTTAATTGTTTGCTGAGATAATGTTGCCCGATAATGGTTAACCTTGTGAATCTGGTGATAATGAGTACTATATACTTGGAGGATTCCAGTGGACGATAAATACTGGGAGCGATGAATGCTTTATTGGTTGTATGCATTCAATTATAGTTCCAATTGATTGTTTTTCTTTGTATTGTAAAAAAATATGTAAATTGTTTTTTCGTATTTTTTTATTATCTACATCCTGCGATTACCAAAATAATGTTTTTATTGAAATCGCTATCTCCAGCGCATTAGGATTATACTGCTATTCATTTCGTGCTTGTTATGTACTGTTCACTGTTTTTACAGGATTACTGCGCCGGTATAACTAATTAAGTTTTGTGAAGTTTGGTAATCGTGAGAGTAGACACAAGATTTATAACATAGTGCCAATACGTCAGCACTCAAATGGGTCCATATGGTTCCCTAATTTTGGTTAAAACTCTACCTAACAAAAAAATATTTCCCACTAAAGTCAATTTTTATCAGATAAGTAAAGATTTTCGACATCAGTTACGATATTTTTAGCTACTTTTGACAGGTACCACGAGTTTTGAGGATCCACCGCCACTGCAATTTACCCTCAAACTTTTGAGCACAGTTTTATTTTCGTGGCGCTATCTCCTTGTAAAATCTTAAATGTAGCTATTTTTACCGTCAAAAATAGGCCCTGAAGTCCATCGATCCGTCCCGTAGGCGGCGCCCCTCCACAAAAAAGCCAATCTACCATTATCATTTTTGTCTTGATTCTTGGGTTTATTGGTGAATGTTGTCGGTCGCAGAAGGCCGTGGTTGACCGGAACCGCCGCCGGAAATCGCGTGCGGACGTTAAACACGCACTCGACTTTACCGACTCGCGATTGGTCGAATTAAAAGCGCTAAAACTTTTCAAACAAACCATTAAAAAGAGAATTCGAGTAAACAAGTGGACGTCAAAGGGTGTAATGTATGCAAAAAAAATCTTGCACCATTCTGGGTATTAATATTAATAAACACCCCATAATTCTAGATGGTAGTTTTTTTTCAGTAATGAGTCGACTATATTCCTGCTAATTAAAAAAGCGCTGCGAAAGCGTCCACTTCATGATTTATTATTTCAAAAACACCTATTCCCGGTCATAAAAATATTCCTGACGTGTTTCGTTTTATTTGTGTCGCTTCGGCCATTTGCATAAAATCTATAACTCAAAATGCAATGGGGTTTGTGTGACAAGTGAAACTATTTTCGCTAATCGTAATGATGGCCACGTAAGCATAAACTAGTTTTGTGGTGGAATTAGGGGAACTTAATCTATGCCCCCTAATTTAGAGTATTATTTCAGTAGGTCAATGTGTCTGCGAGCTTTTCAGCGCTGAAATGCTGAATCGCAACACCCTCGCGAGGGGTTGTGGTGGGGGTTTCTGCGTCGCGATTGGCCAAGAATGAGCTAATGTTTCAGCTTTCAGCTGAGATTTCTTCAAAACACCGCTAGTTTGATAAAGAACATTAAGAAGATAAAGTGGTGGTTGCCGCCACCGGCGAGTCGGAAACGGGCGAATATCGTGGCGGTGGCTGAAATATGCTGTCTTCGGGCGATATTATCGTGAAATGTCTGCAAATTATCGTCTCGTTTCTTGTTAAAAAAATTCATAAGAAGAAGAAGTAAGGGGATGTGGAAGTTCGGGTTGGCGTAGTTATGTTGGTTGTGAGTTTGGCGTTTAAGGGAAAAAACAGTTTTTTGATTTGGAAGTTTTTGAAAATTATCATGATTACATAGCGGTATGTCGCAAGCTGGCGGAAAAAAGGGGGGCGGGAAGGGGCCTCCCAAGGAGAAAAATGACGAGAACAAAGACCAAAATAATAAAGGTAGGAGTGCTTTTGATTTTTTCGTTAATTCGTGGACTATTAAAAACTGGAATTTAAAATTCAAATAATAAATACAGGGCATCAGAAATTTACAAATATTGAGCTGGTTAAAAAATGTACTAGAAATTCTGAATTATAAATTTGTTTTATGTTTCCTCGACGTTTCATGCATCTTAGGGAACGAAAAAATAGGTCTCCCGTTTCCGTCTGTCTGTCTGTCTGTCCAAAAGACCGATTATTGTGAGATTTTATGTCTATCTTAGGTATATCGTGTAGATCGTAAAACAATAACCAAAATGGGTCTAATCATCCCCATCAACAATTTGATGACGTCACCTCAAAATTTTGCTTGGTAAATGTTATTTAAATTTTATGAAATAACATATTCCTGTGCTTGTAGCCATAGAAACAGAAAAAAAATCAAAGACTGAAGTTGTACGGCTTTTGAATAGCATACATTAAAATTATTTTCGATTATACAGAGTGTTTTATTTTCGAGATATAGGACACAATTTAGTTTCTTTATGTAGAATACCCTACATATTCTAACATATGTTTATTAGCCGCTTCGTAGGCTTTATAATCGTAATTTATTTTTAAAATTATGATGCGACGTTGCCGGGTTGTTTCCATTTTTTTGATATTTTTTAGCAAATCAAGGGTTCAGAAAAAAATTGCAATAACTCATTTTTAAGATCTCACCTGACCTGACACACCATGGATATATTAACAACAACACTGTTTAATTACTTGGTAAATCCCCAAAATGCAATTCAAAAGTACCAAAAAAAAAAACGTCAATCGAAAAAACTATTTCTATACTGTATATGTATACAACGTGATAAAATATGTTTATCATATAGAATTAATAGGATTCTAATTTAATCGAAAGTAGCAATTCGGTAAATATTTCCAAAATTGTAATTAATTGTACTATATGTAAAAAATCAAAATATCAAATCGGAATGAAAATTGGTTATTCAAAATTTGGAAAAACTGCTGAAATTGATCAAATAATGTTTGATACAAGCAACCCCAATTTTTTTTAGGCAGCATACTTTTTATATACATGGTGAGTCATTAAGGGTGCGGTCCTCCATAGCTCTTTACTTATTACAGACCAAAAAAAAAACAAAGACTTAAGTTGTACGGCTTTTGAATAGCATACATTAAAATTATTTTCGATTGTACAGAGTGTTTTATTTTCGAGGCATAGTACACAATTTAGTTTCTTTTTATGTAGAATACCCTACATATTTTAACATATCCTTATTAGCCGCTTCGTAGGCTTTATAATCTAATTTAATTTTGAAATTACGATGCGACGTTGCGGCGTTGTTCCCATTTTTTAAATATTTTTTAACAAATCGAGGGTTCATAAAAAAATCGCAATAACTCATTTTTAAGATTTCACCTGACCTGATACACCACAGATACATTAAAAACAAGACTGTTCAATTACTTGGTAAATCCCCAAAATGCAATTCAAAAGTACCAAAAAACGTCAGTCGAAATAACTATTTCCATACTGTATGTGGATACAATGACATAAAATATCTTTTTTAAATACAACTAATAGAATTCTAATTTAATTGAAACTAATAATTTCGTAAATATTTCCAAAATTCTAATCAATTGTACTAAGTATATTTAAAAAATCAAAATAGCAAATTTCAATCGAAATTCGTCATTCAAAAGCACTAAACTGCTGAAATCGATGAAATAATTTTTTATAGAAGAAACTCACATTTTTTTAAAAGAAGCAATTTTTTTATATACAGTGTGGATCACTAAGTGTGCGGTCTTCGATATCTCATTAATTATTACAGAGAGATGAAAAAACAAACACAGACTAAAGTTCTATGGCTTTTTGAATAGCATAAATTAAAAGTACTGTCGACTATACAAAGTGTTTCGTTTTTGAGATATAGGACACAATTAAGTTCTTTTAAATAGAACATTCTACATATTTTAACATATTACTATTATCCGCTTCGTAGGATTTATAATCATAGTTTATTTTTGAAAGTATGAGGCGACGTTGCCACGTTATTCCTTTTTTTTTCAATTTTTTTAGCAAAACAATGGTTCACAAAAAAATCGCAATAACATTATTTTTAAAATCTGATCCTACTTAACCTGATCTAACCTGACACTCTATAGATATACTAAAAAGAAGACTGTTCAATTACTTGGTAAATTCCCCAAAATGTAATTCAAAGGTACCAAAAAACGTCAATCGAAGTAACTATTTCCATACTGTATATGGATACAATGAGATAAAATATCTTTTTTAAATACAACTAATAGAATTCTAATTTAACTGAAACTAGCAATTTCGTAAATATTTCCAAAATTCTAATCAATTGTACTAAATATATTTAAAAAATCAAAATAGCAAATTTCAATCGAAATTCGTCATTCAAAGGCACTAAACTGCTGAAATCGATGAAATAATTTTTTATAGAAGAAACTCACATTTTTTTAAATGAACCAATTTTTTATATACAGTGTGAATCACTAAGTGTGCGGTCCTCGATATCTCATTAATTATTACAGAGAGATGAAAAAACAAACACAGACTAAAGTTCTATGGCTTTTTGCATAGCATAAATTAAAAGTACTGTCGACTATACAGAGTGTTTCGTTTTTGAGATATAGGACACAATTAAGTTCTTTTAAATAGAACATTCTACATATTTTAACATATTGTTATTATCCGCTTCGTAGGATTTATAATCATAGTTTATTTTTGAAAGTATGAGGCGAAGTTGCCACATTATTCCTTTTTTTTTTTCAATTTTTTTAGCAAAACAATGGTTCACAAAAAAATCGCAATAACATTATTTTTTAAATCTGACCCTACTTGACCTGATCTAACCTGACACTCTATAGATATACTAAAAACAAGACTGTTCAATTACCTGGTAAATCCCCCAAAATGTAATTCAAAAGTACGAAAAATCGTCAATCGAAGTAACTATTTCCATACTGTATATCGATACAATGAGATAAAATATCTTTTTTAAATACAACTAATAGAATTCTTATTTAACTGAAACTAGCAATTTCGTGAATATTTCTAAAATTCTAATCAATTGTACTAAGTATATTTAAAAAATCAAAATAGCAAATTTCAATCGAAATTCGTCATTCAAATGCACTAAACTGCTGAAATGGATGAAATAATTTTTTATACAAGTAACTCAAATTTTTTTAAGGGAACCAATTTTTTTACATACAGTGTGAATCACTAAAGGTGAGGTCCTCGATATCTCATTAATTATTACAAAGAGATGAAAAAACAAACACAGACTAAAGTTCTATGGCTTTTTAAATAGCATAAATTAAAAATACTGTGGACTATACAGAGTGTTTCGTTTTTGAGATACAGGACACAATTAAGTTCTTTTAAATAGAACATTCTACATATTTTAACATATTGTTATTATCCGCTTCGCAAGATTTATAATCATAGTTTATTTTTGAAAGTATGAGGCGACGTTGCCACGTTATTCCTTTTTTTTTCAATTTTTTTAGCAAAACAATGATTCACAAAAAAATCGCAATAACATTATTTTTAAAATCTGACCCTACTTGACCTGATCTAACCTGACACTCTATAGATATACTAAAAACAAGACTGCTCAATTACCTGGTAAATCCCCCAAAATGTAGTTCAAAAGTACCAAAAAACGTCAATCGAAGTAACTATTTCCATACTGTATATGGATAAAAAGAGATAAAATATCTTTTTTAAATACAACTAATAGAATTCTAATTTAACTGAAACTAGCAATTTCGTAAATATTCCCAAAATTCTAATCAATTGTACTAAGTACATTTAAAAAATCAAAATAGCAAATTTCAATCAAAATTCGTCATTCAAAAGCACTAAACTGCTGAAATGGATGAAATAATTTTTTTATACAAGTAACTCAATTTTTTTTAAGGGAACCAATTTTTTTATATACAGTGTGAATCACTAAGGGTGCGGTCCTCGATATCTCATTAATTATTACAGAGAGATGAAAAAACAAACACAGACTAAAGTTCTATGGCTTTTTGAATAGCATAAATTAAAAGTACTGTCGACTATACAAAGTGTTTCGTTTTTGAGATACAGAACACAATTAAGTTCTTTTAAATAGAACATTCTACATATTTTAACATATTACTATTAACCGCTTCGTAGGATTTATAATCATAGTTTATTTTTGAAAGTATGAGGCGACGTTGCCACGTTATTCCTTTTTTTTTCAATTTTTTTAGCGAAACAATGGTTCACAAAAAAATCGCAATAACATTATTTTTAAAATCTGATCCTACTTAACCTGATCTAACCTGACACTCTATAGATATACTAAAAAGAAGACTGTTCAATTACCTGCTAAATCCCCCAAAATGTAATTCAAAGGTACCAAAAAACGTCAATCGAAGTAACTATTTCCATACTGTATATGGATACAATGAGATAAAATATCTTTTTTAAATACAACTAATAGAATTCTAATTTAACTGAAACTAGCAATTTCGTAAATATTTCCAAAATTTTAATCAATTGTACTAAGTATATTTAAAAAATCAAAATAGCAAATTTCAATCGAAATTCGTCATTCAAAGGCACTAAACTGCTGAAATCGATGAAATAATTTTTTATAGAAGAAACTCAAATTTTTTTAAAGGAACCAATTTTTTTATATACAGTGTGGATTACTAAGTGTGCGGTCTTCGATATCTCATTAATTATTAGAGAGATGAAAAAACAAACACAGACTAAAGTTCTATGGCTTTTTGAATAGCATAAATTAAAAGTACTGTCGACTATACAAAGTGTTTCGTTTTTGAGATATAGGACACAATTAAGTACTTTTAAATAGAACATTCTACATATTTTAACATATTACTATTATCCGCTTCGTAGGATTTATAATCATAGTTTATTTTTGAAAGTATGAGGCGACGTTGCCACGTTATTCCTTTTTTTTTTCAATTTTTTTAGCAAAACAATGGTTCACAAAAAAATCGCAGTAACATTATTTTTTAAATCTGACCCTACTTGACCTGATCTAACCTGACACGCTATAGATATACTAAAAACAAGACTGTTCAATTACCTGGTAAATCCCCCAAAATGTAGTTCAAAAGTACCAAAAAACGTCAATCGAAGTAACTATTTCCATACTGTATATGGATACAATCAGATAAAATATCTTTTTTTTAAATACAACTAATAAAATTCTAATTTAACTGAAACTAGCAATTTCGTAAATATTTCCAAAATTCTAATCAATTGTACTAAGTATACCTATTTAAAAAATCAAAATAGCAAATTTCAATCGAAATTCGTCATTCAAAAGCACTAAACTGCTGAAATGAGTGAAATAATTTTTTTATAGAAGTAACTCAAATTTTTTTAAGGGAACCAATTTTTTTTATATACAGTGTGAATCATTAAGTGTGCGGTCCTCGATATCTCATTAATTATTACAGAGAGATGAAAAAACAAACACAGACTAAAGTTCTATGGCTTTTTGAATAGCATAAATTAAAAGTACTGTCGACAATACAGAGTGTTTCGTTTTTGAGATATAGGACACAATTGAGTTCTTTTAAATAGAACATTCTACATATTTTAACATATTGTTATTATCCGCTTCGTAGGATTTATAATCATAGTTTATTTTTGAAAGTATGAGGCGACGTTGCCACGTTATTCCTTTTCTTTTCAATTTTTTTAGCAAAACAATGGTTCACAAAAAAATCGCAATAACATTATTTTTAAAATCTGACCCTACTTGACCTGATCTAACCTGACACTCTATAGATATACTAAAAACAAGACTGTTGAATTACCTGGTAAATCCCCCAAATGTAATTCAAAAGTATCAAAAAACGTCAATCGAAGTAACTATTTCCATACTGTATATGGATACAATGAGATAAAATATCTTTTTTAAATACAACTAATAGAATTCTAATTTAACTGAAACTAGCAATTTCGTAAATATTTCCAAAATTCTGATCAATTGTACTAAGTATATTTAAAAAATCAAAATAGCAAATTTCAATCAAAATTCGTCATTCAAAAGAACTAAGCTGCTGAAATGGATGAAATCATTTTTTAGTCAAGTAACTCAAATTTTTTTAAGGGAACCAATTTTTTTATATACAGTGTGAATCACTAAGGGTGCGGTCCTCGATATCTCATTGATTATTACAGAGAGATGAAAAAACAAACACAGACTAAAGTTCTATGGCTTTTTGAATAGCATAAATTAAAAGTACTGTCGACTATACAGAGTGTTTCGTTTTTGAGATATAGGACACAATTGAGTTCTTTTAAATAGAACATTCTACATATTTTAACATATTATTATTATCCGCTCCGTAGGATTTATAATCCTAGTTTATTTTTGAAAGTATGAAGCGACGTTGCCACGTCATTCCTTTTTTTTATTTGTTTAGCAAAACAATGGTTCACAAAAATCGCGGTAACATATTTTAAGATCTGTTTTGCAATATTTTATAGAAAGATGAACAGAGGTGCGCGTTTTGTTAGGATATGAAATAAAAAATAATAATATACAGAGTGTTTATAAAAAAATAAAATTTACAATTTTCATATATCAATATTCCAGTTTTTTCACATAGAACATCCTGTATTTTATTAATCTAGAATAGTTGTTTTCAAAATTTCGATTCTAATTGAAAAGATAATTCTAAAAATGTCCAGTCAACTTTTTTTGTTGACTTTATGAAATTTTTAACTCTCAGCTGCCAACAAAGAATCAAAAGAAAAAGACAAAGAGGAAACCACCAGCAACCCCGAGGGTGAAGACAGCACCCCCAGCTCCAAGCCCCAGAGTGCCGGTGCCAACATCCGCGATGCCGCCCAGCGAATCCTGGTGCTCTGCCAAAAGGGCGAGTGGGCCCCCGTGGACCAGGTCCTCAAGTCCATGGAGAAGTCCATCGCCGCCGCAGGAGAGGACGCCAACACCGTCCCCCTCGCAGGCGTCGCCGACATAGTGAGTATCAATCAAGCCCCTAATGAATCTCGTTGTTTGTGCCCCGTTTAATATTCTTAAAAGGATGATGTATCGAACCAACAGCCAAAAATGCTTTTTTGTTTCTAGGCGACGGGCATGACACCTCTCATGTACGCAGTAAAAGACAACAGGACTTCGCTTCTTGACAAATTGATCGACTTGGGATCGGATGTCGGCGCCAGAAACAACGTGAGTAACGCGGCTTTTTGCAAAAATCGGACTAAAAATAGGGGTTGGCCGCAATTTGGCGTAATTTAGACACGCAACTGACCCAAATACAAAAATTGTCGATATTATACCAATAACGTTTAATGCATTGGGTGTAGAGGTAATTAGGAGCTTGCATGATTTAGGATATTGATAGAGAAAAATTTCGAAAGGGGGTAGTGAGGCTGGGATGAAAGTGGTACATGTTGGGGTATATTTAGTAATTTATTAAAAACGGAAGGGCGCGCCTCGATTCGATCATGATGGGAAGTTATAGGGTGCTAAAAATATAACGGTGCATTAATCGGGCTAAATAGTGCACAGCTGTAATTTGTGATTTATTCCCAAAAGCAAATCGCACACAAAAACGCAACAAATTTATTTATAGCAGCATTGTCCAAAACCATAACTTTATCTTTTAAAATTTTTATTGTAGTGTAAAATTATATAACCCAAATATCTGAGTCAACAACATTTAGGATAAGATTATAAAAATAATTGCATTATCTGCTGCGGTTTGTGTACAGGCGGTTTGACTAGTCAAAATTTTATCTTTACAATTTTCGCAAGATTACTCGATGAATTTTTATTTGGCGTATTTAATTCGTTATCTTCGCCGAAGACATTGAAAATATGGATTAACCGGTCAAGTTTGCGACCGCATGATTTTTTAACGTTCACCTTGCATGATACTATAAGTAATACAGTAATAAAGATTTCAGAAATAAAACATTACTTGCTTGTTTTCGTTTATTTCATCTTGATAATGCGTATAAAATGAACACATTATAAAATTCCGAATCTAGGTTTCCTTCAAAAATATTATCTTTCGCCAATTAAAAAAATTTAAGGCTGCGGAATTAATTAATTTATTGCCTGGATTAGTTACCTTGATCGTAAAAAACGTTTATTTATTGCCCTTGCATGGTTTAGAGCAAAAATCGTTATGTTTATTGCCAAAAATCGCGCAAAAGCATGTTTTATTAAAATTATTTTTGTTTTATTTGATTTTGCGAATTTCATTTTTTTTATGGGAAACTCTATAAGTTAAAATGAAAAATACACAAAAACAAAGTTCTTTGAAAATATAATTTAAAATAAAAATTTTGTTTAATATGAAGAAGACGCGAAAATTCCTATGATTGTTTGAAAAATCTTTAAAAATTCAATAAAGAAAAAAACAAAATCACAAATGACTCCTAAGATTATTTCGTATACTCTACGAAACCCCAAGATTCTTTCCAACTTTTTACAAAAGAAAATAACAAGGATTCCCGAGACCATTTCAAATTCTTCCAAAAAGGAAACATCAAGTGTTCGAGAGATTTTTCAATTTTTTTCAAAAATAAAACACAAGAAGCCCGGAAGATCTATGCACATTTAAAAAAAAGACATCTGGGGGCTCGAAAATTCAAAACCCAAAGGATTCCTATGATTCTTTCACATATTTTAAGAAAAGACTTTCAAATTCTTTAAGAAAATGAAACACCAAAAGCGACAAAAAGCCCCCAACATTTTTTGAAAACTCTTCGAAGACTCGTTCAAAAACAAAACACGAATGACTTCTTTTATTTTGTTTAAAACTAATGTGAAGGAGATACAAAACGTCCCCAAGATTCTTTGAAAAAATCTTCAAAATTCCGTAAAAAATAAAACACAAAGAACTCGTTTGCGTCCTTTTTCGCCCTTTTGGTCCTTTTTGATTCTTTTCGTTCTGTTTGTCCTTTTTCGTCCTTTTTGGTCCTTTTTCGTCCTTTCTGGTCCTTTTCGTCCTCTTTGGTCTGTTTCGTCCTTTTCGTCCTTTTTGATAATTTTCGTCCTTTTCATCCTTTGTCGTCCTTTTTGATCTTTTTCGTCCTGTTTCGTCCTTTTTCGTCCTATTTCGTCCTTTTCGTCCTTTGTCGTCCTTTTTGATCCATTTCGTCCTTTTTGTCCTTTTTCGTCCTTTTTGTATTTTTTGATTCTTTTCGTCCTTTTCGTCCTTTTTCGTCCTTCAATATCAATCAATACTTTATTGGTGTTAAAAACTTACAAATACAGTTTTACACAAGTCAAATAATAAATTAAACCAATAAACTATTAAAATTTCTACATCGAAAATAATCCTCAAAACTATAAAAACAATTCATAATAAGGAACTTTTTGGTCCTTTTCGTCCTCTTTCGTTCTCTTTCGTCTTTTTTCGTCCTTTTTAGTCCTGTTTTCATCCTTCTCGTCCTTTGCGTCCCTTTTGGTCCTTTTTCGTCCTTTTCGTCTTTTTTCGTTCTTTTCATCCTTTTTGATCCTTTTCGTCCTTTTCGTCATTTTTCGTCCTTTTTCGTCGTTTCTGGTCCTTTTCGTTCTTTTTCGTCCTTCTTCATCCTTTTCGCAGTTTTTGGTCCTTTTTTATCTTTTTCCTCCTTTTCGTCCTTTGTCCTTCTTTTCGTCCTTTTTCCTCCTTTTCGTCCTGTTTGATCCTTTTTTCCTTTTCGTCCTTGTTCGTTCTTTTCGTCCTTTCTCGTCCTTTTCGTCCTTTTTCGTCCTTTTCGTCCTTTTTCGTCCTTTTCGTCCTGTTTGATCCCTTTCGTCCTTTTTCGTCCGTTTCGTATTTTTGAATCCCTTTCGTCCTTTTCGTCCTTTTTCATCTTGTTTCGTCCTTATCGCCCTTTTTCGTCCTTTTTGTCCTTTTTCACCCTTTTGGTCCTTTTTCATCCATTTCGTTCTTTTCGTCCTTTTTCGTCCTTGTTCGTCCTTTTTAGTCCTTTTCGTCCTTTTTGGTCTTTTTTCGCTCTTTTAGTCCTTTTTCGTGCTTTTGCGTCGTTTTTCGTCCTTATCGTCCTTTTACGTCCTTTTCGTCCTCTTCATCATTTTTCGTCCTGTTTCGTCCTGTTTCGTCCTTTTTCGTTCTTTTCGTCCTTTTTGATCCTTTTCGTCCTTTTTTATCCTTTTCGTCCTTTTCGTCCTCTTGGTCCTTTTCGTCCTTTTTCATCCTTCTTCGTTCTTTTAAGTCCTTTTCGTCCTTTTTGGTCTTTTTTCGTCCTTTTCGTCCTTATTCGTATTTTTGCGTCCTTTTTCGTCCTTTTCGTCCTGTTCGTCCTCTTCATCCTTTTTCGTCCTGTTTCCTCCTTTTTCGTCCTTTTTGATCCTCTTGGGCCTTTTCGTCCTTTTTCGTCTTTTTCGTCCTTTTTGTCCTTTTTCGTCCTTTTTCGTCCTTTTCGTCCTTGTCTGGTCCTTTTCATTCTTTTTGATCCTTTTCATTCTTTTTGATCCTTTTCGTCCTTTTCGTCCTTCTTCGTCCTTTGTCGTCCTTTTTGGTCCTGTTCGTCCTTTTCGTCCTTTTTCATCCTTTATCGTCCTTTGTCGTTCTTTTCGCCATCTTTGTTCCTTTTCGTCCTTTTCGTCCTTTTTCTTCCTTTTCGTCCTTTTCGTCCTTTTCGTCCTTTTTGGTCCTTTTCGTCCTTTTGGTCCTTTTTGATACTTTTCGTCCTATTTCGTCCTCTTTCATCCTTTTTCTTCCTTTTCGTCTTTTTTGGTCCTTTTAGTCCTTTTTAATCCTTTTCGTCCTTTTTGGTCCTTTTCGTCCTTTTTGGTCCTTTTCGTCCTTTTCGTCCTTTTTCGTCCTTTGACGTCCTTTTTCGTCTTTTTTCGTCCTTTTTCGTCCTTATAAGTCTTTTTCGTCTTTTTTCGTCCTTTTTCGTCTTCTTTCGTCCTTTTTCGTCCTTTTTCTTTCTTTTAAGTCCTTTTCGTCCTTTTTGATCCTTTTCCTCCTTTTTCGTCCTTTTCGTCCTTTTTCGTCCTTATCGTCCTCTTCATCGTTTTTCGTTCTTTTCGTCTTTTTTCGTCCTTTTCGTTCTTTTTCGTCCATTTTGGTCCGTTTCGTCTTTTTCGTTCCTTTTCGTCCTTTTTGTCCTTTTTCGTACTTTTGCGTCCCTTTCGTCCTGTCTGGTCCTTTTCATTCTTTTTGATCCTTTTCATTCTTTTTGATCCTTTTCGTCCTTTTCGTCCTTCTTCGTCCTTTGTCGTCCTTTTTGGTCCTGTTCGTCCTTTTCGTCCTTTTTCATCCTTTATCGTCCTTTTCGTCCTGTTTCTTCCTTTTCGTCCTTTTTCGTCCTTTGTGGTCCTTTTCGTCCTTAGCATTCTTTTTCGTCCTTGTCGTCCTTTTTCGTTCTTTATTATTTCACATAAAAAAAACACTTGGAAATTCAAAGATTTTTATAAAAGTTTTCAAAAACCAAACAACAGTTTTTTCCCCTTTGGCTCACAACGAATAAAAAAAAATCATCACAATTGAGATGGGGTGGGTGGGCGGGGCTTACGAACATTTTGTATTTTTTTCTTAAAATGTGTAGTCATCTTTTCACAACAAGAAACTTAAAACATGTTTAAAATGGTAAATTAGTATAGGGAAATATCGATTTTGCAATTACGCCCCGCCCCTCGGTCTGACAACGAATGAAAATTTCATCACGATTGAGATCGAGACGGATGGGTGGAGCTTCTCTTTTGGTTTTCTTTGTATAACACGATTACTTAAGAACATATTTCACATGGTAATTTCTCATAAAAAAATAACGATTTTGCAATTAAGCTCCGCCCCTTCGCTTAACAACGAATTAAAAAAAATAATCAAAATTGAGATAGGGTGGGTGGGCGGGGCTTATATTTTGTCTGTTTTTTCTTAATATACATAGCCATCTTTTCACAACATGAATCTTAAAATGGTACATTTTTGCAAAGAAATATGGATTTTTCTTTATACAAATTTTCCATTTTAAGCATGTTTTAAGTTTAATATTGTAATAAGTCTACACATATTAAAACAAAATGGACAAAATGTAAGCCCCACCCACCCACCCCATCCCTATTGTGATGATTTTTTTTATTCGCCGTGATCCAAGGGGACGGAGCTTAACTACAAAATACTTATTTCTTAAAAAAAAAAATAAAAACACGTTATTGAGTATGGTGTTGTTCAAAATATTAATAGTTTTTTTTTTTAGAAAGCAAAATTCAAGAGATTCTTATGATCCAAAGGGAGCCCCAGTTGTACCAAGATTATTTCAAACTCTTTTAAAATTAAATACCGAAAGCTCTCAAGTCTTTTTCACAGTGTTTAAACAAAAATATTTTATGAAACACTAAAGAAATTGAAATTTTTGCTAAGATACTTGTATAACTTTAGAATAAAAATCTGTTCAATTAAACTAATTGCACAGATATTTTCATTTAAAAAGCTTCCAATTATCTCGAAGGCTCAATTACATTAGGATCATCCTGCAAACTGGACCACAATTCCTAGATTAAACCCATAAACAAAAAAAAAATATATTGCACTAACCTTGAAACTCCTACAAACCCACGCTAAAAATAAATAACGCTACATTGAAACATTTTAATGAATACATTAGCACACAAATGAACTTATTTAAATTTGCATATTTTTCTCACCCGTACGTTCAGAAATATTTACCACCAGTTTTCATTTTTTACGATAATGTCCTTTTCTATTTTAATGTGTCCTACTTTTGCTCGAATTTATGGAAACATTTCATAAAATTAGCACCAGAGAGCATAAAAAAACTGCAGTTTTTTATTTCGTGAAATTTATACGCAGTTGTGCGGAATAATGGCGTACTGCAGTTGAACCCATTGCATCGATAATATCTGATTGCATACTGCACTGCCATTAGTTCGAATTACACACATACTAACTACCCTAAATCGCTGAAAAGACTAGTCGAAATAGCTTGTTTGTGCTGTCTTAATTACTGAGGAGCTTTTGTGTCAAAACTTATTCACTATTAGTTCAACAACAACCTCATTCAGGACTCAGCGCTTTGAAAGCTGAGGCGATAGATCAATTACCCATTAATATTCATGTAAGACTAAGATTCCATGATTATCAGGAGCGTGTTACTCAAGGCGTGCTTTAAAATCTAGGACACTGCGTCACGCAATGGAGCCTTAGGTGCCCATATTAATTTTTTCGTTTCGTAGATGGGTCCGACTGAGAATTTAATTTTCTGGAGACTAGAACCGATGGTAGTGTTTAGGGTTGTATTTTCAGCACCCAAAATTAGTTTTGGAAGGGCTCATTTTCAAATCAATACCGGAAAAGGCACGTCGTTAGCTGTCGTTGCCGGTTTCCCCCTTCAAAAAACACAAAAGGCTTTCCCTTTTTCTTAATGAAAAATTGGTGATTTTGTTGTCAAACAATGAAAGATCGATGAACCTGGGGCAGGTGTAATTAATTACAACTACGACAAAGGGGGTTTTAACAAATTGAGTAAACAACGTTTTGTCACTGCATTTCTCAGAAAAACGATGTTCCTAAAATTTTGGTAATTTTTTTAAGGATAACTACAATGTCCTCCATATATCAGCGATGTACTCCAGGGAGGACGTGGTCAAACTCCTGCTGACCAAACGAGGAGTGGACCCATATTCAACCGGTGGGGTAAGCAATTATTTCACTACTCGTAGTAAAAGTGTAAAGACTCAAAAGTAATTTAATTATCCTTCGGATGTCATGAAAGCAACTTCAGACGTGATTAACTCCATTTAAACGAGCAGAGCCAAAATGATTCAACTTTCGCATGTTTACAAAGTTTAAACATTGTAATAAAACGAAAGTCTTAATGTTAAGTTGGTGAGTAAATTGTTGTCAGTTTCCATGCCAACTTGTACTTCTTGTACTCCAAGTGTTGAAATACTCCAGTGTCATCTCGCAACCCTCCACCTTCAACTAATTCCAGAATTTCTGCTTCCAGAGCCGGAACCAAACTGCAGTCCATTTAGTGGCTTCCAGACAGACCGGAACTGCAACCGCCATCCTAAGAGCTTTGCTGCAGGCCGCCGGCAAGGACATCCGGCTGAAACCAGACGGGGTGAGTTCCGCTAGGAATAATTCGCTATAAAAAAATCAATCGAGATTTACGTGTATAGAATAATTAGTTGACATTTTATTTATCCTTTTTCATCGAATCCGATTCTGTCTACAAAATCCGGCGCTCCGTCCAATGGATTCGCGTGTCGAAATTTCCAGCACCTGGTACAAGATGGCTTTTGAGACCCTCCGGAAAAAACTCACAAAATACGAATGTCAATGGATTCAGCCTATGGATTTTATTGGCGTGCCCGCATTCACTTTCGAGTACCTGCATAAGCTCGGCTGCAGTTAATTTTAGACGGGTTTTTTATTTGCGATGGGAGGAATTATGGGTAATGGGTTGGGGATTGCATACAGGTGCATGATGGAATCTGGATTGTTCGTTTTGTTGCAGGCTCGTGTGAATGCCGTAATTTTAGTTGATTCACGATACGTTTCACTTGTGGATACATTTGTCTGCTGAAAGAGCAATGATCGAATTAAACCTGTTTTCAGGCTTTGTCGTGACTGGCACTAACATTGCTCATTACAAAGCTTTACCGATGGAAATATCTATATCCATAATAAATAATAATTGCTCGGATCTTTGTTCTACTGAAGTCGATTGCAAAAAATCGATTATATTATTGTAATTAACAGAGATTCTTTTTTAAATATTATAACTTCTCGGGTTTTTTGTTTAAATTGTTTTTTTTTTATTTTATTAAAAGATAATATTACAAAACTTCCATAACTCTGAAATTTTTTAGACGACTTTTTCAAAAATGAAATTTTCCCTATGTATATCCCTCTTATGTAAAAACTTAGATTTCGGGTGGCAGAAGTTATTTCCGGCCTTATTTACTCGATTACACCAACAATTGTTCACTGAAATACTTATCGGTTTTTTCGAAATTTCAAAAATTTTGACTTTCATATCGAAAATTTCGAAAATATTGCTCTGTGACCATAAACAAGCTATATTTTTGGAATCAGCACGTCAAGATCTATTTTATTTTCGGAAAAATTTAAAGGAATCTGGTGAGATTTTAGTGTTTTATTTTTTAGAAATCTGAAATAGTCTTGAGTGCCGCAGTGCTTTTTTTAATTCCGGCGAGTCTTGGATACCCACGCAATTTTTTTTTTGCAAATTATTTAAAATAATTTTGGGGGACTTTGGTGTAGTATTTTTTGAAAATTCTGAGCTGCCCTGTTTTTGAGTTAATTTTGGGACACCGTCTTTTTTTTTAATTTAAAACAATCTTGAAGTTCTAAGTATTCCTGTTTGAAAAGAATTTGACACTGCTTTGGAGTCTCTAGTGTCTGTTCTTATAATAGTTAATTTAATTAAATTTCTTAGAGGATGCGTCATTTTCTAAAATCAGTGTTAAAAGGTACTAGCCCCGCCCACCCGCCCTCTATTTTCTTAGAGAGTATGTGATTTGCCAAAATCGATCTTATATTAGCAAGTACTATTCCCGCCCACCCACCCTCTATTTACTTAAAAGACATCTCATTAGTCAAAATCAGTTTTATCCTAGCTAGTAGCTGCTTAGATAAAACTGATTTTGACAAATGACACAACCTTAAAAAAAAAGAGGGTGGGTGGGCGGGGCTAGTGGCCGCTCAGCTAAGACTGATTTTGGCTAATGTGATACCTTATGAAAAAAGAAAGGATGTATGGACGGGGCTGCGATAAGACTGATTTTGGCAAATGACATACCCTCTAAAAAAGAGAGGGTGGGTGGGCGGGGCTAATACTTGCTAAAATAAGACACATTTTGGCAAATGAGATACCTTCTAAGAAAAGACAGGGTGGTTGGGTGGGACGAAAGCTGCTAAGATAAAACTGATTTTAGAAGGTACTAGCCCCGCCCACCCGCCCTCTATTTTCGTAGAAGGACCTCATTTGCCAAAATCAGTCTTATTTTAGCAAGCACTAGCCCCGCCCACCCACCCTCTCGTTCTTGGAAGGTATATCATTTGCCAAAATCGATCTTATATTAACAGGTATTAAACCCTGCTACCCGCCCTCTATTTTCTTAGAGGGATCTCATTAGTCAAAATCAGTTTTATCCTTCCTAGAAGCTGCTATGATAAAACTGATTTTGGCAAGTGACACCCTCCAAAAAAAGAGAGGGTGGGTGGGCGGGGCTAATGGCTGCTCAGATAAGACTGATTTTGGCAAATGAGATACCTTCTAAGAAAAGAGAGGGTGGTTGGGTGGGACGAAAGCTGCTAAGATAAAACTGATTTTAGCAGGTATTAGCCCCGCCCACCCGACCTCTATTTTCTTATAGAAAGATCTCATTTGCCAAAATCTGTCTTATCTTAGCAAGTACTAGCCCCGCCCACCCACCCTGTCTTTCTTGGAAGATATGTGATCTGCCAAAATCGATCTTGTATTCGTAGGTACATTTTTTCGATAGCTTTAACTGTTTTTTCGGAGTCACCCATTGAAATTTCGCAATTTATTGGAGAAATTTCAACAATTTCTATTTTCATATCGAAAATTTCGAAAATGACCCTACACACGCTATATTTTTAGAATCAGAACATCAAGATCTATAACCCCGAATTTGTCGAGAATTTTTGGACGACTTTTAAAAAAATGAATTTTTCCACTACGAAATTTTTCACCACCCTCTATTTTCTTGGAAGGTATGTCATTTGCCAAAATCAGTCTTATCTTGGCAACTGCTAGCCCCGCCCACCCACCCTCTCTTTTCCTGGAGGGTATGTCATTTCCCAAAATCAGTTTTATCTTAGCAAGGACTGATGACTAACTTTTACGAAAAACGATCAAAATTTAAATTTTCGACTTTTAGACTTTGATATTTTGATTTTTCCCATTTCTCGATTTTTGACTTAATTTCTGGATTTTTCAGTTTTTCGATTCTTCAATATTTCGATTTTCAACATTTTTGATTTTATAATTTTTTAATTTTTCGGTTTTTCGACTCATCGACTTTTCGATTTCTTGATTTTTCATATTTAGATTTATCAATTTTACGATATTTTAGTTCTAAATTTTTCAGAATGTATTTCGATTCTTCAATTTTCGTTTCAATTTTTCGATTTTCTAAATTTTTAATTTTTCAAGTTTTCCATTTTTCAATTTCAATGTATCAATTTCTTGATCTTTTATTGTCGGGTTTTTTAAATTTTTGATTTTGTGATTCTTAGATTTTTTAATTTGTGGTGTTTCTAAATTTTAAACTCTTGGACATCTCTATTTTTTGATTTTTTCCATTTTTCGATCTTTCGAGTTCTCGGTTTCTCCATTTTTCAGTTTTTCAATTTTGCAATTTTTCGATTTTTCAAGTTTTTGAACTTTGGATTTTTAAAATTTTCGGTTTTTCGCCTATTCGACTTGCCGATTTTTCGATTTCTCGATTTTTCTATTTCTCGAGTTTTCGATTTCTAAATTAACCGATTTTTAGATTATTCAGCTTTTCAATTTTTCGACCTCTTGATTTCTCCATTTTTCGGTTTTTGCAATTCTTCAGTTTTTCAATTTTCCAGGTTTTTGATTTTCAAACTTTTTTAATTTTTGGCTTTTCGATGTTAGTTTTGAAATTTTTTAGTGTGTATTTGGCAGGTACTAGCCCCGCCCACCCACCCTCTATTTTCTTAGAAGGTACGTCATTTGCCAAAATCAATCTTATCTTGGCAAGGACTAATGACTAACTTTTACGAAAAATTATCAAAATTTAAATTTTCGACTTTTAGACTTTGATATTTTGATTTTTCCCATTTCTCGATTTTTGACTTAATTTCTGGATTTTTCAGTTTTTCAATTCTTCAATATTTCGATTTTCCAGATTTTTGATTTTACCATTTTTTAATTTTTCGGTTTTTCGACTCATCGACTTTTCGATTTCTTGATTTTTCATATTTAGATTTATCAATTTTACCATATTTTAGTTCTAAATTTTTCAGAATGTATTTCAATTCTTCAATTTTCCGATATTTCGTTTCGATTTTTCGATTTTCTAAATTTTTAATTTTTCAAGTTTTCCATTTTTCAATTTCAATGTATCAGTTTCTTGATCTTTTATTGTCGGGTTTTTTTAATTTTTGATTTTTTGTTTCTTCGATTTTTTAATTTGTAGTGTTTCTAAATTTTAAACTCTTGGATATCTCTATTTTTTTATTTTTTCCATTTTTCGATCTTTCGAGTCCTCGGTTTCTCCATTTTTCAGTTTTTCAATTCTTCAATTTTGCAATTTTTCGATTTTTCAAGGTTTTGAACTTCGGATTTTTAAAATTTTCAGTTTTTCGATTATTCGACTTTACGATTTTTCGATTTCTCGATTTTTCATTTCTTCGATTTTTCTATTTCTCGAGTTTTCAATTTCTAAATTAACGGATTTTTCGATTATTCAGTGAAAAAACTGAATAATCGAAAAATCGAAAAACATTTTCCAAATTTCTGATTTTCAAATTTTTTAAATTTTCGGATTTTCGATTTTAGTTTTGAAATTTTTTAGTATGTATTTGGCAGGTACTAGCCCCGCCCACCCACCCTCTATTCTCTTAAAAGGTACGTCATTTGCCAAAATCAGTCTTAGCGGTACTAGCCCCGCCCACTCGCCTTCTCTTTTCTTAGAGGGTATGTCATTTGCCAAAATCAGTTTTATCTGAGCAAGTACTGATGACTAACTTTTACAAAAAATGATCAAAATTTAAATTTTCGACTTTTAGACTTTTCGATATTTTGATTTTTCCCATTTCTCGATTTTTGACTTAATTTCTCGATTTTTCAGTTTTTAAATTCTTCAATATTTAGATTTTCCAAGTTTTTGATTTTACAATTTTTTAATTTTTCGGCTTTTCAACTTGACGACTTCTCGATTTCTTGATTTTTCATATTTAGATTAATCAATTTTTCGATATTTCAGTTCTAAATTTTTCAGAATGTATTTCGATTCTTCAATTTTTGGATATTTCGTTTCGATTTTTCGATTTTCTAAATGTTTAATTTTTCGATTTTTCAATTTTTCCACTTTTTCAATTTCTTGGTATTTTATTGTCGGGTTTTTTAGATTTTAGATTTTTTGATTCTTCGATTTTTTAATCTGTGATGTTTCTATATTTCCAACTTTTCGATTTTTTTCATTTTTCGATTTTGTAATTTTTCTATTTTTCAAGTTTTTGAACTTTGGATTTTTAAAATTTTCGGTTTTTCGATTTCTAAATTAACCGATTTTTCGATTATTCAGCTTTTCGATTTTTCGATTTTCCGATTACTTGATTTCTCCATTTTTCAGTTTTTGCAGTTCTTCAGTTTTTTCGATTTTCCAGGTTTTTGATTTTCAAATTTTTTAAATTTTCGGTTTCTCGATTTTAGTTTTGAAATTTTTTAGTATGTATTTGGCAGGTAAATTTTTAAAAAAAATTGAGTTTAAAAAAATTTTGGCAAAGAAATTTTTTTGACTCACTCATATTATTGATATTATTGATTCATTTCATTGCCATATTTAAAAAAAAACAATCCATCCTATCTGGTAAATCGAAGAACTTGGATAAATCCTTGCATTGATTTGTTCACAACTTTCAGCACGCTCTTTCTTTGTTTTTCAGATAATTATTTAAACGTGGCATAAACCGCATGATCATTCTTCAATTTCAGGAGTAAAATTGTTGGCAAACTTTTCGAATTAAAATGATTTCAGAGCCCCGAAATAATTGACTTGGTTTTCCCAAAGTGATTATTTCAAAATTAATTTTACCAATGGAAATACAAAAAATAATGAATTTAGATTCCAAAGAAATTAAGTGTCTTTTAAAACCTCCTACACTACGACCATTATTAATCAGGGTCGGGTTTAGTAATTAGTGGCGGGAAAGTTCGAAGTTAAATATTTAATGGACACGTCTAGCAGACAATTTATTTACTACAATACCATATGCTTTGTTAAACCTTGTGTCTGATTACGTGGTTGTATTTAGCGTTAAATGATTGATTAACTCCACATATAATCGCACCTGTTGTTGAGGATTTCCTCAATAACAGCATTTAGCATCACGTGCCACATACCTTGTTTAAAGTCGTTACTACACAAACAAATATTTGCCGCCTCCCTCTTTCCCTAGCTAAATCTATCTAACTGTTATTTTAGCGGGGGAAAATCCCTCTGCTCCTGGCCGTCGAGGCCGGCAACCAGTCCATGTGCAGAGAACTCCTCAGCGCACAAACGGCCGAACAAGTCAAAGCCGCTGCCGCCAATGGCGACACAGCTCTCCACTTGGCGGTCCGTCGCAAGGACATCGACATGGTACGAATCCTGGTCGACTACGGTACCAGCGTAGACATCCGCAACGGCGAAGGCCAAACCCCGCTCCACATAGCCGCCGGTGAAGGAGATGAGGTCCTGGTGAAGTACTTCTACGGCGTTCGGGCATCTGCAAACGTCATCGACAACCAGGACCGGACTCCCATGCACTTGGCAGCGGAGTACGGCCACGCCAACATCATAGAACTCCTAGCCGACAAGTTCAAAGCTAGCATTTTCGAAAGAACGAAAGATGGATCGACTCTTATGCACATCGCCTCCCTCAACGGACACGCCGATTGTGTTAATATGCTATTCAAGAAGGGGGTGTACCTCCATATGCCTAATAAGGTAGATCGTTAGACTTGCAAAGTCTGTTTGATACACTTTGTTATGGTAATGGAGGAGATAAGAATAATGTTTTGTAGGATGGCGCCAGGAGTATACATACCGCCGCGAGGTATGGTCACGTCGGAATAATCACCACGCTACTTCAAAAAGGGGAAGAAGTCGATGTCACTACTAACGTGAGTCGGGTTTATGTTTTGTGTTATTTTTGACTATGATTTTCAGGAAAATTACACCGCGCTTCATATAGCTGTTGAGTCGGCCAAACCAGCCGTGGTGGAAACCCTTCTGGGTTACGGAGCGGATGTACACATCAGGGGTGAGTGATGGATCGTAATAACATAATAACCCTTGATTTAATTTTCCCCGAAAATCGATCTACGTTGCGTCATTTTTCCAGGAGGCAAATTAAAAGAAACAGCTTTACATATCGGAGCGAGAGTCAAAGATGGCGATCGGTGCGTCCTAATGCTTCTAAAATCAGGCGCAGGCCCTAACTTAAACACAGACGACGGACAGACACCCGTACACGTAGCCGCGAAGTACGGAAACTTAGAAACCTTGCTACTCCTTCTAGCAAATGGAGGCGACCCTCAGTTCAAAAACAAACACGGCGAAACCGCTCTTCATTTGGCTAGTCGGGGTTGCAGACCCGACGTCGTCCGACACCTCATCACCTATTTGAAAGAACACAAAGGTGATGAAGTGGCAGCCAATTATATTAACGAAGTCAGCGAACACGACGAAAGTGCCTTACATTACGTGTCTACGGTGAAGAAAGAGGACGTCGAGTTGCCTCTAGCAGACAAAGAAGTGGTGAAGCTTTTGTTAGAAAACGGGGCTGATGTTAAGTTGCAAACGAAACACCACGAGACGGCTTTTCACTACGTGGCGAAAGCCGGAAATAACGACGTCCTGATGGAGATGATCACCCATATGACACCCACCGATGCCCAAAAGGCTTTGAACAAACAAAACATGAACGGGTGGACCCCGCTTTTGATTGCGTCGCATAAAGGTCACAAGGAAATGGTCAACAATCTTTTGTCCAACCATGCAAGGGTGGATGTCTTTGATAGTGAAGGCCGGTCTGCACTTCACTTAGCCGCGGAACATGGCTACCTCCAAGTGTGCGACTCCCTCCTCCAAAACAAAGCCTTCATTAACTCGAAGTCTCGGAACGGTAGAACTGCACTGCATCTCGCTGCTATGAACGGCTACATCCACCTGGTGCAGTATCTAATCAAGGACCACAACGCTGTCATCGATATTCTAACCCTAAAGAAGCAAACACCGTTGCATTTAGCGGCAGCCGCCGGACAAATCGAAGTGTGCAGACTGTTACTAGAACTAGGTGCCGATATTGATGCTACCGATGAACAAGGACAAAAACCTATTCACGCCGCTTGCCAAAACAACCACTCAGAAGTGGCCAAGTTGTTCTTGCAACAACACCCGAGTCTTGTGATGGCCACCACCAAAGATGGAAACACTTGTGCTCACATTGCTGCGGCCCAAGGGAGTGTCACTGTGATCGAAGAACTGATGAAATTTGACCGAGCTGGAGTGATTTCGGCACGAAACAAATTGACAGATGCTACCCCTTTGCAGATAGCGGCTGAAGGAGGTCACGCCGAAGTGGTCAAAGCGTTAGTGCGAGCTGGTGCTTCAGTCACCGACGAAAACAAAGGGGGTTTCACTGCGGTGCATCTAGCGGCACAAAATGGGCACGGACAAGTTCTTGAGGTCTTACGCTCCTCTAATACCTTGAGGGTCACCAGTAAGAAACTCGGGGTTACGCCATTGCACGTAGCGGCGTACTTCGGTCAAGCGGACACCGTGAGAGAACTATTGACCCATGTTCCCGGTACTGTTAAATCGGACCCACCGAGTGGGGCGTCGTTAGTTCCAGCCCTCGGGAATGAGTCAGGGATGACCCCGTTACACTTGGCGGCGTTTTCTGGGAACGAAAATGTCGTAAGGTTGCTGCTGAACAGCGCCGGGGTTCAGGTGGACGCAGCCACCCACGAAAATGTAAGCATAATTTCTATTTCTATTCTAATTTCTACAGATGGGTCTGCGATAACGATTTTTTTCCGCAGAATGAGTGAATGACGGTGATTTAGCGGAACTAGCTGACCTTTGATTATAACTAAAAATCTGCATGCTAACAAAGCATTATTCAAAGAACAAGCGATTATGGTAATTTATTTTGTAACACGTTAAGGGTAATCAATAGTCAGAGGGACTGTTCGATGATGAATAATGGGTACCCACATTATTTCATCGTTTCAATACCGTTTATTGCGTGATTGAACCAAAATTGAATTTTTCTTTGTTTGAACCTAGGGCTACAACCCCATGCACCTGGCGTGCTTCGGCGGCCACGTCACCGTCGTCGGGCTCCTCCTCAGCCGCGCCGCCGAGCTGCTCCAAAGCCACGACAAGCACGGCAAAACCGGCCTTCACATTGCCGCAACACAGGGCCACTATCAGATGGTGGAAGTATTGCTAGGTGAGCAGAAATATTAGATCAAAAGTCCACTTCGCGTGCCTACGCTTTCGTTCCACTAACCTCCATCTGGAACGAAACCCACCGAAAGTTACCATTTAAGTTTAAGGTCACACCAAGAATTAAGATCGAGATAACCGTTACGACAATACTTGCAGGTCAAGGTGCGGAGATCAACGCGCCTGATAAGAACGGCTGGACACCTTTGCATTGTGCGTCAAGGGCGGGCTGCTTCGAAGTGGTCAAGCTACTAACGGAATCGGGAGCCTCCCCCAAGTCGGAAACGAACCTCGGCGCGGTCCCGATTTGGTTCGCCGCGTCGGAGGGACACCACGACGTGTTGGAGTACCTCATGACGAAAGAGCACGACACGTACGCACTGATGGAAGATCGGCGCTTCGTCTATAATCTGATGGTTTGTTCGAAAAACCACAACAACAAACCCATCGAGGAGTTCATCCTGGTGTCACCAGCACCGGTGGACACCGCGGCGAAGTTGTCCAATATTTTGATAGTGTTGTCCTCGAAGGAGAAGGAACGTGCGAAGGATTTGATTGCTGCGGGGAAGTTCTGTGAAGCGATGGCGACTGAGTTGTTGGCGCTAGCCGCAGGAGCTGATTCAGCCGGGAAGATTTTAACCGCGACGGATCGACGCAACGTGGAATTCTTAGACGTCCTAATCGAAAACGAACAAAAGGAGGTGATTGCTCACACGGTCGTCCAACGCTATCTCCAGGTAAAGACTAGGTAAAAGTCGTGTTTTGCCACGTTGTTTTAGTGTGACTCGAGTCTGATTGGTGCGATTCTTTCAGGAACTCTGGCGAGGGGCACTCAACTGGGCGGCGTGGCGAACGCTCCTGCTTTTCGTTTTGTTCGTAATCTGTCCACCGGTTTGGATAGCTTTCACGCTTCCTCTAGGTCATAAATACTATAAAGTACCAATCATTAAGTTCATGTCGTACTTGACTTCCCACATTTACTTGATGTTGTTTCTGCTGATAGTCGGAATCACGCCACCCTACGCGGTCGTGCGAAAAAACCTCCTTCCATATTCGTACGAGTGGATTCTTTTGGTGTGGCTCAGCGGCCTTCTTCTTTTCGAATTAACCAATCCTAGTGACAAATCGGGTTTAGGGTGGATCAAGCTTTCGGTCCTACTTTTCAGTATATTCGGGGTCGGGGTTCATTTGATGGGGATTTTGTTCATCGAAAGAAACTACTGGCCTACGCTTATGTACTGCAGGAACCAACTGTTCGCTTTGTCGTTCGTTCTGGCTTGTGTTCAAATTTTGGACTTTTTGTCGTTCCATCACTTATTCGGTCCGTGGGCTATCATTATAGGTAACTTGATGAAGGATCTAGCTAGGTTTTTGGCAGTCTTAGCCATCTTCGTGTTTGGTTTTTCCATGCAGTTCGTCGCTCTCAATCAACCGTTCAAGAACGGCGACCTCGCTCCGAAGAGAGGAAAATATTTTGTCGATGGTAAGTGGCACTTTTTCTATTTGGTACTTTAAGTTAGTGTTTATCGCGTCTTGTGTACATAATGTGAATAGTGTGTGTATATACTTATATAGAGCAGGAAGCGTTGTTGGAAGAGGCCGAGTGGATCGCTCCTCCAGCTGAGAGCCCTATATCCAGGGCGTCCCTTCGTAAAAAGCACCCTCCGTCTAGTAAGTGCCGATGTGGCCAGCTGAGTGTAGCAACGTGTCGTCTGTTTCTATGTTTAACCGTTTTACTAGGTGTATAGGTGTATAGCTAATAGTTGTCCTTTTAGGTGCCTCGCCACCTGTTCGTCGTGCTTTGTAACGTATGTTGTTTGTGTCTGTGAACGTCTCTTGTGTCAAAGGATTTTTTTCAAAGAGTGTGTACTGTTTTGAGAAGGATCCTTCCTGTCCTCGTCAGCATGAAACGCGTGGTGTCGTTGCGCTCAGGTTTTGTCTTGTGGGCATTGACTAGTGTGATGTTCCCAGTGGTAATGAACCCGCTGCTAGCCTTCGAGCTGTTATTTTTCGCCGTTTTCGGCATGACCACGTACGACGAGTTGGTAACGAAGAATAAGGCCGACGTTAAGCGGTTACTGCGCCCCCAGTGGACGGAGAACCTCTTCAAGATTATGTTCGGCGTCTACATGTTGGTGTCCGTCGTCGTTTTGATAAACCTTCTAATTGCCATGATGTCCGATACGTACCAGCGCATCCAGGTAATCACTATTTGTATGTTTTATGATTCCAGTCCAAAAGAACCCGATCAGAGCTTTCGAGTTGCTGTTTTTTGCGGTATTTGGCCAAACCACCACAGACTCCTTGAAAATCGACACTTATAACCCAACTACGAAAAATAATAATCAACCCAGCTGGACTGAGGTCCTATTTAAGATAGTGTTCGGCGTATACATGCTCGTCTCTGTCGTAGTGCTGATTAATCTGCTCATTGCTATGATGACGGATACCTATCAGCGTATCCAGGTAACGCCAAGGTAGCCCATGTACGTAGCACCACAACACGCTGCTTGCTCGTTGTTCTTCGCGTAACCAGTTCTCTTGGACTGGATCATAGTAGAAACACGCAGGACAGATAGAAGCTTTTTAGACTAACTCCAACATCTACTCCATGCCCATATTATACCCAAAGTCATTACAGCTTCATAGCTTCCTCCACAGTCACTACATGAAAGTACCGTTTGAGCTTTTGGTGTCTTCGATTCGGATGTGGTCAGTTTATGTGTTCGTTCTACCAGTCATAGGTGTTTAGTGTGTTTAGTTGTGCTTCGTATTGTATTGATGCTAGCTTGTAATTTTCATTAACACCATAGTCGAAGTTCAAACAGCAGAAAATTATTACTAAATGCGCTGTGTTGTAGTTAAAATATGTACTGTAAACTTACTTCGTTACGTTAAAACTGTACTTTTACATCGTTCTACTGATGTATTGTAGAGAATTTTGCCTTTTTGAAAAGCACAAACACTTTTTGGAATATTTTTGCTTGGTATTTTTTAACGAGTTGGAAAATCTACATTTACCACCTTTACTGAGTAAACTGTCCGACTGTTTTGCCTATAGTATTCCTAATAGGTAGGTAGATATGTAACTATAACTGCTTTTGCATCTGCCTAACTTAAAATCTATCTCTACCTTCTCTCACGGTTACCAAATAATCGACCGTATTCCGAATCACTTCCTTAACATTAACACGTCACTAGCAACACTCTTAGTGACTTTGATAATTTTAAAGAAGTGCCTAAGAATAGCTAAAATGACAGTAGGTTGTCGTTTGGTGCATTTCCTTTGCACATCTATGTAGTTTCTATAAAACACAATAGATCTTTCTATCTGTTTCTTACTCTTAAAAAGCATCTTCACGACCTACGATTACGTAGGTAAGTATCTAAAAAGAAGATAATTGTGTGTTAAAAAAAAATGTGTCCCTAAAGTAATATAAGTGTAACCACTGATCAAACTGTCTGGAGTACCATAGATTTCCCATCGCTGTGTACATAACTGTTTGTTAGAAAATGTAGATTTTTCAAGCTATACATGGAAATGATCTGCGCTTTGGTCTGTACAGAGATAATTAAAATTCTCTTCGATTTGTGCCCCAAATCGACGAGAAAACCAGCCGGCGCAGTTCAATCCAACGAACTTTTGTAGAAGTTGGTAGCACGTTTTTGTGTTTTGAGTGTTTTTGCATCCAAGTTTTTGTTAAAAAATCCAAAACCTGTAGATACGTTATTAAACTTCATGATTGTATAAAAACCAAAATTACTAAAAATCTGGACCATTACTGATTCGTACAACTAAAAAAAATGACTGCGACCAGTAGGACTTGTATCTAAAGCGAAGCTGATGGCGTGACGATCCCACATATCAGTACCATCCTAAAACGGTAGCGATTATTGACTTAACTAAATCAATTCAGTTTCATGAGAACCCCGTCAGTCATGGTCAATCTTCGCTTTTACAAATGTTCATTTTTAACTGCTTTTCTGTTTCTTAGGCGCAATCCGACATAGAGTGGAAGTTTGGCCTGAGCAAGTTGATTAGATCCATGCACCGAACCACAACTGCACCCAGCCCCATTAACTTGATAACAACGTGGCTCTTTTATCTGGTTAACATTTGCAAAAAACGAGGTTAGAACCATGTTTGGTTTTTGTCGAAACTAAGGTGGTTTGTTTCAGTCAAAGCTCGGAAACGCCAGAGTTTAGTCCATTTGATGGGCAGCTTCCAGCGTCCTCAGCAGCTAAGCCCTAGATCCAAAGCTGGTGCCAAATGGTTGTCGAAAGTGAAGAAGGGCAGTCAGGTTGCTCCTAAGGAGTCCGTGGCGTTGTCGGTAGCACATCTTAGTCCTTTAGGGTCTCAGTTGAGTCTGACGGCGCACACTACAAGGATCGAGCACGTGACTGACTGGGAAGCCATCGCTAAGAAGTATAGAGCGCTGATGGGTGAGGTTGATGAGGTTAAAGAACAGACGAATGAAGAGGAAGGCGACAGCGACGAAGACGGTGCGCCGGGAAATAGTGTCCAACCCATGTCTTGAATTTAAAGTGCTAACAATTCGTGAACACTTTTTAGTGGTTTCTTCTTGACCAAATCCTATGTCTACCTACTCTATTTTAGGTTTAATGGTTAATGTTTTGTAACGTAGACTATTGTGAAGTTTTTATACGACGTTGTTTCGTAATGCTTATTAGCAAAAGTGATAGATGAGTTTCATTTAGAGCAATCAACTTATTCATGTGTACAAAGATTAGTGTGCGTAATTTAGATACAATTACATAAATTGTAGGTTATTTATACATGAATTGTTACTCTGTGTCATAGCATGTAAAGATAGCGATATTTATTTTTTAAATAAATTCATACTTACGCCACTCATTTTTTTTCTTGAATGAAGATAGGCAAAATTTCGTCATCGAACCACATATCCATTGTTTCGCCGATTTCAATAAAATGGAGGTGTTTTTGTTCCCAAAGTTGACATGAGATAAATCACAATTTGTAGTCGTTATTTTCTTGAATAATCCATTCTTGGTGCATGTTGTTAAAATAAGTAATATGGAGTTAGAGGTTAAACGTGAGTGATTTTTGCGCATTGGACAGTTCCGGAAATTAACGTTAACATGCAAGATTCGACCAAATGACCACAATAACAAGCTAATTTCACTTAATATAACCATTACACATATTTTGAAGTCACTTTTCTAGCCAGATTTTGTACCAACCATGGTTGTCGCATGGTTCCTGGTCCTGTTTAGTGTGCAGTCAGGTAAGATATTTGTTACTAAACATTCTAGACCTCTTGTCACCACTAAATCGTCTCTCACTTGCAGTTATATCCGACGAAGATGTAAGAGATTTTAACGCGTCGCGTCTGTTTAGGCTATTTAAAGATCTAGCGCAATACAGACCTAACGATGTCAACGACCACGACGTCACGTTTTACTTATTCACAAGACAAGAATCCAACGTACCGATACCTCTACAAGGAAATACCACCATTGACTTAAGCAAAAACAGCAAATTAATAATACACGGCTGGATTGACAACCACAATAGGTCGTGGTATCACCACTTAACAGACGCCTATTTGACCCACGGTGATTACAACGTCATCCACGTGGACTGGGGGAGGGTTTCTAAGTCATTTTATGCATCTTCAGCCGCTAACACTCAAATCGTTGGTACGTCATTGTCACAAAAATACCTTATCACTGACTTTATTAACAGGCAGATACGTGGCAACTTTCCTTCTAAATCATCAGTTTCCACCAAAAAAGGTCCACTTAATCGGGCACTCGTTAGGTGCGCATATCGCAGGCTATGCAGCCGATATAGTTGAAAAGAACCTAACCACCAAAATTAGAAGAATTTCGGCGTTAGATCCGGCTGGACCGGGTTTCAGCAGCGTGGTTTTGGGGTTAGAAAAACCACTGGTTCGTGAAAACGCGGAAGTGGTGGATGTGTACCACACTGATGGTGGTTTTCTTGGGTTGTTCATACCACTCGGATCTTTCGATGTTTATATCAACGGTGGCGTAAGAATTCAGCCCGACTGTAGATCAGCTCTTGGTAATTTTACCGCTGGATTATTATTTGAAGAACGTAAGTCAACTGAACAAGAGTATCACAAACCTTATTATTATTTTTTTTAGTTTATTGTAGCCACACCAGATCTTACGTTTATTTCACGGAGATTGTGGATAGCACTAAATTCACTTGTGCAAAGTGTGGTTCTTTGTTCCAGCAGATGCTAGATAGTTGTAATTTAAACAAGAAGTACGTGTTTGGGGCTGAAGATATAGACGAAACGTATACTGGTGTATGTTTTGTGGACACATCAAAATAATCAATAAATATAACTACTGAGATGTAGTAAGTTTCATTACTATGGCGTCCCGAAGCACATAATCCCACACCTGGATTGCCTGTGGCAATCGTAACACTTAAACCCAAATATACACGAAACGTATACTGCGTATGTGTGATACAACAAAAATAAATAAAAATAACCGATTTCAATGCGCAAACATAAACTTTCTCTTCTTCTTCTTGGGGGCCAGGAACGGCGCCGCTGAATTAGTTTCCAAAACGTAGATCCCTCTAGCGGTTGTTGGGGTTGCATTTCCGAACACAACCTCGTCGGTTTTATTGGCCAAAACGATTTTTCCTGCATCGCCAAATTTTGCGATTTTTGCCGTAATACCTTGTGTGTTAATACTTTCGATGAAATAGTCGTTGGAACGGGCGTGGCTGCAGTTGTCTGAAAAAGAACGACGTGAAAGTATACAGGATGGTTGATAACGCACCATCGACTTGGCGTGGAGGACAACCGGGTTGGATTGACCCATAATTCACGTAGAAGTCCACGTGTCCTATGGGTTTCATTATGCCAAAATACCCCACATCTGTGTGTATCACGTCGACAAAACTCGCATCGTGTTTGCTCAATCGGGCTTCGGCTTCTGAGCGCTCGAAGCCAGGTCCGGCTGCATCAGTGGCGGTAATTCGGGCGACTTTGTTGCCTGTTCTTGCGAATAAGTTTTTGCCGACGAAGCCTGCCAGGTGAGCTCCAAGAGAATGTCCTTTGGGAAAAAAACGGAACCATAGATGTAGATGATAAATTAATTACTTACCAATTAGGTGTACATTTTCTAGTGGAACTTTCAGACTTAGTATCAAATCGGCTATAAATTCTCCCACGGGTTTAATATTGGCTCCTGATACCGCAAAACTTTTGTTGGCTGCTATGGACCAGTCAACGTAAACGATATTGTGGGGACCCTTCTGGAAATACGCTTTTTTCGTTTCTTTGTACCATGGCGTGGTCACGTTTGAGGTAAATCCGTGCATTAGTACTTTCATTGGAAGTTTTTTATCGTCTTCGGGTAACTCATAATTCTCGTTTAAAACTATTGCCGTGGTTTGGTGGCTACTCTTGAATAAGTAGAAGAAGACGTGGTGTTTTTTGGCGTCGGCTAGGCAGAAGTCGACGGATGGAATTTTTTCCAAAACTTCGGGTGTGTAAACTGAAAAATACAAAAAGTTGGTGGTGTTCAAAAAACGAAGAGGTGCTTACATTGAACGGCGAACGGTAAGAAATGTATAAGTACTAATACGACACGCATGGTTTGAAATATCGTACTAAATTAATTTAGACCAGTGACTGACAGGAGTTATGACATAACTGAGACATGGACATAGTTTCGGACGAAATAGTGATAAAAGTCGCCAGACTAGTAAACATACAATGAGTAAATAATGAGGTCGTAACGTGATAAACGCTCAATAATAATCACAAATTACGGTACTCATATTGCTCTTCTACAAAAACTAGTAAAATTGCACTAGTGCGGTAAAGTTGATTACCGCATCAATAAAACCCCAGTCGTGAATAATAATCCTCATTACTTTCAATTTGGGAAAATTTAATCAATAGTCTGAACATGCTATTAAATAATGATAAAGAACATGCATGTAATAACGATAATCATGTAGGTCCAAACTTCACTATAGTTATCAGTCTGAGCACTTTAATACGACAAATGTTACTTTTCTTATCAGTGTTTGCACGTCTATTTATTGCTAAACCCATTTTGGCTGAAAATGAAGCCCGACCTAACCAAATTTAATTCCAACATGTCCCTAAACCCAAAACTAAAAACAACAACACGTGCAACTCGGATGACGTGTATCACTAAACAAATTACTTCAATCGCGAAATTTTGCACAAAATCGTAAGTTTAGTAAAATGTACTTACCCATTTGTCTATTTTTATCGCTAGTGGCACATGACGAACTAAAATTAAACTTTATATGTCGACACACATTTACCTCGTTTAATTTTCCATTCCGCGAAATGCTCACCTTACATCAGAATTAACGTGACTGTACAGTAATTCGTAGCGTTTCACTTAATGTAGAGGATCAAAGTGGATTCAGTTTAATTCATAGACCGTAAAATTAATGGATTGTTTTATAATCCAGTTCATCAACGAAGGCAAGTCGTAAAAGCATTGTTACGTGAATCTTCGTCAATCTGATTTTTACTTCCCGAGCGTAAGCAAAGGAAGTATTGTAATCGAGTCCGTCGGCCGACTCTCTACTTTTACGTTTTCTCGATCTTTCATGACCCCTAGAAGACGAAGAAATAGGTCTCCCATTTCCGTCTGTCTGTCCGTCTGTCCGTCTGTCCGTCTGTCCGTCCGTCTGTCTGTCCGTCTGCCGTCCCGGATTTTTATTAGACAGATAATCTCCGAAAGTACTCGACCGATTGTTGTGAAATTTTGTACTTATATTAAGAATATCATGTAGATGGTAAAACGCTAACCAAAATTTGTCTAATCATCCCCACCACTAATGCGATGACGTCACTTCAAAATTGTACATAGTAAATGGGTTTTCAATTGTATAAAATAACATAGTCCTACACATGTAGTTTACAACTCTGAATCGACTTTTCACCCGAAACGTCCAAATTTTTGGAAAAAAAATCAAAATTATAAAACAACATTTTGAAATTTAATTTTTAATCTGCTAACCAGAATGCTTTGAAATGTTACAGATGTTTTAAGGCTATAAAGAGCATCATAAATCTTTAGTCAAAAAATATTTGCTTATCCCCTCCAAAAACTTGATGACGTCAGCTCAAAAGTTTGTGGAATAAATCATATCTAAAATGTACAAAATATGATGAGTCTGTACTTGTGATCTATCACTCCATTCATATTTTTTGGATTTGCATATACAGAGTGACTCAAAAAAATTTATGAATGCGTAAATATATTTTATTGATTTAATCAGGAACTACAAAACCGAATGCTCTGAAATCTTGCAGATGTTTTAAGGTCATAAAGAGCATAATAAATGTTTAGTCAAAATATATTTGCTTATCCCCTCCAAAAACTTGATGACGTCAGCTCGAAAGTTTGCCGAATAAATTATATCTAAAATGTACAAAATATGATGAGCCTGTACTTGTCATTTATCACTCCATTCATATTTTTTGGATTTGCATATACAGAGTGACTCAAAAAAATTAATGAATGCGTAAATATATTTTATCGATTTAATCAGGAACTACAAAACAGAATGCTCTGACATCTTGCAGATGTTTTAAGGTTATAAAGAGCATAATAAATGTTTAGTCAAAATATATTTGCTTATCCCCTCCAAAAACTTGATGACGTCAGCTCGAAAATTTGCCGAATAAATCATATCTAAAATGTACAAAATATGATCAGTCTGTACTTGTGATCTATCACTCCATTCATATTTTTTGGATTTGCATATACAGGGTGATTCAAGAAAATAAACGAAAGCGTAAATTTATTTTACTGATTTACTCAGGAACTACAAAACCGAATGCTTCGAAATCTTGAAGATATTTTAAAATTATCATAAGCATGGTAATTTTTTGATCAAAACGTATTTGGTCGTCCCCCCTAAAAAATTTATAACGTCACCACAAAATTTTGCTGAATAAATCCTATCTAAAATGTACAAAATATGATGAGTCTCTTCTTGTGATTTATCATTCCATTCAAATTGTTTCGATTTGCATATACAGGGTGACTCAAAAAAATTAATGAATGTGTAAATTTATTTTATTGATTTAATCAGGAACTACAAAACCGAATGCTTTGAAATCTTGCAGATGTTTTAAGGTTATAAAGAGCATAATAAATTTTTAGTCAAAATATATTTGGTTATCTTCTACACAAACCTGATGACGTCAGCTCAAAAGTTTGCCGAATAAATCGTATCTAAAATGTACAAAATATGATGAGTCTGTACTTGTGATTTATCATTCCATTCATATTTTTGGATTTGCATATGCAGGGTGACTCAAAAAAATTAATGAAGGCGTGAATTTATTTTATCGATTTAATCAGGAATTACAAAACCGAATGCTTTGAAATCTTGGGAATATTTTAAAGTTATTATAAGCATGGTAAACTTTTGTTCAAAATGTATTTGTTCATCCCTCCTAAAAAAATTGATGACGTCACCCTTAAATTTTGCTGAATAAATCCTATCTAAAATGCAAAAAATATGATGAGTTTGTACTTGTGATTTATCATTCCATTCATATTTTTTAGATTTTCTTAAGAGGTGGTTCAAAAAAATTAATGAAGTCAATTTATTTTATTGATTAAATTAAAGGCAACACTTATTATTAGTATTACACCCCAACCAACCCAATTTGGTAGACACAAAATTTGTTAAAGGAAAAACTCGGTTGAAACATAAGGGTAGCACGCTTATTTACATCGACTTTAACATTACAGACCTGCATTTGTTTTATGCGTTCACTTGGTTCCGCGAATGTGAAATAGACATGTTTATAATCAACCAATTGTGAATTTCACCGTCAAGAATTAAAATAAAACCCAATGTTTTATATAATAAGCGGAAGTCGAAGCAATAAAACCGATGGTCGTTTTGTTTACAGTTTCTCTGTTTGACTCTCACGTATGCTGTTACGCCTGTCATCTTAAATTAAGAATGTTTATACATACACGATTTTCAGTTGCCTCTGATACGTATTGTTTCGTTATTTTATTGATTATTACAAATCAATATTCAAAACGACCCAATTCATTTTCCCGAAAATTTGAGAATATAATAATTTTATTCTTAGTATTACACTACATCTATCCCAACTGATATATGTGTCCTTGCAAAAATGTTGATGACGTCATCGCAATTTTTTTTTAAATTCCGACTACAAAAATGTAATCAGAAAAAAACACAATAGGCATGCAGTCGTCAAGTTTCCGACAGCGAGGGAAGTACTGTCTAAACTCTTTAGACCAATTTTTAAAATGTGTATTAGTTGCCAATTTTTGACACAAATCTAAATTATGCGTCACAATTTTCGTAGATGGAATGAATAAAGACATTTTTAAAAGTGTCAAAAAGTTTATTATTATACAACAAAGATTACAAAAAAACACACAATACTGATCTATTTTTACATAATTTATCGTCAAATGAAATCATAGATTTCAGTTATATTCTCAAAATCTGGATAGAGAATTCTCCTGTTTGGATTTTTCGACTTGCTGTGTTGCTGCAAAGCTTCAACGACGTCATCTTCGTCGATATAACTCATAACTTGCTTTCTGTATTTGCGCAAAATATTGAGTCTGTGTTTTTCCGACTTGAGGTAGATTTCAATCGCCGGTCCGGTAAACTTCCCGACTGCGAAAGGCGAAACCGAGTCGGTGATCACTAGATGGACCCCGCGCGACGTTGCATTAATGGATTCGCCCATGATAATCTGGGGCTCTTTTGGTGGACACCGTCCGAATAAATAGTCGCCATACGACGGACAAGGCCAGCCCCAAAAACCCAGTTTCGTCGTGATGGATTCGGCGAAGTAAATAGGCGCTCTGTGGTGGTTGCAGGCGAAAAATCCTGGAACGCATAATGTCGAAAAATGAACCTATATTTGAACCGAGACTCACTATTTTCGGCCCAACACCCAGGCTGGATCACTCCTCCATTGAGATAAAAATCCACATGGCCACTCTCCTCCACCGTACCTTGAATAAAAGCATTGGTGTGAAGCACGTCCACGAATTGAGCGTCCCCTTTGTCCAGTTTGTTTTCAGGGCTTACGGTGAGAAACCCAGGTCCTGCGGGATCCAGGCCTGTGATTCTCGGGACTTGGTACGGTCGCAGAGTATTGGCCACGAAATTGGTTAATTGTCCACCTAGACTGAAACCCACGAGGTGGATATCTTCGTTCCCGAACTCCCGGATTCGTTCGACCAGTTGGGCTGTGCACTCCCCCACGTGTTTGGTGTTCCAGACGGCAGCCGGGTAGCACGGACCTGCAGCTAAAGAGGCCCAATCCACGAAGAAGATGTTGAGGTCTTGGGTCTTCAGAAAATATTCTGAAGTGGTACAATTTACCAATTGGAACTTTATTGCTATTCATTACTCACGTTTTTTTATTTCGATCAAAACATTCAAGTACATATCCGAGTTATACCCATGAATAATAATTTTAGTAGGCAGGGCCGGATTGAAAGCGGTTGCAGTCAAATTAGAAACCCCTGGATCAGCCCCAATTCGGACACCTTCAGGTTCCTCGGGGTGTTTTTTCGAATACAAGTAAAACGTAACGTCGGGATCGGGACATAATCTACAAGAACCTTCAGTGTGATGCGTCACCACATGCTTATTCATACTCACTTATTTATAACTATTTTGCAACTACCTATGCTAATGGTGTCTCTAGGGGATAAAGTACCCTGTTTCGTGCTCAGGTGGTCATCTGCAGGAACTGTGATAACTTGAGGTAGTGACTTAACACCTGTAAACAATTATGACGATTTTGATAAACACGCACTTTTACTCACAATGAAAATACGTGAAGATCACAAAGAACTGCTTCCACATTTTTCGTCACCGAATGTTCGGGCGCATTCTTCACCTACAAATTTCACGGTTACAATTTAAAGAAAGTTTGGACAGAGAAAATATAACATCATTCACAACGATGCACAATTGTGATAATTACGTACGCACGTCTCGTTCAGGTCAATTAATTGCTATTCCGCTCGGAGGACGACTCGGACTGTTATCTTCTTAGATGTTTTGTTATAAAAATGGGAAAACTGGCGGTGGAATAACTCGTCGGACGAAATTGAAATTAGCCTACTTAATACGTCACGGAACTGTACAAAACATACATCGACTCAGTAATCTACAGGAAGTTGCTAAAAATCAGTAATACAATAAATCAGGCGTGTTGAAGTCGTTACGTCACGCTTTTCTTGCGATCATTTCACTACGGTAGCCCGCGGTTAAAACAAAATTAAGCCAGTCGAAATGACTCCCGAATTATCGTGGTCAACAGCGAAACACAGGAAAAAACATGTTTATGTAAACGTGTTTATCAGCAAAATTGATAGCAAAAGTTGCGAAAACGGGAAAAACCGTGCGCTCTCGGGTTACAAATGCAAACAGTATACACAGAGCTCACTTTTCAACGTTCTTCGGTCACTCTTGCCAAGGTCGTCTAGTACGTTTAAAAAGTCGCCGCTGAAGATTAAATTCGTGGAGTTAAACAAAGTATTGTTGTCATCGGTGGGAAGGCAAAGTACTCGTTATCACAAAACAGTGGCGTAAATAGCACCCCCGCAGACCCCGCAGTGCGGGGGGGGGGGGCGTCAATTAATAGCTATTTAACGAACAAGTTTGTTAATAAAGGCGATTAATAATCGAGATATTTTAACGAGCGAGGAACGAGTTTTTGTATTTTTTCTTTTTCTCAATTTGAAATTTTTCAGTTTTTGGATTTTTCAATTTTTTTTGTTTTCAATTTTTCGTTTCTTCAATTTTTGATTTGCAGGTTTTCTAGTTTTCATTTTAGATATGTAATAATAATTATAATTTTTATTAGAGTTGTTCACTTTTTCAATTTTTCGTTTTTGGAATTTTTTAATTTTTCGATCTTTGAATGTTAGTTTTTGGACTTCACATTTTTCGATTTAATTCGTTCTTTGATTCATTAATTTTTTCTCGATTTTTAGTTTTTCAATGTTTTTATTTTTCGTTTCTTCAGTTCTACAGTTTTGTCAAATAAATGTTATATAAATTAAAAAAAAGTAACAGTGTACTTACGGTTTATGAATCCGTTTGAATTTTTATCTTCGACATCGAAATTTTTGTGGAAAAATAAAACAAAATTGAATTACAATTTTTCGATTTCGATATTTCAGTTTTACAATTTTTCAATTTTTGCCTTTTTTAAATTTTCATTTTTACATTTCTCAATTTCTCTAGTAATCAATTCTTTGATTTTTCGATTTTTTCTCTTTCCAATTTATCGATTTTTGAAGTTTTCGTTGTTCCAATTTTGGGATTTTTCAATATCTCCAATTTTTTAATTTAAAATTTTTCACTTTTTTGATATTTCGATTTCTCGATGTTTCGATTTTTAAAATTTCTGATTTTTCGAATTTTGAATATTTTGATTTATCGTTTTTTTTTTAAGTTTAAATGTGTATTTCAGTTTTAAATTTTCCGGTTTTTCGATTTCGGGCTATTTCGATTTCTCCATTTCACGGATCTTTTGATGTCTCAATTTTTTAATTTCGATTTCTCGGCTTTTCCATTTTTCAATTTTTTATTTCTTCAAGTTTTTAGACTTTTAAAATGCTCTATTTTTCGATTTTGTGTTTTGTAATGCTTCGATCTCCCGATTTTAACCTTTTTAATGTGTATTCCAATTTTTCGATTTTGGAATTTTCGATTTCTTGCGTCCCGATTTTTCGTTTTTTCGATTTTAAAATGTTTTTAGTTTTCGTTCTTTTTTTCGATTTCTGGATTTTTCAAGTTTTCGGTTTCTCAATTTTTCAACATTTCAATTTTGAGAATGTCTTATATTTTTCAGTTTTTTGATATTTTCATTTTTCAACTTTTTAAATTTTGATTTTTCGACTTACCGGAAATCGATTTTTGGGTTTTTCAATTTTCCGACTTTTCAGTTTTGAGATTTTTCAATTTGTCGATTTTTTAGTTTTTCATTTCTTCAGTTTTGCGGTTTTTCAAGTTTTCGAATTTTTAAATATAAAATTTTTCAATTTTTCGATTTTATTTTTTTTACGTTCCGATTTCCCGATTTTAATTTTTTTATGCTTTTCAATCTTTGGTTTTTCTAAATTTTCATTTTTCCATTTCTCGATTTCTCGATTTTTCGACTTATTAATTTTGTGTTTTTTTTTAATGTTAAATTTTTCGTTATTGTAATTTTTCTATTTTTTAAATTTTAGATATTTAGATTTTTCGACATCTTGAATTCTCGAGCTTTTTTCAGTTTGAATTCCTCGGTTTTTCGATTTTCCAAAATTTCGATTTTTCAATCTTTCGACTTTTCAGTTTTGAAAATTTTTGATTTCTCGATTTTTCAGTTTTTGATTTTCCAACTTTTAGATGTTTCAAATTTTAGAGTTTGCAAATTTCAAGAGTTTTCAGTTTTTAATTTCGTCAATTTTTCGATTTGCAATTTTTCGTGTGGGTTTTTAATTTTCTTTATTTTTTCAATTTTCGGCTTTCAATTTTCCGTTTCTTTAATTTTTCATTTACAGTTTTTCTAGTTTTCATTTTAATTATGTAACACTCCTAATAATTATAATTTTTAAAGTTGTTCACTTTCTCAGTTTTTCGTTTTTGGAATTTTTCAATTTTTCGGTGTTTGAATGTCACAGTTTTTGGACTTTACAGTTTTCAAGATTCTATAATTTTTCGATTTTACAATTTTTGGATTTTCCAATTTTTCAATTCGAATGGTTTTTCTTCTTTCCCATTCTTCGATTCATTAATTTTTTTTAGATTTTTAAGTTTCTCGGTTTTTAGTTTTGCATTGTTTCAATTTTTCACTTTTTCGAGTTTTTAACTTCTCGAATAAACAAAATCGAAAAATTATAAAATAGAAAAATTGTAAAACTGAAAAAGTACAAAATGAAAGCTTCGGAAAATAAAAAAATTGGAAATCAAGAACTTAAAAAATCAAAAATTGAAAATGTAAAAAATTGAATAAACAAAAAATTATAAGATCCAAAGAAACATTGAAAAATAAAGGTAATGGAAAAATGAAAAGTTGTGATATAAAATCAAGAAAATGAAAATTACAAAATCGGGAAAATGAAAATATGGAAAATCTGAAAAATATAGAAATTGAAAAATTCCCAAAATTGCGATGTTGAAAAATTGAGATAGCCAAAAATTTAAAAATCGAGAAATCGAAAAATTTTTAAAATTGGAAAATTGAGATATGAGAAATCGAGAATTCCAAAAATGGAAAAATTGAAACACATTAAAAAATAAAAATCGGGAAATCGAAAATTTTGAAAATCGAAAAACCAAGAAATCGAAATCGAAAACTTGAGACTTCAAAAGATCTCGAAATCGGAAAATTCAAAATTGAAATATTAACTTAAAAAAAGATAAACGGAAAAGTCGAAAAACTAAAAAAATCGATAAACAGAAAATTCCAAAAATCGAAAAATTGAAATACAGATTAAAACATTTAAAAAATCCAAGTTAAAAAATCGTAAAAACAAATTCCATTCGATTTTCCGTTTTATCGATTTTGCAATTTTTTGTTTTTTTAATTTTTTCCAATTTTTTAATTTGCCGATTTTTCAATTTTTCGAAGTTTCTACTTTCCGAATAAACAAAATGGAAAAGTTATAAAATAGAAAAATTGTAAAATTGAAAACTCAAAATGAAAAAACGCAAAAATATAAAAGGAAAGCTTCGAGAAATCTAAAAACTTGAGAAATTGAAGAAACGGAAAATTCAAAAATCGAAAGATTAAAAATTGAGAAACTTAAAGATCGAAAAATTGCGGTGGAAAACACGAAAATTATTGTAAAATCTAAATATTGAAGATTGGAAAATCGAGGAATTGAAAATGTGAAAAATTGAATAAACGAAAAATTGTGATATAAAATCCAGAAAATGAAAATTAAAAAATCGGGAATATGATATAAAAAAAAATGAAGAACTTGAAACAACATCATTACGCCGAATATGTTCATTGCGCTACACATAACCTCAATTTAGTCCTTAATGATTCTGTTAAGAATCGATGGCAACAACATAACATTGAGATGAAAAAAAATGATAAGTGTGTTATAAAAAAAACTTTAAAAAAGTTATGCCCCACCAGATGGTCGTCGAGGTTTGATTCCCTAATTGCCATTAGATATAATCTCAACAGATATGAGCTGTAGATCTTCGTAAAAAAATGGATTCATTTGAATTTGTTGCTCTATTAGTATTTCAATGCAAAATTTTAGAAAATGTCAATTTGGTCTCAAAAACTTTACAGAGTTCAAATATCACTTTAGATGAGGCTTGTAAATGGATGGAACATCTAAAAGACAAATTTCAAAGTATGCGTGACAATTTTGAACAAATAATGGAGGAATCAAGGAAATGTGCTGATACCTGGAAAATTAACAATTCTTTTTCAAATAGACGTATAAAAAAAGTAAAACTGTTTCATGACGAATTATGTGAAGATACCGTTTTCAAAGATACCACTGGAAAATTTAAAACAACCGTTTTCTATCCTGCTCTTGATATTTTAAATATTCAAATTAAAGATAGGTTTGAAAGGGGGGCGCAGTGGAAGTTACCTACGCCACTGTCACAAAACATAATTTATTTGACTTTATTACTAAACAACAAAAGAAATATTTAAACTGAGGTAATAAAATTGTCGTAAATGTAACCCAGGGCAAATGGGGTTGTGTTTGAAGTTTCGACATAAAAACTTCCCCGGATGCTACAATACAGTCCAATTAAAAAATTATAGTTGTTAGAATGTAACGCACCTCTTGTCTACAAATTCCCCCATTACGGCTTTCGTCCTCCCCGAACACAGTCCTAGCAAATAACTGGCAATATTATCACACTGTAGTCCGACGAAACTTTTCCCGTTGGTGATGGACTCCGCGAAGTAAAGTCCCGACATCACGTGGCTACAAATAGGGGGATCTGCAACCAAATCGCTACATTTTTGGATAATATGCGAACTGCGGTCATACGAGGAGCTTGGTAGCAAGACGGCTGCAAAACACCCCCATTCATGTAAAAATCGACGTGCCCTAGAGCCTCAATTTTCCCGAAACTACCAGCACTAGTGTGGACCACATCCACGAATTGAGCGTCCGCCGAATCCAGCTTCCAGTCGTTGTTCAGGGTTGCAAAAAAGGGTAAAGCGGGATCCAGACCAGTTATCCTTGCCGGGACCACGTTCAAGACATTTTTGAGGTTAGATCCTGTGAAACCCGCTATGTGTGCGCCAAGGCTGAACCCCACTAAATGCAAAAAATTTGGATTTACCCCGAACGGTATCAAACTCACTGCTAGAATAGCAATGCATTGTCCGACGTGCCAGGTGTTTAAATACGCAGTGGTGTAGCAAGGGACCTCGGCCAGGGGCCCCCAATCGACTAAAATAATTGCGATTTCGTAACTCGCTACGTTTTTAGACGAATACGTACCTAAAATGACGTTGTACCCCAACTCCTGGTACGCTTTCTGGATGCTTATAATGGCTTTATCGATGATTAAACCCCCGTAACCGTGAATCAGGATTTTCGTTGGTACTTGGTTGTCGAAATTTTCGGGTAGTCGTACCTTGAAGGGGTCCAACTGGTGCAAACTCGTCCCGTTGTTGGAACGAGTGCTCAAAATGAACTTAATCATTTCGGTACTACAAGGTTCATTATAAAGTATCGGACACTCGCCCAAAACGAATTGCACACATTGCACCCAACACGACACTTCTAGACATATTATCACTTCTATGAACCACCTTATTACCATCTTATTTTCAATCACTTGGTCACTTCTTCCCGCCACATATTGAGAACCACACCAAGGAAACTGATAACGGCACAACTCGTTTCTTCAGCCATAATTAACACGAAATGAGAAAATTATCTCGTGCATCAGTTGGCTTCGATGGTCTTTAACCAAATAAAACGAAAGTTTGGATAGGTAGAGGTAGCAATGTCAAGTCTGCTGAATTCTAATAAGGATCATTTAAATGGGTTTAATATGGCATCATTGCTAGCATTATTCATATTTAAATAGATGTGTTTCGTAATTTTTTGGGTGTACTGTGCGGGCTGTCGTGATGTAATATATTACAATGATAAAATAATGATAATGGATTCAATCGGGCGACCTAACCCAATGCACCATGATATATTGTTTATTGACACCTCAATCGGTTTCTTAATTGTTTAAACAGATCTGAAGCTCGATGGTTTCTATTTTATCTCGGAACGTTAATCGAAAATTTGGAACAGGTTGTTAACGGTTCTAAAGTGATTAAACGTGAACCTGACTTGAAAATGACCCTTCATTTGCATAATGGAACTAAAACAGAGAATATTTAGGTTTCTAAATTGATTTATTAATAGATTCATCGGAAGTTTCCGCACCCATATTGGGTTATGCACATTAAAACCCTTCCCCTAGGGTCGAGGTTTCGTAATCACTCGGTTCCGTGGTCGTGGGTGGTTTGATTTTGGGAGCCTTAAGACAACACCTCTTGTCTCCTACAGCACCGACGTGACTGGGACAAAACGGTGGGTACTTATCGTGGACGCAGTACGATCCACTAGCCCTGCAATTTTTCGTGGATTTTGGGACTCACTGAAGATAATACTTACGTTAGAGGGGTGGAGTGTCCCATTGGTATGGGTATCCCGATTCTGTGACCGGGCCTAGGTCCCGTGGGACACCTCCTCGAACACGGCTCAGCCATTTTAACCGAGTCTTCCTGTAAACTCTGCGCCATATAACAGACGGCCCAAACGTGACTGCACAGTTGTTCATCGACTACAAACAAGACAAAAATTCGGGCTTCTGGTGACGATTACGAACTTACTGTCGGCGTTTTCACAGTAGGGCATAACGCGCCCTCCGTTGATACAAAAATCCACGTGGCCGCTTTTCCCAGCTTCCCCGTAGTGTCCAGCGTTGGTGTGAAGAACGTGGACTACGGCTGCGTGACCACTAGTAAGTCTGGACGACGACGCAATCAAGGGTCTGGCTGGGTCCAACCCTACGATTCTGTGTATTCGGAAAAGCACGTAGTTTGAGATTAACCCGCAAACGTGTGCCCCTAGAGAGTGTCCAATACAGGTCATTTTGTCTGCCGGGAAGCCACTATTTCGTAGCGCCATTAACAACTCCCCGGTACAGCGAGCCACAGCTTTGAGATTATGGACGGCTGCGCGGTAGCACGGTGGCTGGGCTAAGTTTCCCCAGTCCAGGATCCAGACGTTGTAGGACCCCTTGGCGATGTAAGCTACAAGTATCAATATTTGTCTGGAAGGTAAATTTAATCCAGAATACCGTCTCGTAGCACCGTCATGGGTAGAGTGTTGTCACCACCAGCGTAACCGTGGACCAAAAGCACGTCTTCTTTGGTGTGATCCCAGGCGCTCTGTCTCAACCAGTCGCTTTGGGTGTAGTCAACATTTTGCTTTTTGTCGTCGCTGTAAAGTATGAAACGAATATCTGGATCTGGGCACTTCTGCTTATAGTCGGTGGGTCTGAAAGAGCAGTCTCGCAGGGTTAGGTTCGACGAGCTAGTGTTGTGGAGGTAGAGCGCGTCCTTGATGGGTTGGTTGGGTAAAGTTGGAAGGTTAAATTCGCCCCAGCACGAACCTGTTGAAAACTATATATTAGTATTAAAAAAATGGCAATGACGTCACCGGTGAAAGCGCGCCAATTATTCAAATTTCGTCTAAAACGTTTTTGTATACTCACAAACGTAAATTACGATTAAGCCGGCACTGAACCTTTTGTACATCCTAACCTGTTAACTTATAAACAATGCAACCTAAACAAAACACAGCACTTGCTGTACACCGAAGAATTTAAAGACTTAAGTGTCATCATTAAAAATCCGGCTAGAAGTAAGTATCGAGTCATTCGCTTAAGGATAGCGGTACTGCAATATTTAAATTCGCCTCTTGAAGCGATTTTAAAAATCGAATTACAAGAGGAAAGCGGAAATTGCGTTCTGTGCCACCAGACAAGCAATAAACCTCAAAACAATCATTTTTATCGCAATAGAATCAAAACCACTTTCTTTCAACTAACGCTTGATTAAAATTTCACGAGTACATTCGGAAAATGGTACTGTTAGATAAAGAAAGTGTTTCGCATAATAAAGAGTCTGATTTACATTTTGGTTGTGGATAGTGTGATGAACCGATCTGGGCAATTCCGTCGTCCCACTTATGCTTTGTGGGTTTTTTCTGGTTGTGATGACGTTATAAACAAAATAAACACAGAAGCAGGCGCGGATCCAGGGGGGGGGGGGGGGAATGGGTGCAATTGCCCCCCCCTGACACACGACCGAGGGGCTTTATTTTGACCAATTTCAAAATTTTGAAATCGAATTTCATTTTGTAAATAGAATACAACCTCTATAATCCAAATTCACGATTATCCGAACATCCAGTAATCCGAGCAGAGGCTATTTGAAGTCGATGCTTCTTTAATCCGAACAAAAGCTCTGCAATCCGAACTGAACTTGGAAACCTACTTGCAAAAATGACGCAAGGTCTTTCTGCATATTATGTTGTATGGAATATTTAGAAATTTTTAAAAATTGCTATATTTCAATGCACTGAATTAATTAACTAATTAAATTCTGGAAAAAAGGTTGAAGTTATCGAAGAAATGAGGTCCGAAATATACAAGTTAGTTAAATTTCGAAAATTGTCGAAAATGGGTCGAAATTTGCATGAGGAAAATTTCATTTTTGAAAAAGTTTCCTAAAAATTCTGAAAAAATTCAGGGATTCAGTATATCCCGACGTGCTGATTCCAAAAATATAGCATATTAATGGTAACCGAGCAATATTTTCGGAAAATTCGGTGCGAAATTCGAATTTTTCGAAATTTTAAAAAATTGCGATATTTCAACTGTACAAATCTGGAAAAATGGTTTAAAGTATCGAAGAAATGAAGTCAGAAATGACTTCTGAAGCCCAAAATCTACAAGAAAATGTATTTAGTTAAGTTTCGAAAATCGTCGAAATTTGCATAATAGAGGTAATACAACACGGAAAATTTCGTTTTTGAAAAATTCATCTAAAAATTCTGAAAAAATTCAGGGTATAGATCTCGGCGTGTTGATTCCAAAAGGATAGCGTGTTTATGGTCACGGTGTAATATTTTTTTAAAATGTGTCTATTATCCATCATTGTTGCGTAAGAATTCTTTAATTTTGTTTAATAAAATTAAGGTTTATTTCTTGAAGTTTGTTTTCAACTGTATATGAAGTTGTTTTTCAATTCCCTTTCAGATTTTGGGAAAATCGCTGATCCGAACAAATCGTCAATCCGAACACACCTTTTTGCCAATTAATTCGGATTATCGAGGTTCTACTGTACTCTATACGTGTAACGAAAACAACCAAATGTCACCCGTGTTATGTGAAAAAGAGTATACTAGCTAAAAATTTATAATTTTTTTTGTTTAGAACGAATTTCTGGGAGATAAAATCACACAAAAATTGCCCCCCCCCCTAAACGAAATCCTGTATCCGCGCCTGCACAGAAGTATCCAATCTAAAATTGTAAAGAAAAGGTAATTGGGTAATTTTGAAAATACGTTATATGTGACAAAATTGATTAAAACGATCCAAACAAAATTGACCGCATCCATCCACGTTTAATATAATTCTGCGTTATGCTCGCCTAACATTTTCTTAATGTCTGCCCATCCATCGTACTCTTTGTGCTTTAGGAATTTCATCATGAAATTATTCTCCGTCTTGAGTTTTCTTTCCTGTTGTCACTTTTGTACCCCCACGAACCCCAAATTGCTCGAAATCGAGCCCTCTTGTCTCACCCCCGTTATGAAAAAATTCATGACTCGAGTAATCCAAGAAAACAGCCAAGAAAAAAGCGGCTACTTGTTTGTCGCGCTTAACAACATCGAAGCTGAATACTCCGACTTTGCAACCCAACAACTCAACAAATATTCCGCCGTGATTATTTTAAATTTTTACCAGGATAGAGACGTGGAATTTGAAGTAAGTTCCAAATATCGAAAACATTTTGGTTTAGAGTTGGCTTTTAGCTGAACCCGCACCATTTTAAATTCGCTATCACCGATCCAGAGGACGAGTTGTCCAACTCTGGCGACATTTTTCGAAAAATTAGAATTTCGAGAGCGCGAGTTGTGTTAATTTTGACCAAAAAACCGCTTCCAATTGTGGTGGATTATATTTTCAACTCGTATTGGAAAGTTAGAAGTATTAATGTTATTTTGGCGTACGAGTCTGACGGGAAAATCGAAATAATCACGTACAATCCGTATTTACAAAGTCGCAAAAAATTGGTAAACTTAACAAATTCTGTGGGAGACTTGTTTTATGATAAAACTACAAACCTTCTTGGTTCTACTATTAATTGTTTGTTGCCGTTCCGCGACAGAACTAAAGTAACAAGAGTGAAGACTCCGTACGGGGTGTCGTACGTAGGTAAAGATTATGAAGCGATTCATACTTTAATAACGCATTTAAATGGAAAAATAGAAGTCGTTCAGATGGATAATGTGTTGTTGAACCCGTGGTTTGAATCTTTACTTATACCGGACAAAAACGACCGCAAGATGCGCGTTTTACAAGACAAAGATATTTCAATTTTAGTTAAGTCGGAACAGTTTGATATTATAGAAGACGAAGTTGTGGAAAATCTATACCCTCATGCACAAAACGACTTGTGTAGTTTAGCTCCGAAAAGCTCGGAAGTCCCGATGGGGGTGTCCTTGACGATGGTGTACACACCCACCGTCTGGCTAGTGAACGCCTTAATAACGCTAAGTAAGCTCAATTTTTAACAAAGTAACCACCTTTAGTAACTTTTTTAGTGGTACTGACGATCTGGATTATCGTTAAGAAAGCCCTAGGGAACAGTGTCAATATACTAAATTTGTACTTCGATATTCACCGAATCGTCATCGCCAACAGTATTTTCCCCTTCCCGAAAATATCCCTAGAACGAATTTTAGTTTTCAGCTGGGTCCTCACGTGTTTCCTAATAAACATTTTCCTGCAAACCAAAATCACGAGTTTCCTAGCTATAAAAAAATACTACCCGGAAATCAACACCATCGAAGAATTGTTTTCGTCGGGTTTGCCTCTGTACTCAATCCCGAATCAGATCGTCGAAGTGAAAAAGAAATATAACGGGACCAAATATGAGGCCTACGCTGACTCCCTCATTTCTATAAGTAGTAACGAAGGTCTCATGGATCAAATGATTTATCGTGCGGATGTGGATGAAATGCCGGCGTTTTTGACAGAGCATGACATCGCTGTGTTCATTTCAAGGTGCAAAAATTTTCGAAAAAATGGGGCACAAGTTTATCATCTGGTTAAAGAAAGCATCATTCCGAATTTTCAGTCGTACAAAGTCATTCACAATTCTCCTCTTCTCCCGATTTTAAATAAGAAACTGAGACGGTTGGAAGAGGCCGGGTTTATTGGTTTGTGGGCCAAAAAGACCATTTTTAATGCGACTGTTGAAGGGTTTTTGTTTCCTGAAGGGTGCGACGATGGTAGAAGTGCTAGACCGCTGTCACTGGATGTAACTGCCATTTGGTTTTTAATTTTGGTTATAGGTTATAGTTTGGCCACTACAGTGTTTGTTGTTGAAATAATGGTAGACAAGATAAACCAACGCAAAAGAAGAATTATATTTATTAATTAATAACACTTTACACAGCTCTGGTGATGGTTTTCCAGCAGCACGCCTGTGTAAGCGCACCTTTATAGCAAATGTCGTGACTTATGCAACCAAAAATACACCACAATGCATAGCGTAATAAAATTTATTTACTAAGCTAATTTAAAACAAAATTCTGAATTTGGTTCAATATACTGGGAAATTTGTCTGCTTTAAATAAAATTACTCCACGGTAGGGAATTAATTCTTTGTCTTCGCTTTGCCACTTTCCTGTTAACCCTGTGTCAGTTTTACCAGCCACACTGTAAGTGAAAGAGTAATCACATTTGTTGTAGATAATTTCCTCCTCATCATTGGAAAATACAGTTTCACTATCCCCTGCGCTTTTCCCTTTCCACATTTTACAGATCATTAAATAATAGTCAAAATCATAACTATCATTTTTTTTCTTCATTCTGTGTACTTCATCTTGCAACGAATTCAACATTGGGTATGAAATTTTCGACGGGATATTCACAAACCTCTCATTTATTAAAAAGCCAAGCTTGTGACACCCGTGTAAAATTTCTTTGAACTGTGTTTCCACATTTTTATCTTCAGATTTTTTGATTTCTTGGTCTATGAGTTGGTATAAGTGTTGAACACATGGTGTTTCCTATAAACTATTAGTACAATTGGTACACAAAAATCCATTTATACCTACCTTATGTTGTGTTAAATTGATAACACTTGTTATTCCAAACACGTCAGACTCATCTACCATGTCCACATCTTCCTCGTCGTCACTGTCATTATAGCTCTGTTTTAATACTGATCCAATGCCGGCTTGAGCGATCAACATGTCGCTCATTTGGGACAAATCCACGTGTGCTGTTACGAACAACTGCTGCAGTAATTGCTTGATTCCGTGGAAATCTTGACCGTCGGGGTTTCGACCCTCAAAAGTGGCCTGGATTTCCTGCAAACACGGGTAGATTTAACAATTAGTCTGTATTGCGAAACACGTGTTAATGTGGAAATAATTATTGCAAAATGTTACCTGTTGTCCGTGATAACTGCCAGATTCGTCGCTTTGGTATTCTTCATCGGACTCCGGTTTCACGATTCGTTTCGATTTTTTGGCACCGGCCATTTTTGTCGACACGTTTTTCGCTGTTATGGTTCACGATTTTTAGGTTAGGTTGTCATGAATGTCAAATAGCAAGTGGGAGTTGGGGCAGTGTTGCCAGATGGGTAGCGTGTCAAGGTTGCCAGGGAACTTAACTCCTCGACTTATGTTGGCAACAGTGTTTATTTCTAATTAGGAATAACATTAACCCGAAAAAATGTAAAATGTTGGTTTTAACTTTCAAATTCTCAGTTTTTCGAAATTTTAGTTTGGGGACTTTTCAGTTTACTTCTATTTATTATTCGATTTTGGGATTTTACAATTTCTCAATTTTTCAATTTCTCGGTTTTCAGTTTTTCTCTTCAATTTTACGATTTTTAAATATGTATATCGATTTTTCAATTTTTGACTTTTATAAACTCTTTATTTGTCGATTTTTTGATTAATTGATTTTTCAGGTTTTTCGGTTTTGCAATTTTTCTATTTTTTCAGGTTTCGATTTTTCAACTTCACTTTTTTGATTTTTCAATTTCTAAATTTTTCAATTTTTTAATTTTGGGTTTTTTCAGTTTTTCGATTCGTCAGTTTTTCTTTCATTTTTCAGTTTTTCGATATTTCAGTTTTGGGGTTTTTCAATATTTCTGGTCTTCGACTTTTCCATTTTTGACTTAAATGGATTTTTCGATTTGTCGACTTTTTGCTTTTTCGATTTTTAAATTTTAGATTTTTCGATTTCTCGATTTTTCATTTCAGCTCTTCCATATTTCAATCTTTCAAATGTCTCGATTACTTAATTTTTCGATTGATTTAAAATTTTAGATTTTTAATTTAAAATAATTAATCGATGTTTTGATTTTTCCATTTCTTGACTTTCGACTTTAATTTTTCGATTTTTCAGGTTTTTGATTTTTCATTTTTTAGTGTTTTTAAGGTTTCGATTTTTCGGACTTCACTTTTTGGATTTTTGATTGCTTAATTTTTCGACTTTTTAGATTCTCAGTTTTTGTATATTTCAGTTTTCAGATTTTTCAGTTTTTCTTTCATTTCTCAGTTTTTCGATTATTTCAGTTTTGGGATTTTTCATTATTTCGATTCTTCGACTTTTCGATTTTTGGCTTCTGAAGTTTTCGATGTGTCGATTTTTTACTTTTTCGATTTTTCAATTTTTCGATTGCTTAATCTTTCGATTTTTCGACTTCTCGGTTTTAGATTTTCTGTTTCCATTTTCGTTTTAAACTTTTCGATTTTTCAATGTTTTGATTTCCCGATTTAGTTTCCCATTTTTAGTTTTTCTTTCATTTTTCAGTTTTTCGATATTTCAGTTATGGGATTTTTCAATATTTCGATTCTTCGACTTTGCGATTTTTGACTCCTGGATTTTTCAATGTGTCGGTTTTTTTCCGATTTTCCAATTTTAGATTTTTTAATTTTTAAAATTTTAGATTTTTCCATCTCTTGATATTTCAATCAAAAAAAACCAAATCAAATGTTTTGATTTCTTAAACTATCGATTTTTCGACATCCCGGTTTTATATTTCTTGTTTTACAATGGTCGTTTTTTCAAATTTTCGATTTTTCATTTTTTCAAATTTGACATTTATAAACTGTCAATGTTTTGATTTTCCTATTTCTTGACTTTCGATGTTCCTGTTCTTCAATACTTTAATTATTCGATTTTTCAGGTTGTTAATTTTTCATTTTTTAGTGTTTTTAAGGTTTTGATTTTTCGACTTCACTTTTTGGATTTTTGAATTTTTTAATTTTGGGTTTTTTCAGTTTTTCGATTCGTCAGTTTTGGGATTTTTCAATATTTCTCTTCTTCGACTTTTCTGTTTTTGACTTCTGGATTTTTTGATGTGTCGACTTTTAATTTTTTCGATTTTTAAATTTTAAATTTCTCAATTTTTTGGTATTTTAATTTTGCAATATTTTAAATTTTAGATTTTTCGCTTTCTCGATTTTTCATTTCAGCTCTTCCATATTTCAATGTTTCAAATGTCTCGATTTCTTAATCTTTCGATTTTTCGACTTCCCGGTTTTAGATTTCCTGTTTTTCAATGGTCGTTTTTTTAAATTTTCGATTTTTCATTTTTTCAAACTTAACATTTATAAACTGTCAATTTTTCGATTTTTCAATTAATCTATGTTTTGATTTTCCCATTTCTTGACTTTCGAGGGTTTCGATATTCCTGTTCTTCAATACTTTAATTATTCGATTTTTCAGGGTTTTGATTTTTCATTTTTTAGCGTTTTTAAGGTTTCGATTTTTCAACTTCACTTTATGGATTTTTCGATTGCTTAATTTTTCGACTTTTTAGGTTCTGTTTTTGGATATTTCAGTTTTCAGATTTTTCAGGTTTTCCATTTTTCAGTTTTTCTTTCATTTTTCAATTTTTCGATATTTCAGTTCTGGGATTTTTCAATATTTCGATTCTTCGACTTTTCGATTTTTGGCTTCTGGAGTTTTCGATGTATCGGTTTTTTCCTTTTTCGATTTTTCAATTTTTCGATTTTTAAATTTTAGATTTTTTAATTTTTAAAATTTTAGATTTTTCGATTTCTCGATTTTTCATTTCAGTTCTTCGATATTTCAATTTTTAAAGTTTTCGAATTTTTCAAATGTTTCGATTTCTTAGTCTTTGGATTTTTCGACTTCCCGGTTGAAGAATTTCTGTTTTTCAATTGTTCTTTTGTCAAATTTTCGATTTTTTAATTTTTCAAATTTGACTTTTATAAACTCTCAATTTTTCGATTTTTCAATTAATCGAGGTTTTGATTTTCCAATTTCTTGACCTTCAAGTTTTCAAGTTTTCGAATTTTTCAAATGTTTTGATTTCTTAATCTATCGATTTTTCGACTTCCCTGTTTTAGATGTTCTGTTTTCAATTGCCGTTTTTTCAAATTTTCGATTTTTCAATTTTTCAAATTTGACATTTATAAACTGTCAATTTTTCGATTTTTGAATTAATCGATGTTTTGATTTTCCCATTTCTTGACTTTCGAGGTTTTCGATATTCCTGTTCTTCAATTCTTTAATTTTTAGATTTTTCAGGTTTTTTTAGATTTTTCATTTTTTAGTTTTTTTAAGGTTTCGATTTTTCGACTTCACTTTTTGGATTTTTCGATTACTTAATTTTTCGACTTTTTGGGCTCTCAGTTTTTTGGATTGTTCAGGTTTTCCATTTTTCAGTTTTTCGATATTTCAGTTTTAGGTTTTTCAATATTTCGATTCTTCGACTTTTCGATTTGTGGCTTCTGGAGTTTTCAGTGTCGATTTGTTTACTTTTTCGATTTTTTAATTTTTCGATTGCTAAATCTTTCCATTTTTCGACTTCCCGGTTTTAGATTTTCTGTTTTCAATTGTCGTTTTAAATTTTTCGATTTTTCAATATTTTAATTTCCGGATTTAGTTTCCCATTTTTAGTATTTCTTTCATTTTTCAGTTTTGGAATTTTTCAATATTTCGATTCTTCGATTTTTCTATTTTTTACTCCTGGATTTTTCGATGATTCGATTTTTTTACTTTTTCGATTTTTCAATTTTTCGATTTTTAAATTTTATATTTTTTAATTTTAAAAATTTTAGATCAATTTTTCAAGTTTTCGAATTTTTCAAATGTTTCGATTTCTTAATCTTTCGATTTTTCGACTTCCCGATTTTAGATTTTCTGTTTTTCAATTGTCATTTTGTCAATTTTTCGATTTCTCGATTTTTCATTTCAGTTCTTCGATATTTCAATTTTTAAAGTTTTCGAATTTTTCAAATGTTTCGATTTCTTAGTCTTTGGATTTTTCGACTTCCCGGTTGAAGAATTTCTGTTTTTCAATTGTTCTTTTGTCAAATTTTCGATTTTTTAATTTTTCAAATTTGACTTTTATAAACTCTCAATTTTTCGATTTTTCAATTAATCGAGGTTTTGATTTTCCAATTTCTTGACCTTCAAGTTTTCAAGTTTTCGAATTTTTCAAATGTTTTGATTTCTTAATCTATCGATTTTTCGACTTCCCTGTTTTAGATGTTCTGTTTTCAATTGCCGTTTTTTCAAATTTTCGATTTTTCAATTTTTCAAATTTGACATTTATAAACTGTCAATTTTTCGATTTTTGAATTAATCGATGTTTTGATTTTCCCATTTCTTGACCTTCGAGTGTTTCGATTTTCCTGTTCTTCAATTCTTTAATTTTTTGATTTTTCAGGTTTTTAATTTTTCAATGTTTCGATTTTCAAAGATTTCTATTTTTCGACTTCACTTTTTTGATTTTTCGATTTTTCAGTTTTAGGTTTTTTCAATATTTCAATTCTCCGGCTCTATTTTTGACTTCTGGATTTTTCGATGTGTCTACCTTCTTACTTTTTCGATTTTTCAATTTTTGGATTTTATAAATTTTAGACTTTTCAAATTTTTTCCTATTTTAATTTTTCAATATTTCTTAATCTTTCGATTTTTCGACTTCCTGGTTTTAGATGTTCTGTTTTTCAATTTTTCGATTTGTTCTCAGTTTTTCCAGTTTTCCATTTTTTGACTTTTCCGCCTTTCCAATTTTTCAACTTTTAACTTTTTGTTTGTCGATTTCTCTATTTTCAATTTTTCGACTTCATCACTCTTCGATTTCACGTTCTTTTGATATTTCAATCTCTCAATTTTTCAATTTTTCGAATTTTTAAGTTTTTTGATTTCTCGATTTATCGAGATTTGGATTTTTCGATATTTTGATTGTCAATTTCTCAATTTATAAATTGTTCAATTTTTAACTTTTCGATTTTTCGATTTTGGCCAACTTCGGTTTCTCAATTGTTCGACTTTTTGACTTCACGATTTCTTGATCTTTTGATTTTTCGATTTTTCAGTTATATGATTTTTTAAATTTGGTAGTTTCGATTTCTCGATTTTTCGTTATTCGGTTTTTAAATTTTAGATTTTTGAATTTTACATTTTTTCGATTTTTCGATATGTCGATTTTTTTAGTTTTTCGACTTTTAAATTTTAGATTTTTTAATTTTTAAAATTTTAGATTTTTCGAAGTCTCGATTTTTGATTTCAGCTCTTCGATATTTCAATTTTTCAAATGTTTCGATTTCTTAATCTTTTGATTTTTCGACTTCCCGGTTTTAGATTTTCTGTTTTTCAATTGTCATTTTGTCAAATTTTCGATTTTTTAATTTCCCAAATTTGACTTTTATAAACTCTCAATTTTTCGATTTTTCAATTAATCGTTGTTTTGATTTTCCCATTTCTTGACCTTCGAGTGTTTCGATTTTCCTGTTTTTCAATTCTTTAATTTTTTTATTTTTCAGGTTTTTGATTTTTCAATTTTTCGATTTTTTAAGGTTTCTATTTTTCAACTTCACTTTTTTGATTTTTCGATTTTTCAGTTTTTAGATATTTCAGTTTTAGGATTTTTCAATATTCCAATTCTTCGGATTTTCTATTTTTGACTTGGATTTTTCGATGTGTCGATTTTTTTACTTTTTCGATTTTAAAATTTTAGATTTCTTAATTTTTAAAATTTTAGATTTTTCGATTTCTCGATTTTTGATTTCAGCTCTTCGATATTTCAATTTTTCAAGTTTTCGAATTTTTCAAATGTTTCGATTTCTTAATCTTTTGATTTTTCGACTTCCCCGTTTTAGATTTTCTGTTTTTCAATTGTCATTTTGTCAAATTTTCGATTTTTTAATTTTTCAAATTTGACTTTTATAAACTCTCAATTTTTTGATTTTTCAATTAATCGATGTTTTGATTTTACCATTTCTTGACCTTCGAGTGTTTCGATTTTCCTGCTCTTCAATTCTTTAATTTTTTGATTTTTCAGGTTTTTGATTTATCAATTTTTCGGTTTTTTAAGGTTTCTATTTTTCGACTTGACTTTTTGGATTTTTCGATTGCTTAATTTTTCGACTTTTTAGGTTCTCAGTTTTTGGATATTTCAGTTTTCAGATTTTTCAGGTTTTCCATTTTTCAGTTTTTCTTTCATTTTTCAATATTTCGATTCTTCGACTTTTCGATTTTTGACTCCTGGATTTTTCGATGTCGATTTTTTTACTTTTTCGATGTTTAAATTTTAGATTTTTTAATTTTTAAAATTTTAGATTTTACGATTTTTCATTTCAGTTCTTCGATATTTCAATTTTTCAAGTTTTCGAATTTTTCAAATGTTTCGATTTCTTAATCTTTTGATTTTTCGACTTCCCCGTTTTAGATTTTCTGTTTTTCAATTGTCATTTTGTCAAATTTTCGATTTTTTAATTTTTCAAATTTGACTTTTATAAACTCTCAATTTTTTGATTTTTCAATTAATCGATGTTTTGATTTTACCATTTCTTGACCTTCGAGTGTTTCGATTTTCCTGCTCTTCAATTCTTTAATTTTTTGATTTTTCAGGTTTTTGATTTATCAATTTTTCGGTTTTTTAAGGTTTCTATTTTTCGACTTGACTTTTTGGATTTTTCGATTGCTTAATTTTTCGACTTTTTAGGTTCTCAGTTTTTGGATATTTCAGTTTTCAGATTTTTCAGGTTTTCCATTTTTCAGTTTTTCTTTCATTTTTCAATATTTCGATTCTTCGACTTTTCGATTTTTGACTCCTGGATTTTTCGATGTCGATTTTTTTACTTTTTCGATGTTTAAATTTTAGATTTTTTAATTTTTAAAATTTTAGATTTTACGATTTTTCATTTCAGTTCTTCGATATTTCAATTTTTCAAGTTTTCGAATTTTTCAAATGTTTCGATTTCTTAATCTTTTGATTTTTCGACTTCTCGGTTTTAGATTTTCTGTTTTTCAATTGTCATTTTGTCGAATTTTCGATTTTTTAATTTTTCAAATTTGACTTTCATAAACTCAAAATTTTTCGATTTTTCAATTAATCATAATAATAATAATTAATTTGATATATAATAATCTTTTGATATTTTAATTTTTCAATATTTCTTAATCTTTCGATTTTTCGACTTCCTGGTTTTAGATGTTCTGTTTTTCAATTTTGCGATTTGTTAATTTTTCATTCCCGATTTAACGAGATTTGATTGTTCAGGTTTTCGATTAATCAGTTTTTCAATTTTTTATTTTGACCTATTTCGGTTTCTTAGTTTTTCCAGTTCTCCATTTTTTCGTTTTCTGAGTTTTCCGCTTTTCCAATTTTTCAACTTTTAACTTTTTGTTTGTCGATTTCTCAATTTTTCAATTATTCGAATTTTTAAGTTTTTTGATTTCTCGATTCATCGAGATTTGGATTTTTCCATATTTTAATTGTCAATTTTTCAGTTTGGAAATTGTTCAAATTTTAATTTTTCGATTTTCGATTTTGGCCTACTTCGGTTTCTCAATTGTTCGACTTTTCGACTCCACGATTTCTTCATCTTTCGATTTCTCGATTTTTCGTTATTCGGTTTTTAAATGTTAGATTTTTGAATTTTACATTTTTTCGATTTTCAATGTTTCGGTTTTACGATTTTTTAAGGTTTTGATTTTTCGAATTCTCGATAATTTTAATTTTTCATTTTTTTTTTTTTACTGTTAATATCAGTTATATTAGAGTCGACATTGGCTTGAGCGCGCTCTGGTCTGTAGATCAAACAAGTTTTTTTATTGGCATCGACTATTTAAATTTGGCGCTTGCCTTTGGCGGTTGAGGACTCCAATGTCAATAAGAGTGGTTTTGCAAAATCAGCCTGTATGTCGCATCTATATTAATCTATGTTTCGGGGCTTTTCGGTCAATTTCGAGGAAATTTTGCATTGTGTTTTTTAGTGTTATATAACCCTAAACTTGGACGTTCTTTCAATTAAAAAACTTGATTTTTACGTGTGAAAAATTTTAAAGTGACGAAAAAACTTACACAAACAAATTTTCGAACTCCAAAAAATAATTTTTGCTAAATTGTGCGGTTAGTAAGAATTTCGTTTTTCAATTTCAACCAGACACCTCAACCAGAATTTTAATTAATACCACCATAAAAAAAAGAAAAAACTGCCGAGTATTACATAATAATAATAAACACGGACTAGAACACATGTGTTTCTTTTTTTTAATCTTGTCATGTCGTTCTACATCATTTAAATTAATGGCTACATCGGTTTACGTGAAGGCACTTTGTTCGAACTAGTGTGTTTCCATCCTTGTCGCTTTTGTTACCCCTCCCAGCTCGTCAGCGCGTCTGACAAAGACACCAGTCGGACGAGTCCATTTTTGACAGGGTACTGCAGTCGCGCGTCGTTGCACAAAACCGCAAAAATTGTATCAAAAACAGTCAAAATGAAGCGCTCCGTGTCAACGAAATAGTCAAAATCGCCGCCCCTTTCACCTCGTCTTCGCACCGCCAAACTCGAGAAAAAATAAACGTCTCTGACGTCAGCCATGAAGGCACTTCGCAGCGCCGCCAACCGCACGCCAAAATCCCCCAACAGCAAATGTGAGCACCAGCGATGTCGCGGACGCAATTTTAGAGTTTCGCGGAAAACGCCGCATTGTTTTTCTTCGGAAGATGTTGATGAAGAAGCAGTTTAGTGTGTGGTTGTACGCTGTGGCGATTAATGCGACGTAGATAGTGAAATTCGGGGTATTTATTTGTGACCGCTCCAGCCATAACAATGGAACTTGGTGACCATGTTTATGCCGCCGAAAGGATTATAAAAAAAAGAGTCCGACGGGTAAGGTTGTCTTTTAAATAGTTGCCGCGGTTGTTGTTTATGTGTCCCCACAAGTTAGCGTTTTCGCAACGAAACTTTGGTGACGCCAGGGCCGTTGTTTTATTTTTGTTGCGGGATCGTGAGTCAAGGGGTATTTCCTTACGTAATTGGGGTTTCCTCGTCACCCCTTTTCGTGGGGCCGAAGACGTGAGTCACCAGGAAGCCTTTATTCAAGTGTGGCTTTGGGGGGTTGTTTTAATGTCAGTGAAGAGTCCACAGCTAACTTGGTTCTGGTGGATCATTGTGGTGGTTGTGTTTGCGAATTGATGCTGCGACCAACAGCTGGTGTTGCTAATTGAAAAAAAACTACCTGACTCGAAATCTGAATAAATAATAACAAAACCGACAAAACGAGTTTGGCGATTTGACTGACACTGGTAAGATACTTTATTGAGGTTTAAAGTCAATAAAATAATTCAAGGCCATTATATAAAATTTACGACCGGATCGAAGGATGAGTAGCATTGGTTTTTATGGACTTGGGTCTTCCAAGCACTGACTGACTTAATTTCTATGCAGATAAATTCACCAGAAAGATAAGTTACTTTGCATATTTAAATCTTTGCGTCAGAAAGTGAAATCTGATATAAATCAACAAGAATGTTTGCTTTATCGTGATAAGCATGTCTTCTGCCTGTGTTTTTTGATTGAGCCATCAAAATGTACATAAATTCATACACTTGCCACACGTGTTACAAACAACTTTTTCTACGATCGGTTGAAATTTTTGAAGGTCAAAGGATTTTTTAAACAGGTTAAAGGCAACTGCTTGATCAAGGTGATTTTTTTATCGACAGATCTTTATTCATCCTATGTCTGACGATGACTTAATTATAATTTATCTTGATCACAAGGCTTAAACTATCATACTCAGCATTCGTACGGTTTCATAAGTACTGTAATTTTTATTTGAAAAGTAAAGTAGGTAGTCGTGGGATTTTTAACTTTACAATTTCACAAAAAAATATGTCCGTAGCGATTTGTTATACAGCTAAAGATAATTATTTTGAATTTATATACATATCCCCTCTTAAAAGCTGATGACGTCATTTAAAATTTTCGTGAAGTAAATCTCTTCAAATTAATAGAACGTGGTTCAAACATGTATTGATCATAATTACAATATCTCTATGAAACATCCAGTGTAATATGCGTTTTTACCCGTGCTGTTTTTAATATACCGGGTGTCTGGAAAATGGTTATGAAATTTTAAATGTAACTTGTCCAGAATTTTCACTACATCATGCGAGGGCAGTTTTTTTTTTAAACAATTTATTTTCATATTTTAATCTAGCATCAATTTTCTATAAAATATTATCATTTCCCGGCTAAATAGGGCCGACTTCATAATTTTTTGGAAAATTTTTGGAAATCGAAGTCTCAGTTTTTCGGTTATTTAAAGAAGTGTCGCACAAAAAGCAGTTCAGATTCGTAATCCCTGGAAAAGTGTCTACAGACCGATGTTTTTTCCGATCAAATAGCACATTCACCTTTTTTTTGAAAATTTTTGGAAAATTAAAACCGAACTCATTCAGTTAATCAAAGACTTAAAAAGGTGTCCTAAAAGAACTTCATATTCTGAATTTAGGGAGAATTTTCAGTAATATAGACATCACATATGAGATTAGAATTTCGTAATGTAGGGTGAATTTTTCGCTTTCATATTTTTTTTTTTTAATTTTTGGAAATTTAGTTTTAATTTTTTTTTATTTAATAGGTGTCGCAAAAGCTGCACATTCACCTTTTTTTTGAAAATTTTTGGAAAATTAAAACCGAACTCTTTCAGTTAATCAAAGACTTAAATAGGTGTCCTAAAAAAACTTCATATTCTGAATTTAGAGTGAATTTTCAGTAATACAGACATCACAAATGAGATTAGAAATTCGTAATGTAGGGTGAATTTTTCGCTTTCATATATTTTTTTTAATTTTTGGAAATTGTTTTAATTTTTTTTTTTTTTTTATTTAATAGGTGTCGCAAAAGCTGCTACAGTTATTTTTCACTAAAATACAGGTAATTTTTTTAATCTTTTTGGAAACTTTTTGGAAAATAAATTAGTATTCACTGCCACCTTTTCTATCCAAAGTCACTTTTTCTGGTTGTTTTTTTGGAAAAATATTGGAAATCTAATCCTCAATTTTTTGTTTTTTTTATAAAACATCTTTTCCCGTCTAAATACAGGAAACTTCATGATTTTTTTGGGAAATTGTTGGAAATTAAAATCTCATTTTTTCGGTTATTTAAAAAGTGTCACACAAACAATTACAGGTTTGTAATCTGTAGACAAATGTTTACATTCTGATTTTTGTTTGCCATGACAAGACTAATTTTGGCAAAGGGCCTACTCTATGAGAAAATAAAGGGCGGGTGGGCGGGGTTAGTATTTGCTAAGATAAGACTGATGTTGTCAAATGACTTCCTGAGAAAATAAAAGGTGGGTGGGTGGAGCTAGTACTTGCCAAGATAAGACTGATTTTGGCAAAGGACCTACCTTCTAAGCAAATAAAGGGCGAGTTGGCGCGACTAGAGAAAGACCCCTAACGTTCTGGTAGTAAATACTTCAATTGCATTGTTGAATTGTAGGTATACCGCGTACAAATCTTTCATTAAAAGAATTTCTTGAATAATTTTACAAAAGTACAATGATTTTCTAAAGTGACGAAGCTTCTGTAATTTTCAAAAATTCTAAATCTTATTTTAGTAGCTACTAGCCCCGCCCACCCACACTCTCTTTTCTTAGACGGTATGTCATTTGCTAAAATCAGTTTTATCCTAGTATGCTCTATCGATTTTTTGTTGAAATTTTTGCATAACGTATTTTAAAAAAACAATATTTCATTTATTTATGGAAATTTTGAAACTGCGTTGTCACCACTGTTTTCAGCCTGCAAAACTTTAGAAATCGTACTAGGTGTATCTTTGACTTTATTTGTTGAGGCTGAGATATAGTAAAAATAAAAGTTAGCCACTTCTATGACGGAAGCTTTTTTTTACTATGTATCGTTTCTAACAAAAAAAATCGACGATATATCTGGTATGATTTCTGGAGTTTTGTAAGCTGAAACAGTGTTGAAAACCGTGTTCTGAAATTTCTTTTAATAATTGAGATGTTTTTTTTTAAATACGTTATGCAAAAATTTTACTAAAATTAAAAGAAAAATATGATCACAAACTTTTTAACAAAATTTGCTCGTGCGTTATATAAAGAAAGTTATGCACAACATATATTTTAAATTTCAAAACCATAGATCGAAAATTCCACTCAGAAAACGTAGCGATTGACTTTAACAATAGATTACTAGTGCTGGTTATGGGAATTAATAAATAAATAAACACAAGAAAACACATTTAATAAGACATTAGGAATTATAAACAAAAACAAAACCAACAAAAGAAAAAAGCTCGTAATTTTTCCAAATTTTGACGATTTTTTTGTAAAAGTTAGTCAAAGATAAAACTATTTTGGCAATGACATACTCTGTAAGAAAAGAGAGGGTGGGTGGGCGGGGCTACTACTTGCTGAGATAGGATTCAACAATATTAAGAGTAGTCATTAGAATGAAGAGGACGTACATGGAATAAGTTAAAGTTGGCCCCGCCCACCCACCCGTGCTTATATTTTCTTGGAAAATAAGAAATAAATCTTCATGTAAATAGTGTAAGAAAAAATTACGGTTAGCTTTTTTTTTTCTTTTTTAATAATTCCACTCCCATTCTACAGAAGAACATATAATTAACTCCGCCTCTATTTCAGTGATTCAGTTTGTCTGGTCTGATCTAAGTGGACTCCATACTGAACAGAAATAAAATTAGTCCTTAAGACAAGACTGATTTTGGCAGATGTCATACCCTTAAAGAAAAGTGAGGGTGGGTGGGCGGGGCTAGTATCTACTAAAATATGACCAATTTTGGCAAATGAGATATACTAGACGCAAATATTTAGTGCTTTTATGGCTTTAACGTTTAAAGTACTTTACAGCCTTTCATAAAAGTTAGCAAATGGCAGTTGTCGGGGACGCCCGAGACAGTACGACCCTGTGCTTTTACCAGAAAAGGTATTTTCAGGTAGGTTATCAATAAGCGGGTTTAAAACATCCTGCTGTGACGGCCTACTGAATTATAATGGGAGTTAAATTAGTGTGAAGCCATAAACGCACTAAAAGTTTGCGTCTGGTATAACTTGTAAGAATAGGAAGGGTCAGTGGGCCGTTCTAGTATACTTTAACCAGAACTCTTGTGCGGATTCTGCCTCATGCTTCTATTGACTTCCACTAATTTTGAGTAACACAAATGGCAGTGAAATTTTCATTACGGTTCATCTCGATAAATCCTCTCCCAGCCATCTCGACTGCGACAAATTTACAAGCGTCTTTAGTTAAGCCCTCATAAAAATTAGTGGAAGTCAATAGACGCCTGAGGCAGACTCCGCACAAAAGTTCTGGTCAAAGATTACCTGCTAAAATAAGATCGATTTTGGCAAACTCTATATATTAAAAAAAAAACAAAGATTAAACCCTACCCACCCGCCCCGATCTCAATTGTGATGAATTTTTCATTCGTTGTTAGACGGAGGGGCGGAGTTTAATAATTGTAACATCAAAATTTCTCTAGAAAATTCTACCTTTTAAAACATATTTCGTATGGTAATTTCCTGTAGAGAAATGAGGATTTAGCAACTAAGCTCCACCCTTCAGCTCACCATGAATAAAAAATTTATCACAATCGAGAAAGGGTGGGTGGGCGGGGCTGTCGCTTCCTTATCAAAGATTCCACAGGAAAAAGTTAAAATTGGCCCCGCCCACCCACCCGTTGTCATATTTTCTTGGAAAATAAGAAATAAATTTTAAAGTAAATAGTGTAACAAAAAATTATGGTTAGTTCTTTTTTTAATAGCCTCACTCCCATTCTACAGAAGAACATATAATTAACCCCGCCTCCATTTCAGTGATTCATTTCGTATG